ACCTATCATGGCATTTAAAGGTGTAGTCACCATGAATTGTGGCATTTAAAGGCATGGTCATCACCTATCATTTAAAGGTTTAAGTCACCACCTATCATGGCATTTAAAGGTGTAGTCACCATGAATTGTGGCATTTAAAGGCATGGTCATCACCTATCATTTAAAGGTTTAAGTCACCACCTATCATGGCATTTAAAGGTGTAGTCACCATGAATTGTGGCATTTAAAGGCATGGTCATCACCTATCATTTAAAGGTTTAGTCACCACCTATCATGGCATTTAAAGGTATAGTCACCATGAATTGTGGCATTTAAAGGCATGGTCATCACCTATCATTTAAAGGTTTAGTCACCACCTATCATGGCATTTAAAGGTGTAGTCACCATGAATTGTGGCATTTAAAGGCATGGTCATCACCTATCATTTAAAGGTTTAAGTCACCACCTATCATGGCATTTAAAGGTGTAGTCACCATGAATTGTGGCATTTAAAGGCATGGTCATCACCTATCATTTAAAGGTTTAGTCACCACCTATCATGGCATTTAAAGGTGTAGTCACCATGAATTGTGGCATTTAAAGGCATGGTTATCACCTATCATTTAAAGGTTTAGTCACCACCTATCATGGCATTTAAAGGTGTAGTCACCATGAATTGTGGCATTTAAAGGCATGGTCATCACCTATCATTTAAAGGTTTAGTCACCACCTATCATGGCATTTAAAGGTGTAGTCACCATGAATTGTGGCATTTAAAGGCATGGTCATCACCTATCATTTAAAGGTTTAGTCACCACCTATCATGGCATTTAAAGGTGTAGTCACCATGAATTGTGGCATTTAAAGGCATGGTCATCACCTATCATTTAAAGGTTTAAGTCACCACCTATCATGGCATTTAAAGGTGTAGTCACCATGAATTGTGGCATTTAAAGGCATGGTCATCACCTATCATTTAAAGGTTTAGTCACCACCTATCATGGCATTTAAAGGTGTAGTCACCATGAATTGTGGCATTTAAAGGCATGGTCATCACCTATCATTTAAAGGTTTAGTCACCACCTATCATGGCATTTAAAGGTGTAGTCACCATGAATTGTGGCATTTAAAGGCATGGTCATCACCTATCATTTAAAGGTTTAAGTCACAACCTATCATGGCATTTAAAGGTGTAGTCACCATGAATTGTGGCATTTAAAGGCATGGTCATCACCTATCATTTAAAGGTTCAAGTCACCACCTATCATGCAATGTTCAATTTGTAATATTTTAAGGTGCAGTTTATTTTATCCCAAGGAAGGGGTAACAAATCATCATGTAATTACTGAGCCCATAATTTCTTTTCTGTTCACAAAGTATATCTTTTCTAATTGATCATGTTTCAGATTACAATCAGTATAAAGATTCATGTGTATTTTTATAGACCAAGTCAGACTAACCCCTAAATCCTTTTTAAACAATTCAATATAATATTCATACTCTAATAAGGTTGTATATAGGTCTTTGGAGACCTGACATTCTACTTCTAATTAGTTATCTTAGAATATAAATTAGAGCATAATGTGCTTTGTATTGCAAGAATGCTTATCAAGCTATTTTAATCAACGATGCAACAAATACAAGAGGAATGGGAATTAATGAAAAGATGAGACTTCATTTTACAGAGACTAAAACTAGAATGACCTGAACAATGGTTAAATACACATATACATATAAGGCCATAAGAAGTAGATTCTTTGTTTTACGTCCTGGCAAAATCCAAATCATGCAAGGGTACAAGGAAAACAAACACAAACTCAAGAAAAAACACAAACTTGTTTGCTGAGAAATGTATACATTTTATGGGCATTAAAAGGGATGACATACCAATTTGCAGTGATTACAAACACATATCTATACACTTTATACAATATTTAAACATAGCTATTATTCAAGGGTAAAAAATAACAAAATACACAATGTATGCCAAAGTAATCAATAACACTCAGTAATTTTGACGCACATCAAATTATCTGCCATTTCGTCAGATTTTGTTTGAACGAAATGCGATGGTACTTTCAGACCCTTGTGATTGCTATTTGGATGTGTTTGTTTTTTCTGATTTACTCAAAATCGTGCAAGCAAGGGGATGCAAAACAAAGAATCTACTTCTCATGGCCTAATCAAGAATTTAGGCTTTCTTCAAGACTCTAGCCCCCCCCCACCCCTATTATCTACTTCACTACAGAGAGGTTTATAGTGGGGTAGGGGGTCACAGAGGCTTGTAACTAGACTAGCATGATTACATATAAAATAAGTATTCACTGAGAGGGACAAGATATGGGGAATATTTCAAGGATGATATGAGAAAGCAGTAACAGGGGGAGTACTGATATCCTCCCTTTTGGATATCCGTCTCTATCTCAGAAGTGTGCTTTATCTCTTGCTGTTATATCTGATAAACCAGATATTGCTCTGGTAATATAATTGTAGATAAACATGCTTATGACATTAAGTATTATAAATTAAGTGCTCCAGAGGAGCTCAGTGCATAGTCTAAATAATAATCAAGTAGAAAATCTATATGTCTGGCTTATGCTAGAATATCTTGACCTTACCCCTTTGACTGACATCACCTGACCCTTATTCAACTTAACAATTCAGAATTTCAGAGTATTACTCCAAATCATAACATGAGATGAAGTACTCAGTTTGATGGACTAAGTTAATCATATGAACCGGGGGGGGGGATTTCCTAAAGATCACCTTTCATATTGGCATGTTCGATAACCAATTTTATAAGCAGGCCTCATTTGCCATTGAAATGGATCTCTCAATGTTTGCTTGTGTTTTATGAGTATTCTCTGAAAGTTTGGATTGAGTAACTTCTATACTATTACCGTAGTTTTGAAATGATGATGTTGGACTAATGTAAAACTGAAATAAATGCCATTTCAACGATTTCAAATTTTTCTTTGCGCATGCATGGCACTGAGAAAGCACGTGCTCATGATTGTTCATGTGATCACATCCTGCAATTTGATTGGAGATCGTATAATGGGGAGTCCCTGAATACAATTGAATTTGAAAGAATTATGGGAGCTACTCCCTTCTTCTGCATAATGAACAATACCTGAAAATGAAGATACATTTGAAACATCATGAAGAATGTTTTTTTCAGGAAGCAAAAATTTTAGTAGCATACTTCTGTTAAGATTAAAAATCTATTTCAGTGTCACTACATTATTTTTCATAAGCTTTTGCACTGCTTTATTGCAGCTAATCAAAGATTCTAGAATAACTAGTTGTAAGCAAGGATTGATATTTCAAAGCAATATTCTCAGTAAGGGCGAAGTACCAGTTTACAACTAATAATCCCCCTTGAGAATCTTAATCCCCAGGATTTTCACCCTTAGTGCAAAATTATTTTTCTTAAGGAAGGTGTTTATTGGCAAAAGTCGGCTCCATATTAAAGCATAAGGACAGTGATTTGATGAGTGATTAGCTTAAGAATATACATATGTAAAATGTGTGATATCACACTTTGGAAAATGAGTTTTGTAGTTTAAATATATAGATACATACATGTAGTTTTGATGGATTTAATGAATTATACCCAGTAATGGCATTTTTGATTCATCTTTGTTGCACTGGTGTACATAATTACCAACAAACAAAAAATTGAATTTTTTTTATTATTTTTCAGAAGAGCAATAATAAAAAACAAGTCTGTGATTTTTATTTTCTTAGAATTAAACTTTTCGGATCAACATGTTTTCTAACTTTAAGTAAGAAACAAAGCCAGTGCCCAAGGAGGATTGGCTCCCAGGATCAAACCTTGATATTTTCCAACAATGAAAATGTTGAAATGTCACTATTATGTCACCAGCATAAAGTGGTGACATATTGTTATGGTCTCCAGTTTTTTTTGACGACAGTTGGTGCTAGGTGATTGGGGATTGGCTTCTGTAACAAATTCTTACAACTTTCAATAATTTAACAAATACTGTTTAGACTGACTGTAATTTTTTTCAAAATCATCTACAAGTTTTCAGAAATTCAAGTCTGACTTTATATTTAAGATTTGACCTTGAATGACCTTCTCAAGGTAAAAAAAAAGTCAAAAAGGTCTTTTTTCAACTTGCTTCAAATTGACTAATTTTTTAACTCATCTACAAGTTATCAGAAGCTCAAATCTGACTTTAGATTTAATATTTGACCTTCAATGACCTTCTTAAGGTCAAAAAAGGTCAAAAAGGTATTTTTTCAACTTGCTTCAAATTGACCATTTTTTAAACTTATCTACAAGTTATCAGAAGTTCAAATCTGACTTTAGATTTAAGATTTGACCTTCACTGACCTTCTCAAGGTCAAAAAAGGTCAAAAAGGTATTTTTTCAACTTGTTTCAAATTGACCTTTTTTTCAAAACCATCCAAAAGTTCTCAAAAGTTTAAATCTGAGTATAGATTTGACATTCAATGATATTCTCAAGGTCAAGAAAGATTTGACCTTCAATGACCTTCTGAAGGTCAAAAAGGTCTTTTTTCATCTTGCTATAAATTGACCAATTCTTTTTTTAAAATCATCAACAAGTTCTCAGAAATTCTGACTTAAGATTGAACTCACAATATTGTGAGCAACTAGGTGTTGACATTTTGTCATGTTAATGCATTGATTTCTGAAATTATAATTGGCTATAAATTCAAAATAAACTGTCCGAAAGATTTGAACCAATATCTCGATCATTTCTTGTGAGTTTTGGAATTTTCCGTTGGGAAATAAGACCAAAAATTACGATTGAAGTTAACAAAATGGCGGCTGTTTGAATTCAAATTTTTTTTCACGACATGCCCACATATGGGGAAGAATATCGATGTTGAGCCAATCTTTCTTGCAGTGACAGCAAATATTTTTGTTTGATTACCAAACATAATGTCAAATAATTTTATTATAAAAATATAAACTTTATCTTAGGCCTCTGGGTGTACAACCACCTTAATGCTTCTTTTTATATTTCCAGGAGAGTTAAGAGGGAAAGATCAACAAACTGCAATGGATTCAATGGAAATACCCAAAGAAACTGGAGAAAAGTGTTAACTAATAGAAGCTGGAATTCAATTATACTTTACAACATTTTATGTCTCCTAGGATTTTAAGGAATGATAAAGTTTCAGATAACATGATTTAAAGTATTTACTGTACTATTCAAAGATCTATGCTGGATTTTCTAAAGAAACGGGGAAATTTGAAATTAATTTCCTCTACTATTAGGGCCTATAGTCTGCTACAGTATGCTAGAAAGACTGTTATGTATAGAGTACCCAATTTATTGCCTGACATTATGATCACTGCACAGTTAAGTGGAGTAGAGACTTATTGAAGCTACTTTGGAAATATTAGTTGCGACTAGCGAAGCTCCAGAAATGTCAAGCTCTGATTTTGAAGTAGAGTTCCAAAATGGAAAGGGCAGGCTTAGACGAGAAAATTCTGGAAATTTCGACCATCCACTTGATCCACTTGTTGGAGTATCTTCAGGGGAAGATGACGTGTTTTCGATGGAAACCAGGGTGACAGTTGACAAGAAACCACTAATGGCCCCACGTCTGAGAACTCGATCACGAATATCGGTTCAAAGAGCAAAACATAAGCTGAAAAGTTCAATATGGCCGATTATTTATGTTTTTGTATTTATCGGATATTTAATCGCGTTTGTGTGTCTTATTGTCTACTTAGTGAATGCTTTTACTGCTAATCTATCAAAAACTCAACATAGTGCCAATTTGGTAAACATACTGCTTAATGACACTGAATACAGTAATCTGATTGGTTGTTCAAATATCGAAGTGGAGGATGTTTGGATAGCACAGTTACCGAAATTGACGACTGAAGCTGCGATACGATTGGTTGATGTGAATCAAGATGGTGTCTTAGATGTTATCACAGGATTTGGAACAGGTATGAATCATTTTTATAAAATATTCTAGTTTAATCTGGATTTAAGGTTATCCATAGAGTTCAACATCATAGAGGTCACCTAAGGTCAAGGTAACAAAATATGGGTCAAAGCCATCTGAGAGGTCAAAGTGCAAGTTTTTTATTTCCAAGCACATTGAAGCTCTATATTAGTAATGGAGTCTTTAAATGTCATCCTGAAGCTTACTCTTTATGTTTAACTCAGAGATATTTGTGAGACGCTTTTACCATGTTTTCAAAAATGGCAGCCATGACTGTTAGATGGGATTTGTTCAATTTGGCGTTGCTGTTATCTAGTTGTGATATAGAAACTCTTTCACCACATTTTTTCTGCTGATTTAGATGAGAAGTGTTTGATGGTTTGTGCTTATAGCATACTTGTACATTCGTTTATTAGAATCCCAATGGCCTTAATATTTGCATTGTGTCAGAAATTGCTGGTGTTTCACAGAAGCACTTGAAATCACCATATTGTGCCATATTTGAAAGGTAGCCTTAGTAATGTAATTAAACATTTACCCTAGATTAAAATGACACCCACTCTGAGATTTCATTGAATTTCTGGATTTTTTTTTCATGAACTTTCAGAAAGTCCATAATAATTATATCTGTTCATATAGTTCCTTGTAAAACTGCATCTCATAAATAGTCCAAAAGTAATGTTAATCTCCTTCTCGTATGTGACATTTCATTTTTTACATGACATTAGTGTAAAACTAATGTTAATTTCTTTCCTTTTCATATATACCATTTTATAACAGTGAGGATGTTGGTAATAGCAACTTCAGTTTCCCAAGCTAGTCAGAGAGCAATGATGTGATATACAGGGTGGTCAAAAAAATGGCAACCCTAATTTTTCCTCATATCCTTGTCATTTTTAGGAATTTTGACCTGATATTTGGCACACATGTACATCATTCAATTTCATACTAGACTTTGACATTTCATGAACATTGGACCCATAGTCGCAATATTACAGCACTTTGAACAAGGTGCCCCAATTTTCCAATATCGTGCAAACCTGCACACATTTTCCAAACCTGTCAATGACATAACTGTATTCCTCAGCAAGTATGGCCTGAACGACACATGTGATCTTTAATTTGAGGTCAAATGTCTTTCTGGTGTTGTTACCCTATACTCTATCTTTGGGGTTTCCCCACTGGTAAAGATTAAATGGGCCCATATCTGGGCTATGGGGTGCCCATTCATTGTCTGTTGTACTGCTGTTAATGTGGTCATTCAAGTGGTCCCAAAGCCATTATTATGCATCATTGGGTGTATGGGGTATGGTTCTGTCTTGTTGGAACCACTGTTGCTGCCTATCAACCCCCCTGGGTTCACCTAAAGACCCCAAGAACTCCATGGGAATCACAAAATAGAGTTTGATGTTGACAGTTATTGCATATCCGTTGGTATCATCAAAGGACCCTATCTTCTGAGAACACACTAAACTGTGCATCTGTCTGTGTGAAGGTGCCTCTCCACTACTTCATCAAGTGCTTGGTTCCCCAAGAATGCATAATTGTTAGAGTTTACCAGTGCATCAAGTTGGAAATGGAGTTCATTTGAAAAACAGACCAACTCAAACAACCCGAAAGTGGCAATCTGGGGCATGTTGCTTAAAATGCAGTAATATTGTGACTATCAGTCCGATGGTCATGAAATATGGTAGGTTGGTAGGAAATTGAATGATGTACAAATGTGTAAAATATCAGGGAGTTATTTCTTAGAATGACAAAGATATTAGGAAAAACTAGGGTTGCCATTTTTTTGACCACCCTGTATATACATGTTTATCCTATGCCAAGTGGAGTTTTAGGGAGATAAGTTGGTAAGATATATCCCGTATCCTGACTTTGAGGTTTCCATATCCTGAACCTCCATATCTCCCGCCATATCTCCCGCCCCAGGGCATATCTTCCCACTTCAAAAAAAAAAAATTGAAAAAATAAGAAGAAATTGGCTCTCTAGCCAAATGGGTTACCAAAATGCTAAAGAGCCTTAAATTTTAAGGCTCTTTAGCATTTTGATAGCCAATTCTGCTAGAGAGCCTTAAAGGAATTCCAGGCGACAGAAATGACGAAATATTGCTTCTGCCGGACAAGATCAAACGACTTTGACATATTCTATACCTATTTTGTAATTGAACAATCAGCACAAATATACATACCATATTAGCAGATATCGGACAAATTCAAAAAGAAATATGTTTTGATCGATAAAATCACTGATTATTAAACCGGAAGTGTCTTCTCTGAGGTCGGCGAAGAAGATGAAGAAAATATAAAGATTTCAGGCAATTCAATTTTGCCGTCGATTTAATTGGTTCTAAATAATCTTCGAATGCTTACTTTGACTTCTATTAGTGCTGTGTTGACTTCCCCACTTCATAAAAAAACATTATCACTTTTTGCTCGACACATAAATTTACTTCCGGTCTACCGAGAGAAATAAAAGTTCTTAGAACCTTTTCAATCCTCAGTCTAAATTCGGCTTTTTAAAGGTTCAAACATCGACTTTGAACTGACCTTTATGTATATATCGAAAATATATGTCTCTGGTTCACCAGAGAAGACCGACCAGACCTACCATTTTATCCACTATAAATCACAACGTCCGTTTAGTAAAGATTTTGACGTATAGACATTTATTGATGGATTGGAGGCTAGGATAAAAATGCTGTTAGGTTGCATAAGCCACTGTTTTCCTCGGCAGTTCACCTCTTGTACTGATTTTCTTTGTGCTCTCTCATGTGCTTAAATTCTCACTTGGAGAGGAAGACGTTTGCAAAAATATCTCGTCACGTGAAAAATTCTAAAAAACAGCATTGAAATCTAATAGGCAATAGATTTGGAAGTGTATTCTGTGATGTCCCTGGGCTGATGTCCCTGCATTCACGATAAACTGCGTCATGATGTGCTGTATCTAGAAGAAACAAGATCCTTTTCATAGATATATGCATAGGCCCTTCGGAGGAAGGTGTGGGTACTGTGGGAGTCACATTTATTGATGAAATGATGCAGAAATTTTTGCAAAAAGTTGTGAAAAAATATCTTGTCACATGAAAAATCTTATAAACAGCATTGAAATCGTACAGGCAATAGATTTTAAAGTGTATTCTGTGATGTCCCCAGGCTAATGTCCCAGCATTCAAGAAAAACTGCGTCAAGATGTGCTGTATCTAGAATAAACACGATCCTTTTTCATCCTCAGGTCTTCATCATCCTTTTTGCCATCTTAAAATGAGATTCCCTGTATTCTCTAAGCTTGTGACTATAGCAAAGCCAATACAAGTGATTAATTTCATTAAACATTGATGATTGAGCGATGGAGCAAGCCCAAGAATTCTAGAAAAAATTGTGTACATAATTGCCAGCTGTTATACATAATAAAAAAGTGCTCCATCGGGAAATCGAACCCACGCCGGAGAGGTGAAAGGCGAGCTCACTAACCACTATACCAGAGTGTTTTTTCATGATTGGGATAAATGTTTTGCAACTCTATAGTGATATACATGTGTGAAATTTTTAAGTGGCATTCTGGGTTGAAAGACTTTCGAGAGTGTTGTTTTTGTAACAAGGGAAATGACAATACCCGGGAAATTCACAGGTAGTACGGTCGTGTTTCGTTCAGTGGACAAGCTGCATAGGGACCGGCTATTTTGTGGATTATGCTATCAATGGCGTCAAATCAAATCTTGTTAGAAAGTCAATCAGTTGTACAAGCACTTTAAAAATTACAAGTACGTATAATGTATTGCTTGGTACATGTAGATCTATTGGTTATACTCTGAATAAGTACACAATCCAAGGTCGAAGGGTTTTTATAAAAATATATCCAAAAATTTTTTGACACCCAGTAGTCGAAGGGTCGTATGGTCGAAGGAGCGTAGGGTTTTTAGTACATTCCGTGCTGAGGACACCATTGCAAAATATGGGAGATGTGAAAATAAAAAGGCAGGTAAACGCCTGGGGGTAAACGAGTGCAACAAATTGAAGTTGTTGAAATTCAGACATGGATGTTCAAAATCTGAAATTAAGTGTTTAACCTTAGTAAGTCCCGCATGTTGGGTGCCATCAGGTTGACAGGGCTGCTTCACAGTTAGGTGTATCCTAAGATGACTAAAATGACCGTAGCCTGAGTAAATCTTATTTAGATTTGAACATCATATGTGCAAACACGGTTACTAGACTCATTTATGTCTTGGTTTAATATTTATTATGTGCAGCATTCACCCTACCCCGAGAGAGCAAACCATTGATTAGACCTTGATTAGATTTGTAATGTTACTTAAAACTGAAATGGATACAAAGTGAAATGAAAAGTCTGCATGTTTTCTTTTGGATTATATCTGAAGGCACATTTTTAGCATAACATATTCTTTCCCCAATTTGAGTTGCGATTCCAGTCTAATCGGGAGATTCTTTGAAATGGAGAGCACTTTTTATTAAAGTGTCAGTTGATGTATAATTTATGTATCATAGTTTGACAATAAAGTATGTAACTAACTAAAAAACAAAACTAAAATGGCTCTCGTAATACCAGCATGTTTGAATGAGTTACAAATTACATTGCCTTTCACATCCTCAAAATTCTGATTGCCGGTTAGTTTATATGTTTTGCATCTGATAGAAATTACCAAATAGCTAGAAAAACTCAGCTGCCATCTTGAAAATTTCTTCACCCCCAAGAAAGTTAGAAAACAAAATTGCAATTGAAGCATTCTGGGGTATTTTAAAATACGAAATTTGGACTAATAATAAAATGTATTATATATTTTCTAACTTTCTTGGGGGTGAAGAAATTTTCAAGATGGCAGCTGAGTTTCAAAATGGCTGCCATTTTTCGGAAAAAACACATAATCTTTGATAACTCAAATACCAGTTGATGGATTTGGGTCAAATTGTATATGCTGATATACTCTGTTCAAGAAGAAATTTTCAAGATGGCCACTTATTATCAAAATATGTTTTGTTCGTTGGGATTTGCTACTCTGTGGAGTTGCTGTTTTTCTAGTTTGATATTTTGTTATTGTTTCCCATCAGTTACACTATCTATTTTCAAAGAGTCTGATCACTAAATATTAAATCAATGAAAACAGGACTCATATACACTGCCCAAAAGGCCTACTAATTGAGGCCTTGCAAAATTTCTGGCCCCATCCTAATAGGGGAATGCCCATGAATGCAACTTTTGTGAAGTAGGGAAGACAATTTTAGCGATCATTTGAAGATTGTAAATAAAAGGAGTGTTTAAATTGAATTCACATATTTCTGAAAAATTCCCCGAGTCGTACAACATATATTTAACTTTGAATGACCTAACACTCCTCTGATGTTATTGAGCAATAATAGTTTTGGGTCAAAAGCCAATATTTTGAACTGAAGACATTGACACTTTAATTTGGTTTTCACCTGGAATTTAAAAAATATTTGGTTGAGAGGTATGCAGTTTATTCGCTCCTGTATGAGAACTGATTACAAGGCTGATTTAAAACTGCTGAGAAAATGGCAATGCTTAGAGGTGTTTCAAATCTTTTTGGAAGAAGTTTGAAATACTGTAGGGCAGTGAATGGAGTACAAAACATGAAGTACTCTGAAGAAGTTGAAAAAGCACACGAATCACAAAATACGGATATTATGTTTGGTATGGTAAGTTTTTTGTTATTTCACAACATCTCAGTAAGGAAGATTACTGTACATTAAGAACCAGACATGGGCGTAGGGCTATATTTTGAGTTGGTACGCACACGCGGGGGGTCCGGGGGTATGCTTCCCCGGGAAAGTTTTTTCAAGGACGTTATTTGATGGAATCTAATCGTTTTTATCAACTTTAAATGTTGACAATGGTAAAAATACAGATACGGTAGGAAGCATCAATAAATTCGCAAATAAATTAATGCATTTTAACACATTTTTAATTTTTTCAAATTCATTTGGTACGCCCGTGCGTATTTTGGGTAATAGGCGCTACGCCCATGCCAGATGAAGATAGTACTACTCCACATTGAAGCATTTTTGTCTAGGACCTTGTTTTAAAATATAATTAATCTTTACATTATAAAAAAGAAACCAAGCATGAGAAAATAGATGAAAAATCAGAAACTGTGAATAGTCATGAATTGAGAAAAAATCGTTAGTCTGAATGCATAAAGTAAACATAGTTTAAAAGCTGTCTTCGCATATAAAGAAACTCTAAAAATGCTTTTCTTATATATTTAGAATTGGGAGGATGTTGCACCAATAAGACACGCAATGGAAATCAAAAGTGGCGATAGAATCTTCACGATTGCATCATGTGGTGCCAATGCTATGACCCTTCTACTTGATGATCCTGCTGAAGTTGTGGCCCTAGATTTATCCATTCCACAGCTGCATTTGGCAAAATTACAGGCAGCTTGCATCAAACATCTGACGTACCAAGAGTTTATTGACTTTGCTGGGGTTGACAGAGAAAGAGTAACACCTGAGGAGCGTGTCCGAATATACAACAGCATCAAGAAAGCACTAGAACCAGGTGTGCAAGAGTTTTGGGACTCGATGACAGCTGAAATAGAGTTTGGTGTGATACACTGTGGATACTATGATAAATTGTACAGAAATGTTGCAGAAGACATGGTCTACGTTGCGCTTGATAAGCGTGATATTAAGGAGTTTATTGCAATGGGTGATAATATTGAAGATCAGGCCAGCTTCTTTGAAGATGTCATCAACAATAAACATTGGAGAAAATCAGTTTACCGAGTGGCGCACCATATGATGAAGGATTTCAATTTTTCCATCATTCCAGATGTGGATTATGGAACATTTTACTACAGAAGTATGGTGGACATCTATAAGAGCATTCCAATGAAGAAGAACCACTTTGGTGAATACTTGTTCACGGGTGGTTACTCTGGGAAGTATAACCTCAGGGATTACCTTCAAGAAGAGAATTTCGCCACGCTGAAAGATCGGGTTGGACGTATGCAGTGGATATATGGAGAACTAACAGAATGGCTAGCCAAGTACCCAAGTACTGGGCAACCAAAATTTGATGGGATCTGCGTATCTAACATTACCGACTGGTTGTCGTTAGCCAATCACAATGCAACCATTAAATCAGCTGCCGAAATCTGCAGTACTGGCAGAAGAATAGTATTTTGGAATCTGAAAGGTATGCCAAAATACTGGCCAAGTGATATGATCGACAAAGCCATCAAAGTTGAGCATGAATTAGAAGCTTCAGCATTGCTGCTAAATAGGTCACCATTTTGGGAGCCCCTCAGAGTTGCAACTGTTTTATAGACAGATTGAGACAATATAAAAAGAACTTATGCTTAGCTTAGCAGTATAGTACATACAGGGAGCTTTTTGAAATTTTGTACTTTGAAATAATTGACATGCGAACAAACAAGTAGGAGTATGAGTTGGAGTCCCAGCAGCCATTTTGAGAGCCATTTAGAGTGTTGTAACTCCAGGAAATGCAGATATATTGTATTACAAGAAAATGGCTGCCTTTTCAATTTTTCAAATTTCTTCTCCATGTTTCTCAACAACACTAGATTGCCATTGACCAATTACCTGATATACTAAAAGAAGGCAATGTAATAAAACTTCCCTGAAAAAAAGAAGGAAAAACAGACATGCCTTCATACTTTATTTTGTACCAGAAAATAACATGTGCAGGTATAGCAATTTTTCAAAAAATGTTTTCTTTACATGTACACCAGTACCTGAGATGAAGCTAAGAGTCAACAGGATATATTTGATTTGCCAACCAAACTAAACATGCACGCCATAACGCAATATAATTTGACATTTATTGAGTATGATATATGAGTATCAACCAGGAGAATATTCAGCATGGGTACAACCGATTAATTGTTAAAATAATGGATAAAACGTGTAATATATATAGAGATATTGTATTAAATAGGCCTCAGGAGAATTGCTTTGACTGTGAATGCGTCTGGTTTTAAGCCTCTCCTTTATACTAGTATATAGAAGAAAAATTTGCCATACTATGTTGGATTATTGAAAGAATTTACTAAAACAGTTCAACCTAGGCCTCCGTCCTCGGCTTTCAACCAATGACTTATTGGGGTCGAGAGTTTCTTGGAATTTGTTTGATATTAACCTTTTGACCTCTTAGCACATTCCAAGTTGGTCCAAATTTTATAGGCTAATGTCTTGTGGAAAAGGATCTCAGAAGGAATTCATAATGTGGTGTTAAGTCACATTTTGGATGTAGATTTTGCCCAAAGGTAACAATACTCCTGCCTGGTTATTTCTATCCTGCTCAAAATGATAGTGATTTGATAAAATGTGTTTTGTTCAGTGGGATATGTGTTCGTTGGAGTGAGTCTTGTGCATCTCCCAGTCCATCACCAGGGTGGTTCAAAGTGGATGTAACATAGTGTGGTTATCAGAAACAAAACAGACTCTTAGATTTTAATATATATTCAATATTCTTACTTTATTTCTTTAATTACAATAAGTTTTCAACGGCAACAGCAAATAGCTCATAACAATAAGGTCTTCACAGTTCAAACACCCAACGCACACAGAATTGCATAGATACTGTACTTGCCATATCCAGTGGAAAACAATTTACATTTTAAACCTTCCATCCCTAGCATATAAACCCTACTTTTCCATAGTAGCCCCTGAAACATTACCCCATGTTTCCATTTACCTCCCCATATCTGGAATCTAAGCACCTCTGGTTGGACTTCTTTTACGGAATAACGGTTTAAAAATGACTCTTAAAACTGATACCTAGATCCCAACCTGCAACCTAGGCCCAGCAATAAAATATACTTGTTTCAATGATGAAATACAAACAACATCTGTATTTATGTTATAGTATGACCGGTAACAGTAGAACACTACTATTGTATGTAGACAATTTATTCCTTTACTTAAAGGTAGAATCAGATCTGTAGGGCATGACAAAATTACAAGCAACGTGTACAATTGACATACAAATCTATTCATTACAATCTCAAATACAAGATCTCCCAAAATAGATCTATTATGTATTAGTAAAGTTATTAAAGATTCAAAGTGCAAAAAGGGGAAAATAATGTATGTTTAAATTCTCCAAAATAATAAAAATGGTAACCATAAAAATAGAAAATAAATACATAATTGTTAAATATTTTAGTTTTCCTGATATTAAGTATGCACTTTGGGAATTGTTGAATGATATGAGCCCAAAATACTTTGGACTCATATCAAACACTCTCGCTAGATCTGATTCCCTCTTTAAATACACGAAAACATTACTGATTTTTTCTCATAATATTACTCATTCTAATGTACATCGGCTGTAATGTTTATGAATGCAACCTATCATGTTTAACAAGCCAATGTTTAATATGAACCCTCTTCTCCTGAATTACAAGTTCGAGCCTGGGACCATGTATCAAAATAATTCAATTTGTTGGTCCTTCCAAACTCACTGGGGGGTATCCTGATGCAACAACACCGTGTTGTTGCATCAAGATGGCCAGACTTCCGGTGATAGATTTTCGTACGATGTTTTGTTTTCCCAATTTACACCCATTTCTAGGACGAGTTGCTCAATAATCATACACATGCAGTTAGCGCATGATCTATATTTTAAAAAACTTTCATTGGTGTACATGTAGCATCATCAAGAAGCGATAAATTCGTGGTTTTAATTCCTCACTATTGATGCAACAACACCACTCTGTTTCTTATCGATGATGCAACAACACCAATGTGCTGATGCAAAAACGCCAATATAATGTATCATTGAACAACAAGAGAAACTGTTTTATGTTCTGTTTACAGGTGTAGGTCGGAACGTGAATAAAACGCGTGAGTCAGTGGTCCATGAACGAAACGTATTTCGTTTGGTTTCTTTGTCTATATCAAAGTTAAAAGGATATACAAGGCAAAGGCAAACTAAATAAAGTACAGAATCCCCAGGAGGCAATCTCATTGATATTGTATCTGAAAAATAAAGATTAGACATTTTCTAAATTAAATGCCCTTGATGTACCGTATGAAAATTGCTTACAAATAACTAATATAATTTTGGAAAGACAACAGATATCAGTCATTTTGTGTTGTAAGTAGAGAGATTTCGCACATACGTAAAATACAACTTATAACGTATACTTATACTTATAAGAAGACGTACAAGGTGTTTCATAATGTGGGTATTTCGTCAGGAAAGATCTTCTCGGACTGTAATAAATAAAGGTCAAAGGGATGCCTTTTGTACTTTCTTGAATTGTAGCATGTTTAGTTGATCCAAATGTGTTTGTCTAGAATAAAATAGGCTCATATATAGTACATACATATAGACCCATCTCTTCTCAAATTGACTTTTTGGAGATGCTCGTTATGAAACACCCTGTATGTCATTTGTTGAGCTACTGAATGGGTCGTTTCCAGGAATTGCTAGAACCTACTGGTTTGATTGGTGTTCAAATTGATGGTTAAAGTATTTGATTGGATACTGTTCCTACTCAGCCGATTAATTTAGAAAATGCTTGCGGTCAATTGTTCCACACACATGTAGGTAAATCTTTATACGTAGATCCAACTGTATACGTTTATCATCTACGTGTATATACAATTTTGTAAGTTCATTGAACTTATACTGATCATGAAAACTTTGAAATAATCAACTTGTTTATGTAATGACTCACTTGAAAGGATCATGACTCACTTTAAAGGATCGTGTTTAGGATACACTACAACTACTAGGACACGGAAGCAAGCATTTAATTATAATGTGCATAATCTACACGTGCAGATGACAGTGCATTCACAGTCTCTGGTTGATGGAGCTTTTCTGTATCGGGAATAGTAATGTTCCATTAAGTACAATTTAAAATTGATTTTAGTAAATATAATAGTACGACATGACCCTTTAAACTATACGTATACATATAAGTTGTACTTTCACTTATGTGCGAAATCTCTCTATTACCTCAATTGAAATACTCAATTCTGATTGGTTGATGAGCTGGCAACAAAATGTATTATTAGTATAGTACCTCAACTGAAATACTCGATTCTGATTGGGTGATTAGCGGTCAAAATTATATACTGTTGACCGCTACTAGGTACTGTTGACCGCTACTTCTGAAAAAAAGTTTCATGACGTCACAGAAAAACATGGAAGACAGGCATTTTGTAAACGTTGATGAAAATGACCTTACTAGGCGACAAGTATAGCAAAAATACAAATAGAAACTTAAAATTAACATTAATTCACTAACGAGTTCGCCGTGATGTGCCAAATACAGAGTTAAGCTACTTGCACTGTCTCCATATTTTCTAAAAAAAATATTGCTAACGTGGTTCGGAGAAAAGGTTGTGAAATGAAGCCATGCCGATTGATGATTGTCGTTTATATGTGTATAACTAGTTTACTCGGACTAACGAAACAATTGTAGACCTCTCCATTTGATCAACCGTCAAAATCATATACCTCGACTGTAAACCTTGAAACTACTGTTGACCTCGACCTTCGGTCTCTGTCAACAGTAGTTTTTCGGTTTACAGTCTAGGTATACAATTTTGCCGGTTGGCCTCTGGGGAGGTCAACAATTGTAAACTGTTGATCACTACTAGGTACTGTTGACCCCAATTTTGGAAAAATTGTTTTTTTTAATGTTGAAATTTTTTTTAATTTTGAAAAAATAAGTTGTGTAAAAAATAACAAGTATTCGACGGTTTGGTGATTTTTTGCTGAAATATGATACCTTTACTTATCGAATATGTTCACGTGATATTCGACTATATATTCATCCAATTATTATATTATTTGGACTAACAGAACAATTGTTAACCTCTCTTCAGTTTTCGGTCAACTGGCAAAAGTGTCCTTGACCTCTGGTCTTGATCAACAGTACTTTCAAGGTTTACAGTATCGGTATACAATTTTGCCAGTTGACCTTAAGAGAGATCTACAATTGTATATTATATCCTTCAAATTATTATATTCTTCGGACTAACAAACAATTGTTAACCTCTCTATTCGGTCAACTGGCCAAAGTGTATAACTCAACAGTAAACCTTGAGAGTACTGTTGGCCTTGACCTCCGAAATTTCAAGGATTACAGTATCGGTATACAATTTTGCCAGTTGACCTCAAGAGAGGTCTACAATTGTATATTGTATATCCTTTGTTATCCCACCCAAAGTATGATGTCATATATCAAGTTGAAGAGTTGTATACGCTGCTCAGGAGTTTACGCTATCCAGGAGTTGTACATCGTTCTCAAGAGTTGTATAGGATAAGTGTTGGTTTAATGATATTGCAGTTATACAATGCTATTATATAAAGGTTATTTAGTGAGAGGGATTCAATATTGGTTTTATTTCGAGAGACAATATGATATTTCCCGAGGGCCCGGGATATCTGGGATAACTGTACCCCTATCAATTTACCTTTTTGGGCCCTAAATCTTATCACTTTTGTTTACCTTTTTATTCAGTCGGAGAGAAGGAATCCAAAGAGAGCAATAATTCTACATGTGCGTCATGCAAGATTTCCATTAAACGTGTAACTAAACGGCCTCTCTAATAAAGTCAATTAGACGTTTTTACACGTTGGCTCTCCAAATTGGAGGAAATAAAGAATCATATCATATTATATCATAGATGAAGCAATCATCCCATCAACATAAGCTCACGAATGTCACAGTTAAACTGTTTTAGTTATAATTTGATAAACAGTGGTAACGTACATATACTAGTTTATCACTGTTCCACAGATGGATGACAGATAATATCCAATAGCTCATCATGTTTACCGAGAACGAAAGATGTTTGTTATAAAGGCGATTGAACTATACTATGTTATAGAACATTGTCCAGTACATTATAATATGTAAAAGTATAAATTTTTGAAAATACATATAAAAGATCTCCGCCCGCAGGACGTGTATTTTGAATGCCTTGAGAAGAACGCAAATATGGGTAGGCTAATTGGTAACGGTGTTGCAATAGTAGCATTTAAAAATCTGCTCCTCTCGAGATTTATGGTCTTCTGAAATTATACTATTAATGAAGTTATTAGTGAAGAACTAAAACCGTGAACTTATTGTATTAGTACATGTATACTAATGACAGTTTCTTTAAATATAGATCGTGCACTAAATGCACGTGTATACTTATTGAGCAAATCGTCCTAGAAATGGGTTTAATTGGGGAAACAAAATATCGTACAAAAATCTATCACCGGAAGTCTGGCCATCTTGATGCAACAACACGGTGTTGTTGCATCACGATACTCCCCAGTGAAACTGTCTTTATTATAAACTTCAATAAAGCCAAACTTTCGATAATGTTTGCTGTAACATGATCAACATTTTGTTTTTAAATTGATTGACATATTTTGATGGTTATTGGTTATATCACTGGAGAATATTATTAGAGAAAATATGGTATCAATAAAGTGCACCAAGTTCAGATGTTTGTGCCATTATAGTTCTCAAAGAGGACACTATTTTTCGCTGGCCTTTGAACATTTTGAACATTAACAACAAGGATAGTAACGTTCTTCTAATGAGGATCCTAAACAAATAGTTGAACTGCCAGAGAAAGAAAACTGTTTCCTCGATATTTCGCCACAATACGCAGACATTTATGTGTATCACATGATCCAACTTCCCAAGGCCCCCATGTGCTCCATTCACAGTACTCTAAAAGAGTAAAAAATAAGTATGTTTGTTTTATTCATAACTACAACCTTTTATTCCTGAACTATTATGTAACTAATGCATAGAATTTACTCATTAGCATCTCAAATTCATTTTATACAATTGTAAAATGTTTGAAATCTTACTATTCCTAAAATAAATACATTGATAGCTGCTAGAGAGGCTATTATTGTTGAACACAAGCAAATCGGGAATATATTTCTGCTTTATGTCAAGGAATGGGGGTGATGAAAATCCAGAGTAAATTTGTATATACTTACTACATGGTGTGCATGGCATGATCCTTGTTTCTGTAGCTGTACCAGAAACACAATGAGTGTATCTTCTGGTTCTTGTTTCAAGACGTGTTCCTCCACATGGTTTACTGCATCGTCCAACACTCCATGGAGACCATGGTGTCCATTGGCAAACTTTGGAACATTTTTATTATATATAGTGTAAATAGTTTTGACTTTCTGGGATCAATATTAATTAATACTAAATGACCCGAAAATAAATTTAATTTACAATGACGTCTTACTTACGCCATCAATAACATTGATTTAGGAATTCTTTTATGTTATAAAAATATTTTATATGTACATGTATAGTACTAATTGTTTATCAGATATTGTTTGATGAAATATAAACTTACTGTCTTCACTGTTTCCTCTTTCACCTTTTGGCCCTTGATCGCCTTTTTCACCTTTTTCACCCTTTTCAGCTTTTGTAGCTTTAGGACAAGTTGACCCCTTTTGGCCTCTTACACCACTGACACCAGTTTCCCCTCGATCACCTTTTGCACCAGTGGGACCAGTATGCCCTCGATCACCTTTTGGACCATTTGGCCCTCTGTCACCTTTTACACCAGTTTGACCTTGATCACCTTTTATACCACCAGGTTTACCAGTTTCATGAGCTTCACCTTTTTCACCTGTTTCCCCTTTTATACCTTTGCATCTTTCATCACATTTTTCTTCCAATTGTTCCATAAGGATCTCTAGTTTGATTATATCTCTTTGCTGTTTTTTAACAGTGCTTGCCAGTTTATTGACAGTTTCACTTAGTTGTTTGAATGCCTCATCAGCTGGAGTTGCTTCAACATCAATAGAGTAAAATTCTGAAATGCTTAGCAAAGTTATTCCAATCCATATAACATGCATACTTGGGAATGGGTACATGGTTCAGTATATTTTGTTTACAGCCTGCTAGTTCCCTTGAGTTTGCAGTCGGCTAAATGTTTTGAAAGAATCATGACATTTTTATATGAAAAAGTTCATGTTATTCTATATCATCAACAAACTGTCCCCATTTTATATAAAATACGAAGGATGCTGATCCCTTACTGTATTCTAAATAAGAAATCTTTAAATGTTAGTTCACTTCTCATGCATTTTTAAAATATGATTACTTTTCTTAGTACTTGAGCAACTTGTGTGTTTTGTTCTATATATCTTTTTTATTGACTCTTTAGATGTCATGACCTGACATATTAGTCATTAGTCAATATTTGGTACATGTATACATCATCCAATCTCCTACCACCCTAACATATTTCAAGATTGATGCTTACAATGTTACAGCACTTTAAACAACATTCTCCAGAGTCATTCTACTGAGATAGACTGTTTTGGTCATGTTCATGTAATGGATAATCAGAAGAAGAAACTAAGTTAATGTGACCAAACCCTTTCACTGTATATGCTTTCTGGAGCGTTGAAAGGAATACACAGTTTTCAAAACTCTCTGCCTTTCAACCTGCACAATCGAGACCTATGGCTTACTGGGTATCACAAAATTGTAATTTATATTCATTTTTCAGTCAAGTGCCATTTTTCATTGTAAATACATTTAGTTCCCATTTGAGATTATTTTAGTTTTAAACTCACAATAATGTTTGTAGCACATGATATGTTCCAAGACATTGAACATTTATTACTTCCTCTGTTGAAGTCAGTATAAAAATGGCACAATGGCATCATGGATGCCAACTGGGAAGTGTATAAGAACTGTATAATACAGGGTGGTCAAATAAAACGGCAATCCTACCGCCATTTTCCTCATATCTTTGTCATTTTAGAAAAGTTCTACCTGATATTTGGTACATGTATACATCATCCAATCTCCTACCACCCTAACATATTTCAAGATTGATGCTTACAATGTTACAGCACTTTAAACAACATTCTCCAGAGGCCAATATTGCACTTTGGGCATACCTGCACCAGTCGTCCAAAATGTTCTTACCTGACTTCTACCTGACCTGTGGGATATGCCAAAGATAAAGTGTATAAAAATAACCTCAGGACAATTACATACCTCAAAATGGAGGTAATAATTGTCATTCAGGCCATATTTACAGAGGATTGCATTTGGTTCATAGACAACTTTTGCAGGTTTGCCTAAGCACGATGATGGCCAGACCTGGGGCATGTTGTTTAAAGTGCTGTAACATTGTGACTGTCAGACTGATTGTCTTGAAATGTTGTGAGCTGATAGGCAATTGAATGATGTACAAGTGTGTAAAATATCAGGGAGAAATCCTCTAAAATGACAAAGATATGAGGAAAATACAGGGTTGGCATTTTTTTACCACCCTGTAATTAGGAGATCTCTTTGAAATATATTGTCACATATTTAAGATTCATGAATAATTTGTTCGTTATAACAGTTGAGCTCTTCTGACATCAATTTTATTATGAGGCAGTAGAAAATATTTCCAAGATATGTACGAAAATGTTCTTTCCTTTTTATGTGTAAAATTGGAGCACCATGGCAGAATTTATTCTCGGTTATTGTCACATGAATAATACCATACAGTATTCATTAAATATATAACACTGACAACTTGTAGTATTTGACATTTTTAGTTATTATTGATATATAGTAAAACCTGTCTTAGTGGTGGTGTCTCAAGAATGTGTTCTGCTTTGGAAGTGTTCTACTTTAGAGGTTCATTTAACATTAGGGAGGTAGTTGGTCTTGGGACTCTGAAAAGTGTTCAGCTTCTAGAGGTGCTCTTACTTAACAAGTTTCTCAGTATTATTCTACAAATTGATCATTCCTTAGTGATCTTCAAATTCATTTTATTCAAATTCTTTTTATTTTACTATCCTTTCAGGGGTTGATGGCGTTATAGCGGACCCACTGCTTTGTAAGATTTACTTCAATGGAAGTTTCCCCTGCCAAGGAGGGTTACTTGCCTTAGACGGACTTACAGGACGTGAATTATGGCGGCATTATTCCATTCACGAAATGTTTGCTGTAAATTGTAACTACGATATGAATAAAGATGGCGTCCTGGATTGTCTTGGAAGTGGCCGAGCAGGGGTAAGAAAACTATTTTTGTAGTCCCCTAGTGGACGTCCACTATTTTTGTAAAAACTCATGCCAACTTCACACTTGCTTTCTCTATTTTTGAAAGTTATGGCTTATTTTGGAGATTTCAAACAATGTTTTCAACATATACATCATATATGAAAAACATTAACATCATGCCTTTTGTGATGAACTTTACTCCTTACACTTTTTCCAATATGTTTCACCTTTTTGTATTTAATTAACAACATATTAGTGTTAATTCTCTGGCTTCCCAGATGTTTTAGCAGCACATTGGGGTGATTTGAATACATACATTCAAATTGTGCTGAAACATGACACGATCATTTGAATCATATTTTTTCTTGATATGAGGTTTCATGAATTCATAGAAATTCAATTTAATGGAACAGACATTCCTATGAGTCAGGTATTGTCTTATCCTCTGTGGAATTGCTTTTGTAATAGGTTTCAAAAGGGCCAGTTATGAAACATAAACCCTATTATTTGTAAGACATATGATACAATGTAAGGTGACACCCATGATCCAGGTTTCTATATTCTTAATGAGCTTACAGGCAAAATATATTATTTTACTTCCTTCCATCTACTTACTTCTTCTGGTTTAATTTGTAATGATAACTTCAATCTATTAAGTCAGGAAGAGCGACAATCATGATGCATTAATAAAGACTATTAATATATACTGTGTGAATATATGTAGTTCGTATAGTTGTGTATTCTCTTAACTTATAATGGTTTAAGACAATTTTCTCATATGATTATCTGATTATGTTGGGTACGATTACAGTATAAGCCAAAATAGTATAAATTTTTCATAGGGCCTTTAATTATTTTTCCAGGTATTGCAGTTGGTGAATGGGAAAGATGGCGCTTTAATCTGGAACTTTGGAAGTGAAAGTGATGCCCACAGTGACATAATGAATGTTTATACAGCACAGTTTGTGCAAGATTTAGACGATGATGGATTCCCAGATGTTTTAGCAGCACATGGTGGAGATCCTTTAAGAGAACCAGGTTTGTGGTAACCCTTTAACAACCCCCTTGAGAAGCCCACCATCAAATATTTCATCCTTTTATGTGAATATCTATGACATGTTTGCAAGATGATATTTCACTTGCTGCTCATCCTTCGAGCGGCAATGTCACCTGTTGGAATGTCACCTGTGTGTTTTGTAAATTGTGACCCTTCAACAAAGCAAGGTGTATCATGACCCATCTAATTAAAGGGAGCCAAACATTTCAAAAAGTTCTTCAATTTTACAGAAAAATTTCAACTCAGGCATTTTGTTAAAAACATTTCATCGCAGGTTTGCCAGTATGTAGTTAAGAGTAATGTACAGAGCGACCCAAAAAATTGCAACATTCTTAGTTTTTGAATAACCTTATCAATCATGAATTTTTAATTCAAAATTGTGATGGATACATTTAAGAATACCATTGTTTGCTTCATTGAATATTATAATACACAAGAAATGAGATTCCACCACTATTGAGAAAGTTATTCCAAAATTAGATGGTTGCATTTTTTAGGATTTTTTTTTTTATAGTATAAACTTTATTGAAGTAAAGTCAATACATTTTCAGCCACCAATCGCCATATTGGCATTATAGGTTGGCCATCACTTACATGTAAAAAATTAAGTATAAAATATTTTGGGATCACCTTGTATATTTATATATAATTTTATTTGCAGTTGTGTATTTCCAGGTAGTAAAGTGAAGCTGTTTGGTAGACTAATATTATTCAGTGGTGTTGATGGTAGAGTCCTCATGTGGAGGAACATTCCAGCGGACGCTGAATCTTACTATTCCCCACAGGTAGAATACACCCCTCTACTTTATAGATGAACTCTTCACCCTTATTTGTTTTTTGCTATGTCACCAACTTAAGTGGTGACATATTGTTATGGTCTCCAATTTTTGTGACAGCAGTTGGCGTTTGGCATTCAGTGTCTGTAACAAATGGCAAGTAGTGACATTTTGCATGTTAATGACTTGAATGATATTATCATATTGACTATAATACTTGTAGTTTTTTACACAAGGGCATCCTTACCTTTATCAAGGCTTCCCTTTATATCCATGCTAGGATACTAGTGTAGCATGGCAATATTAATTTCTGATTGGCCAAAACAATATTATGAATGCCTTGTTGTTTTGGAATACATTTTGAATCTGGCAAAAATATGACTTTTAGCATCATATCCAATCTATGGCATGATCTACTGAAATGGTTAAACTACTCAGCTTGTATGATATGTCTATCACAATTGTTTACCCATATCAATGTCTTGTTTTATTTTTACTTTAAGCTGTTTACATTAACAGATGGTACAGAAGTGATCTTATTTGGAACAGGGGGTGAGACCAGTGGAGGTGGACTGTTTTATATCTCCTTATCTGACCTCTACAATGGACGCATGGACAAGGTATATATGTTTTTGTGCATTTGTGAATCATGAGAGAGCACTAATTGAACACTTTATCAACACAATAATTCAAAAATAAAAGTTTTTGCAAAGTGAGAAGCTTGTATTATGATGCATTTTCTCTCTCATCACAGAGTCTACATTTGTATTTTGGAACATTTATACATTAACATTTTGATACATAAATATATTGTTCACACATCGTCTTGTCTTATTGAATCAATTTGAAATAAAGAAATAAAAATAAATAAAATAATAGAGAATCCAGTGAACTGGTTCATGAAATTTAATCGCTGCAAGATTGACAGAACTGCGGTTTCCACGTAGGCACTCCACCCATCAGAAATAATCCGGGACCTGCTTCCTGACTTATCCAGAAATCTCTGAATGCTTGTTTGAAATGTTCTTTTCCCCATCCTTTGTTTTTAATCATCATTTCATCGCCTACTAAGTGTTTGAATTCTTGGATAGAACCTTTGTCATATATAAGTTTTAAGTTGAGTGATCCAAAAAATTCAGAAAATCTTGCCATTGTTATGAATTTCTTGTTGTCGTGTTCAAGAATGACAACAAGGCATGTTGAGATGTAGTCCAGGACTTCTTCAAATGTTTTTAGATTTTCAGGTTTAAGATTTATTGCGACGTTACATATAAAAACGCCTATTGTTTTTCCCTTTGTCGTAAATAGCACCTCTACTGGATAATTCCCCCAGAGTATTTTTAAAAATACTGTTTCAATCATGTCATAAATTTGAATTTTTTTCATCAGGGTAGCTTGTTTTGAATGCATCAACAATATCCTTTAATTGTTTGTTCCCAGTGTCTTTGCGATCAATAAGTGAAAAGAATGTTTTCATCTTTCGTTGCCATAGTGATGATGTGGTTGCTAGGACAACATCTATTGTATCCACTGCATCGATCATTCTATATTATCTGAAAAAAGGTTTCAATAGTACAAATATAGACATTTTGGTAAATAGTTTTGAGGTATTTTGGGAGCCACAGTTCTATCACATAGGTACTGTATTATCTTTAACGCCCACTCCCTTCGCCATCTATATCATCTACTTCACTTTTATTTGTCAAATCTAGGATCAAATCCTGGCATTATTTGGGTGACAATGAATTTTAAAAAATGCTTCTTACTTACCTCATGGTCCTTTATGAATCTGATAGATAACTTTTCTATATTGTAGAAACTTTTATTCACTTTTATTTGTCAAATCTAGTATCAAATCCTGGCATTATATGGGTGACAATGAATTTAAAAAAATGCTTCTTACTACCTCATGGTCCTTTATGAATCTGATAGATAACTGAATCTGGTAGATAACTTTTCTATATTGTAGTGCTGTCAAAACAATTTGTTACATCACTTTCTATAACTACTAAGTTTATACTAGCCTAAGGATGCATTTACAGTCTATACTTTTTCGTGTACTAGTAATTACTGTTTACTTATCTTATTTTTTCATCTAAGCTAGTATAACTTGTATAAATCTACAGTTCAGTAGGCGAAGCAGTGTAAAAAAAAATTACACTAAGTGAGTTTTATGGCTAACTTTTCCATTCGATTTAGTTTCTTTAAAGAAGTTTCATCTACTTTATGTGTTAGGGTTTGACCCTTGTGGTATTTACTACATATGAACCCAAACAAATTATATATTGTTTATATATATTTAAAAATAAGCTAGTAAAAATTGATAATTGCATTGCTATTTGCGCACATGTACATTCCTTGTGGTTTATTTCAAGATTTATTTTGATTGCCATTACTTTTCCATCTGTGGTTTTTGTTTTGTTTCTTTCTTTAGTAATGGATTTAATCTGAGGGCCAGACTCTAGAATAATACACTGTAGATGAAATTCTCTTTTAAAGAAACAAATCAAATAATTGCAAAGGGTATGATTCATTGTTTTTTTAGTAAGACTAGACTTGGTATGTTTTTATTTATTGATTATTTGTTTATTTTTAGGCTCGTGAAATATATCGTGATCCTAAGAAGGGCATCATGACTCCCCCTGTTCTTATTGATATGACAAAAGATGGCGTTGAGGATATTGTGATGTCAGCGTTCAACTCTACAGTGTTTTTAGCAGATGGGTTAACACATAAGATCATCTGGAACTTCACATACCCCGGCTCTGAATCATACAGGTGGGATAACTTGTAATTGGAATGATGCTGTTTGGCTTTTCAGTAGAGGCTTTTCCAGCTTGTTTTAAGTTGATCCAAATCAAGAAATTAAGTGACTCTTGCCATTGAGTTGGTATGTTATTTAGCCCTACCAATACCCATGATGCCATCTATTTTTCCATTTATATGGAAAAGGGTCAATTGCAAAAGTGTATTTGAGTGAATTTACCCAAAAATATGCAAGTGGGTGTTTTGTCGTTCTAAATTGAGGTACACCAAAATCAAATGTTATTATCTCATCTATGTTCAGGGGATGACTTTGTCCAAGTTCCGCTGGAATTTTCAATATGGCTGCTGCTTTTTCTAAAGGCAAATTTTAACGCTTATACACTATTTACAGTACCTTAGTTTAAATAAAATCTACCTCAAGGTCCATGGTCTAGGAATAAAACAACCAATGAAATGGGCAACTATGTTTATTTCAGTACTCCTGCAGTAGGTTACTTCAACAACGATGATGTTCCAGACTTTCTCATAAAGTACAGCTATGGACCTGGTTTCCCAATCTACTACCATTCTGTGGTAAGTATATATACACCCCCAAATCCATATCATCATCAAACACTCAAACACTGCTGTACAGTACTGGCGGGCGGGCGGCGTCTCACTTTTCAACTTGTCTACAGGTTTCCAGCCAAACCATTTGAGGGATTCATCTGAAATTTTCAGGGATGTTTCTACATATCAACGTCAAGAACTGATTAGTTTTTGGGCATTCTGGGTAAATCTTAAGGTGGCCATTTTGGATTTTCCGTCCTAAAATCTTCACTTTCAAGACTTGTCTACAGGTTTCCAGCCAAACCATTTGAGTGATTCATCTGAAATTTTCAGGGATGTTTCTACATATCAACGTCAAGAAATGATTAGTTTTTGGGCATTCTGGGTAAATCTTAAGGTGGCCATTTTGGATTTTCCGTCCTAAAATCTTCACTTTCAAGACTTGTCTACAGGTTTCCAGCCAAACCATTTGAGGGATTCATCTGAAATTTACAGGGATGTTTCTACATATCAACGTCAAGAACTGATTAGTTTTTGGGCATACTGGGTAAATCTTAAGGTGGCCATTTTGGATTTTCCGTCCTAAAATCTTCACTTTCAAGACTTGTCTACAGGTTTCCAGCCAAACCATTTGAGGGATTCATTTGAAATTTTCAGGGATGTTTCTACATATCAACGTCAAGAACTGATTAGTTTTTGGGCATTCTGGGTAAATCTAAAGGTGGCCATTTGGGATTTTCCGTCCTAAAGTATTCACTTTTAAGACTTGTCTACAGGTTTCCAGCCAAACCATTTGAGGGATTCATCTGAAATTTTCAGGGATGTTTCTACATATCAACGTCAAGAACTGATTAGTTTTTGGGCATTCTGGGTAAATCTTAAGGTGGTCATTTTGGATTTTCCGTCCTAAAATCTTTACTTTCAAGACTTGTCTACAGGTTTCCAGCCAAACCTTTTGAGGGATTCATCTGAAATTTTCAGGGATGTTTCTACATATCAACGTCAAGAACTGATTAGTTTTTTAGGCATTCTGGTTAAATTTTAAGGTGGTCATTTTGGATTTTCTGTCCTAAAATCTTCACTTTCAAGACTTGTCTACAGATTTCCAGCCAAACTATTTGAGGGATTCATCTGAAATTTTCAGGGATGTTTCTACATATCAACGTCAAGAACTGATTGGTTTTTGGGCATTCTGGGTAAATTTTAAGGTGGCCATTTTGGATTTTCCGTCCTAAAATCTTCACTTTCAAGACTTGTCTACAGGTTTCCAGCCAAACCGTTCAAATTTTTATATTACATATGTTACACAGTGATAAGTTCTAGAGCTGATTAACATTTCTGCGGCCATCTTGCTTTCTTGGTCAACAAAACCACAATGCTATGTTTTAGGTACGATATTGTTCACGTCTGTGCCTTGTTTATATAATCATTTTTTCCCTTGTCTGTGTTGTTACAGTTTTTACAATGATTAAAATTTGTAAATTGTTTACAGACAACTGTATTAGATGGTAAAACTGGTCGCCCTCTGTTGGAGCCCTACGTGCGGGACACTGTAGGAGCACAGACGTCAAGTCTAACCATATCTGTGGAGGGTAGAGGCAATGATATGTTCCTTTACTGGGTGTCTGATTGCTTACAGCATGAGGGGGAGGGGGGAGAGTATACATTCCGAAATGGTAAGTATAGTAAAACGTGTAAAGTGGAACACCTCTGAAAGTGGAACGCCTCTGTAAGTGGAACACATCTGAAAGTGGGACACCTTTGTTAGTTGAACAGAGTCCAATGACCAATTGACTTAATGTTAAATTATACACCATTTGTACCTTCAAAAAAATTTGCAACTTGGGATATGTTTAGTTTCCTGAGGTTTATTTTATCATTTCATCATCATGTCACAGAACTATAAAGGCCACTTACAGAGGCATTTATCATGACAGTTTATAATGCGCATATACAATACACTGTACATGTATTATGAAATTAACATCTTAATTAACTGCAGATGAGAGCTAACTGTTTTGAAATTATCATCCTGCTTTCTTCAATGCAATTTTGATAAAATACTAATATGTATGAAATATACAGGTGAATGTTGCATTATTTATAACTCAATCCATTCATACAGTCTTATTGAAAATATGTTGCGATTTGATGAAGACAATATCCCAGAAATCTTAAAAAATTGTTATTACAATCAACAATTTTTTAAACCTATTGAACTGTTAGTAGTTCCCACTTAAATGTTTATATTATATTAATATGTACATGCAGACAAATATTAACAAATATTATAAAGCTGTTGTTTTAAAAACATAGGTTTCAATAGATCATAAATAAATGTACTTTTGTGAAGACATTAGGCCTGGATTATTTTCAAACATATTTTCCTTGGTGCTCATTTCAGGTACTAATGTACATGAGAAGAGTCGCTCAGATTTCTGCAAGCTGCGCTTCAAATCCTCTGGTTTCACAAAGATGTATGCTCTCAACCAACATGTGGAAGCCCCTGGAGAAACTGTTTATTACTCAGGTAAGCGCTATCTTTAAGTTAACACGGAAGCTGAATCACTCTTAGTCATATCTGGATGGTCAGAAAATTAACACTTCAATTTTTTCCGTTACTTTTTTCAGTTAAGTTATAATAATAAAGAAGCAACTTAAGTTTCTTACGTCATACATAAAACTATTTCCTGGTCAGTAAGCCTACTTTTTAATTCTTCTTGACCGTTACATCTCATTTTTCTTTACAGTGGAAAGAAACCATACTGAGGTTGAGGCATGGGTAAATACTACAAAAGAAGCGATTGACTTTGTCATGACACACCCAAAGTATTTTTCTGACTTTGCTTATTATCGTGACAGAGATGCTGCTATCCTTGCTGGAGATACGTCAGCCTATTTTGGCAAGGTTTGATCATTTCTCCAAAATAAAAATCCTGTCTTCATAAGTTTGTACATCATAATAATTTCAGTTTAAGATGAGTATTTAATTGTATAGAATAATATTTAGTGCTTGTCTTTAATTTTGAACTTTCACTTTTAAAAAACATTAACATCTGGAAAAACATTTTGGGCCAAATTTTGAAAAATAAAGGTCAATTTTTGGATAAACTGGTCAAAAAGGCCTAAAAGGTCAAATTATGCCCAAAAAGGCCCATTTTTTAGGCCCTACAAAATGTTGTGGCCCAAAAACTAAAAAACATTTTCTGGGCCCACTAAAGGGGGGGGGGGGCAGCGGGCCCCATCCGCCACTGGTATGTTCCTTATATTTGAATATTAAACAGAGAACCTTGACACCATCCTTAAGAATCTGTTTCAGGAGTTGAGCCCCGAAAATCAACCAGAAGTTTCAAAGGATCTGATGTCATATTACAATGAGGGACAACAACGAGATCCTCCTCCTAACCATCATTATGACAACCAAAATAATTACCATAGTGACCAACAACAAAACAATAAACCAAAATTGCAAAATGACTTTATCATTGAGAATAAATATGCAAATAATAGACAAAAAACAAAGTATGCAAAGGACCGTCAAAAACCATTGGATTTTGACGACAGAGCTGGTTATCACAGCAACAGTGATAGTAACTATGGCAACAGTGATTTGAATACAAACAGTAAAACATATAACAACATTCCTCAAGATATACTTAATCTTTTACCAGATGAAATAGATAAGAGCTCATATGATAAAGTGCGCAATTTTCTCGCTGATGTTTTAAAATCAAACAATGAAAATAACGTTGAGGACACCCTGAATGATGAACCACCTTATCATCAATGGAATGAACCCAAATCACAAGTTCAATATAACATTAAGAGTAGAAAACAACAAGGAAGAAGAGGAAATGCAGCCAAAAGGGATGATACCCTATCTGAATCTCAATCAGACTCTAGCTCAAAAACATATAAAATTCCACAAATGAATGACGAATCTCATAGAAATAGAAGATCGAGCAGGACACTTGAATCTCAAGATAACAAAAGTCTCAAAGATTTTATAAATTCTTACATTAATAAGACCCCCGGACAGCGTATAAAGCGGCATGTTGGTGTTCATGCGGATGGTGGTCTCCAGCGCTTGATATCAACAGGGACCTTAGCCCCATCTTTACTCGATCCTGGACATCCAGATTTCAGCCAGACAATAGATGTCGTGTTTAGTGTATTTTGGTTCTTCCCTGCAAAAACTGTAGTCTACTTACCAGAAGATCAGAAGTGTATGGATGACAAGATGAAGGATGAAGATGTTAGATTTCAACCAGAAAGTAAGTATAGGGAATGACTCATTTGTTAAAAATTATTTATTTTATTACCTTATTTTCTTCCATTTATACATCATTGTGCTGAAAGACTGAGTTTGAAATATATGCATCTCAATTATTATCCAACTTTAAAAGAGTGCTACATGTATATTGCTGTCATCTTGGCTTATGGGTATGCTTGTCTTTTCCATTTAACTTGAAATTTTCATGGATGCAAGAGCAGGCTAGTTCCAAGATCTGATTAAGTCTTTTCCATTTAACTTGAAATTTTCATAGATGCAAGAGCAGGCTAGTTCCAAGATCTGATTAAGTTTTTTTCATTCAACTTGAAATTTTCATAGATGCAAGAGCAGGCTAGTTCCAAGATCTGATTAAGTCTTTTCCATATAACTTGAAATTTTCATAGATGCAAGAGCAGGCTAGTTCCAAGATCTGATTAAGTCTTCCATTTAACTTGAAATTTTCATAGATGGAAGAGCAGGCTAGTTTCAAGATTGGATTAAGTGTTTTCCATTCAACTTGAAATTTTCATAGATGCAAGAGCAGGCTAGTTCCAAGATCTGATTAAGTCTTTTCCATATAACTTGAAATTTTCATAGATGCAAGAGCAGGCTAGTTCCAAGATCAGATTAAGTCTTTTCCATTTAACTTGAAATTTTCATAGATGGAAGAGCAGGCTAGTTACAAGATCTGATTAAGTCTTTTCCATTTAACTTGAAATTTTCATAGATGCAAGAGCAGGCTAGTTCCAAGATCGGATTAAGTCTTTTCCATTTAACTTGGAATTTTTATAGATGCAAGAGCAGGCTAGTTCCAAGATCTGATTAAGTCTTTTCCATATAACTTGAAATTTTCATAGATGCAAGAGCAGGCTAGTTCCAAGATCTGATTAAGTCTTCCATTTAACTTGAAATTTTCATAGATGGAAGAGCAGGCTAGTTTCAAGATTGGATTAAGTGTTTTCCATTCAACTTGAAATTTTCATAGATGCAAGAGCAGGCTAGTTCCAAGATCTGATTAAGTCTTTTCCATATAACTTGAAATTTTCATAGATGCAAGAGCAGGCTAGTTCCAAGATCAGATTAAGTCTTTTCCATTTAACTTGAAATTTTCATAGATGGAAGAGCAGGCTAGTTACAAGATCTGATTAAGTCTTTTCCATTTAACTTGAAATTTTCATAGATGCAAGAGCAGGCTAGTTCCAAGATCGGATTAAGTCTTTTCCATTTAACTTGGAATTTTTATAGATGCAAGAGCAGGCTAGTTCCAAGATCTGATTAAGTCTTTTTCATTTAACTTGAAATTTTCATAGATGCAAGAGCAGGCTAGTTCCAAGATCTGATTAAGTATTTTCCATATAACTTGAAATTTTCATAGATGCAAGAGCAGGCTAGTTCCTAGATCAGAATAAGTCTTTTTCATTTAACTTGAAATTTTCATAGATGCAAGAGCAGGCTAGTTCCAAGATCTGATTAAGTCTTTTCCATATAACTTGAAATTTTCATAGATGCAAGAGCAGGCTAGTTCCAACATATGATTAAGTTTTGGGCACGCTGTGTAAATTACATGGCAGCTATTTTGCTCTTCAAAGTGCGATATTTATCACTGTGTATCTTGTTTTCATATCCCACCAATTCCTTGTAGTTGGTACACTTATGGTTTGATGTTTTAGGTCAGTATTATGGAATGGATCATGATGCATTTGAACATGCTGTGGAACATGAATGTTTGGAACTGTCAAATCACCAACTTCCAGATAACGGAAAATATAATTCACAGCGTACATACAACCCTTACAATCGAAACATGGGACAGATGACTGTTTACAGGTAACATGATTCACTTCTTTACATGAAATTGTCATGCAATCGAAGAAATAAAACATGAGTTTTATAATTCCGGGTTTTCACTCTGCCTATTTTGGAGAAAAAATTAAATGTATTCAATGTTTTCAGGTTACGAATAAAATGTGATTGTGCAGGAGACCCGAGGTTACAACAACAAGGTGCAAGGTGTAGCAAAGTCCTTCCTTATAATCAACAAGAATGGCCAGCATACATGGGAAAATATGCAAACAGTCACTGGATGGATAGAAATCATCAGAATTCATAGACAATTATATACAGGGTGGTCCAAAAAAAAGTGAACCCCTGCAACTGGCCATATTTCCCTTATTACTTGCAGGAATTCTTTTTTATTTTCACATGTTGTAGAGGAAGGTCTAAAATTTATGTTGGTACCATACATTTTTCTTAGTCTTGAAATTTGCAGAAATTATAAGCCCTAACCAAACATTACTGAAAATGGACAAATTGTGATTTTCAATATCCGCGATTCTTCAACCCTTTAACACCCTTTCCCTGAGAAATTTCTAAGCTGCAGTCTTAAAGAACTAATATTTCTGACTTTGTTCAATTTCAAATCCTGCACATTATGGCTAAAAACTAGCATTCTACATTTGTTAGTTGCAAAGTTATTGTGATCCAAAGAGATGAAGCTTCCACAGACGAAAACATTTTCCAGTGAAATCATGAACATACCCCTATATGATCTTGAAATGTCAATATCTTCATAAATCATGGACCAATTCTAATGATATATGGCTCAAAACATTGAATATTGAATTTTCTTTTGATTTTTTAAAGATATTTGATGAAGGAGTTATCAGATTCCTGGTCACAGGGGGCAACTTCCTTCCATAAGAGGCCCCCCTCTAACCGTTGGTGTAGGTAACATACCCCTGAACAGTTTAAAATGCTTCAAAATGATCAATGAAAGTGTGAAATGTGTTTTCTGCTTGAATAGAGTCCCTTTTGTCATATGGTAGGGTTTTAAATTTGTATCTCTAACTGAAAGCTGTTTAAAATCATCCAATGTGTTTCAACAATTTCCGTGAATCACATTTGTAAAATTTTGTACAATATCTAATTTCCAGGCATGTTTGTTAAACGCTTGTAATTTCTTCAAAATTTAAGACTGAGAATAAATTATGGCATCAACCAAAATTTTAGACCTTTCTCTACAACATGTGATAATATGAGCCAATTCATGCATGTATTAAGAAAAATATAGCCTGTTGCAGGGGTTCACTTTTTTTTGGACCACCCTGTATGTACCATGTCCCACCTGTGGAGACTACCAATTTGAAAGATTACACACACGCAAAGACTACCCATTGTAGACTACCCATACATGAAGACTATCCATTTGTAACCTACCCATGCACAGAGACTACCCATTTGTAGACTACCCATTTGTAACCTACCCACGCACAGAGACTACCCATTTGTAACCTACCCATGCACAGAGACTACCCATTTGTAACCTACCCATGCACAGAGACTACCCATTTGTAGACTACCCATTTGTAACCTACCCATGCACAGAGACTACCCATTTGTAGACTACCCATTTGTAACCTACCCATGCACAGAGACTACCCATTTGTTAGCTACCCATGTATGTAGACTACCCATTTGTAGACCAACCACACATGGAGACGACCCACACATGAAGCCTACCCATTTGTAAAACCACCCATGCATGGAGACGCATTTGTAAAGATCACCGTTGCTTTGATACTACACATGTATAAAACTATACATGTATAGACTATAAGATCTTGTTGGCTATGTGATTAAGAATGTAGTTAAACAGTTTAGTCTTAAAATACAAAGACGTGAACAGGCAATTAATGAATTGAAATTACAATTTATAATGTCATATTGGATTTTTCCTTTCATTACCCCATAGGGTCAATGCATTAACATTGTCAATGTGCAATATTTTACTTGAACTACATGCATATAACATTAGAATAATATTTTGGGAGTGTATTTGCTACTCTTCTGTTACTTGCATCAAATTGTTCCGAAAGCAAAATTAATGGAACACAAGAAATTATTCCAAACCTCAAAAATGTTGGTCAGTGAAAATTTAGGATTAGGATCACCTGTAGATTTTCATGTCGCTCAATGTTTTTTTAGTCAGCAGTAAAAAAAATAATTTTTAAGATGGCAATAAAATATTACATATTCATGTTTTACGAATCTCAAAGCAAAGTTAAAAATAGTTCACATTCTCGATAGAGGAATAATGATTGTTACTGTGAGGTTTATAAATATGTTTCACTGAGTTACAATGTACAATATATTATGTTACTGTATTTATTGTTTTACCACATAGGTATTTATTGAGATTATTTTTTGTTTATAAGTCACTACCATATTGCTAGTCATCATTTTTGTGACTGGTGTTCGTAGTTGACATCTGTAACAACTTCTTACAGTTTTATAATCATTTGTAGGTAGTTGGCATTTTGTAATGTTAATGCCTTGACTAGATTTATAATGATCTATATATTGTTATAACACCATTTATGTTCTGTAGTCTTATGTTATGTTTTCTCAAAATCAATATTTGAGAATCTGAATTCTGATTATTAGGGTCAATGTCTTTATTTTACAGTACCCGAGATCCATATTTTGGTTCCTTAGGGTTTTCTTTAAAAGTATAATGGATGCCCTCTAAAAATGCTATAAACTATGTCATGTTCATGTTTCTACTTCAAGCAGGCAGGCTGTCATACTTAGTCTGATGCTATACTTCATGTATTTCATTCCAGAATCTACAAATATTATGAACTTTTTGTATGAACGCCCATTCAACAGTCATCAATATTCGATGATTGTTCTTTTTTATTAATCACAACATTCCAAAACAATAATAATTAACTAATTTTTGTTTGTTGTAATTAAGAGAATATATTCTTTGATTTAAAGTTATACAGAATAAAAAATATGTATATAGTTAACCAAGTCGGGAATGTATTAATGTGCATAGAGGACACGTTTCTCTCGCAAAGGTATATGCAATTACACATTGTATTAAGCACAATTTCAGATCATTTCTTCACAAATACTAATAATATGAAAACCTTCAGAGTTCAATAATTTTGATATCTTTTTACATGTCTAGTATGTACTGTTATTGAGTATAAAATATAATTTATGTACAAAATATGCATATGTATAAAATGATGCCTAAAGCAAGTACTCTGTTACTAAATCGTGTAAACACATTCAAATGTATATTTCACAGAGATTCATTTTAAGCCTTTAAAAATGCATCGTTACTAGTCTAAAAATACTAAAAGCATATTGTATGTATATGTTGCACCTAATATTGAATAAAAAAGTACATTTTGAAATTTAAATTATAATTTTGTTCTTTTGTGTGGTATGAACATGCTTTGATATCTTTAAAAACAGGGAATGTTTTCAATAAATAAAGATATTATTGTAAATAAGTATATTGAATAAAATGCATGTGATCAGATCTTTTTCTTATACTTTACTCGAGTAAAGAGCTCTCCAAAATATAAAGCAATATAAAATATCAATATGTATTATGATATGATCAGATCTTTTAGTCAAATTGAGAAATGTCAATAGCATCTCCTTTAACATAATACAAAATTCTGATAATATTTGAATAAAAAATGTGTTCATTTTGACTTGAAAGGAATGATATGGTATTAAAGTGAGAATCTTGTCATGACCTCCAAATTTTTTTATCTACTGATAGAAAGGTGTATGCAATAAAGCTACAATGTCCATGTCTCCCGTCACTTCACTAAATCTCAATGTCTAAAACCTGATGATGTTAATGTCTATATAAAAGCATCATTCCTGCTTCCCCGGCTGCCTCTCGAAGCTCCGTGCACCATACCATGCCCGAAGTCTTGTGATGACGGGTGCTGTGGCGCTACCGACATTGACATTTGCGACTGAGCATAAGACATTGTATAAGCCTTGTTCTCTATCATCCATTGTTCCCTGTAGTCTGCGTACATCAGTAGGTCCATAACTTGCTTCTCTTTACCATTTACATCCCAGTCCAGATCTTGCCAGAATGACACCACACACAAATGGCTGGCAAGCTGCAATCAAACAGAACAAATTATTATATTTTGTAAAATTGACAGCCAACAATAATCAACCCTACCTTCGGTTATATATTTCTTTAATTTCAACTTTAGAGCAGGGTACATACATTTAATTCAAATTATTTCAATTACAATTTGAAATGTTTGATAAGAAGCATTGAAAATTTAACAAACTTTGTAAATACAGGGTGTTCCATATGTTTCAGGAATGATGCTATGTTTTATTGATTTTCTTTTCATTCTAACTGAATTTTTGACACAATGTGTCTAAACATGTTTTGAATAAGTTGAAAAAGTTTCATATCGTGAAGTTCAGTAGTCTTAATTATATGGTTGCTATAGTAACCTAGGGGTAGGGTAGGTGGAGCAGGTGTAACAACGCCCAAATATATGAAAAATTGGTAAATGTATGTATTGTATGAAGTGTGACCAAGTATTAGGTTGTCAGAGTTGGATCAAACTTGTCAGTAATTAAACAAAAAAGGTGGATTCCAAGAAAGTAAAAAAAAATGTCACCACCCTTGATCACATCACAATTTAAACACCTGTCAAGTCATGAGTCACAAAGGAGAAAGAATAAACACAGGTAATTTTGGACGAGTGGCCATCTTGAAAAGTGAAAAAGTCATTAGCAAAGAAAACCTTCGACTTAGGCAACACACAACAATCTGTGACAAGACATGACATGTGTGAATAACAGCAGACACAATTAAACTCCTAACGAAACCACATGGGGACTCATTGATGGTAACCTCTAGAGTGTATGAATGGTACAAGTGGTTCAAATCTGGAAGGGAAACTGAGAGAAGGGAAACTGAGACCGATTATCCAAAATGTGAACATCCGAGAACAGTGAGAGCGCTAACTAATGCGGAAGGGATAGATGCATGAAATAATGATGATGGCTTATGAAGGGTGTGATAACTTTTTTAATCTCCAGGAATCCACCTTTATTCTTTTTAATTTCTAACAAGTTTGATGCAACTATGACAAATTAATACTTTGAACACTTTATACAAAAACTAGTATTTTTACAAAAATGTCATGTTTTGCGCGTTGTTACACCTGCTCCACCTACCCTACCCCTAGGTTACTATAGCAACCATATTATTCAGTCTACTGAGTTTCATGATATGAAACTTTTCCAACTTATTCACAACATATTTGGACACATTTTGTCAAAAAAACAGCTAGATTGAAAAGAAAACCAATAAAATACAGCATCATTCCTGAAACATATGGAACACCCTGTATGTGTTCAAAATACATGTACGGACTAGGCAAATTATGTGTGTAATTGATCACATTTTACACATATTGACATCAAAAAATGCAATTGATAATTTACTGATTTTAATGAAATAAAAAGCCACCTTGATTTTTAAAAAAGTAATGGACTGATTTTATGGCTGATATCATGTTCTTAGCTCAATGTTCATGACAAGCAATTAAAGAGACTTTGCAAGCTCACATATAACTGAAACTTAATATCAATAATGGTTATTTACTTGTAAATTGACAAAATGTCTGAGACCAGAGAAAGTTGCAATTTTTCCCAAAAAGTTGCGGGAGGGTTATGCAAAAGAAAAGTTGCAAAAAGTTGCGCCATGTAAAAGCCATGTGATCGGGGGCTCTCTCATAAACAGTCACCAAAAGTCATTTCATATTCATGTCCATAATCTAGAATATTGTAACACGTAAACAGTAAAGTTGATTACTTAGCGATTTTTTACCTGATGATGTAAATTGGTACGTGCTATGTCGTAAATTGCCAAAGCAATGTCGTAAAACCAGAATAAAACGACCAATTCTCGTAAGACAAAAAGACCTTTCGAAAAATTGTTTAATTCTGATTTTCAGTGGTCTTATCAAAGAATTTACAATAGATATTGACTGGTAAACAAGCTGAATTGTTAAAGTTGTGGTTAGTTGCGCTGTTTTGTAAAAGTTGCGCTCTGTACTGAAAGTTGCAGCAAGTTGTTGCGCGCAACGATGCAACTTTCTCTGATGTCAGTAATGTTTAAAATACATGTCAATTTAAGAATTCAACAGTTCTTGTCTTGTATAGTCATAAGATTTTGAATCACTCACCTGTACAATTAAGCAGAAAACCCAGTAGGCCAACAAAATTATCAGCTCAGAATGCATGAACACCAACTCCTGAAATTGTAAAAAGATTATTGAAAATGAAAATAAAGTATATTTTAACCATGACGAGTTTGCAATTCTTACTTTGATAATTTGCATGTTTTTCATTTTAATAATGAAAATAAATGTGATTTCATTTATAATGATTAGATAAAATTATTTTGAAAACAACTAAGATTATTGCACAATTAAGGAGTATGGAAAATATTGATCCAATCTTCATAAAACAACCTCTGTCAAATGGATTTCTCACTAATTGAACTAATGTTTATTTAATATTGAAAAAAAAGAAACGTTTATTTACGATGCTACATATACATGAATGGTTATACTCGTGAATATGGGCATACTTACAGAAAGTCTATGCCTTCCCAGCCACCCTAAAGCGTAACATCCTCCAAATATTTCAATCCCACGATGCACCAGCATACCAATTATCCATGTCCAGATATATTTCTTTCCTTGGTAACGCTGAAATTGCAAGCAACAAAAAAATTATAAAATATGAAAGAAATTATAAATTATGATAAAAATACTTAGCCGATATAGAATGAAATGAAGGGCAATTTTCAAATGAGTTTGAAAGTGCAAAAAGGACAAATGGGTTGATTTATTTGATTTTTTAATTTGACTTTTAATTTTTCTTTTATTGTTTTTTCGATCTCTAAAATAGGTTGATAATACATGAATTATCCATGTCTTCTTGAGATTGGGGAACTGAGATAGTTATACTGTATATAAGCAGTTTATATTAGACACTATTTTATTGTTTAAATTTATGATTGTAAAATCTAGAGAATCTCATAGTTTTTCATATACTATTTAGGAACTTAACAAAAAGATTTCATTGAATGTCACCATAATCATTGATAGATATAATTTATTCACTTACATTGTTGATGCCTATGAGCAGTGAGATGGCAAATATAATTGCAGCTAACGACAGGAAAAACCGCAGGTACACAAACACCATTATTGCTACAAAGGAAATGTGCTTTTTAAAACATTTATGTAACATGAAGGAATAGATGAAGAAATATTTCTTCAAGTACTGTATCATTTAATGATTAATAGTGGATTAGTACATCCATTATTATATATTATAACTTTTGTACCCCCCCCCACCCAAAGCAAATTGGACACATAGAGAAAATGTAGAATTTATTTAACAGCTCTATATATAAGTCAAACCTACAGACCTGAGAAAGCCTTTTTTTCAAAAAAGCAGAATAAAATTGTTGTAGAAAGAGGTAAATCCAGTATAAGAAAACAGATATATCCTAATCTGAGGTCTTTCTTGGCTGTGCGTTCAACTGATATCATGAAATATTGTTACCTACCTGGAGGAAAAAAGTTTTCTATTTCATTTGGCTTTAGTTCATTGAGTAAACCATGTAATGTGGCAAGGCCCCATATCCCTATGCAAAAGTCGAGGATGGACACAATCTAAAAGGTAGCAACATACACATATATTACATATTGGTAAACCAATGTATTCCTGCAGTCACCAAGATACATATATAACATATAATTGGTTTAATTTAAATTTTTAACACTCCCCCTCCGTCCTTGTAGAAATTCAATTTTTTCAGAGTCATTCAATATTTTTTGTTTACTTTTCCAATACTGTATAGAATTTAGATGTTGGTAAAAATAGAGGATATCCTATGATTTATGAGTGATATGATTTTTATCCACGAATGGATATGATATCTGTATGAGCGAGCATAGCGAGAGAGTGCAGATATCAATATCCATGAGTGGATTAAAATCATATCACGATCATATATTTTTATTCCATAGTTAAAGTCATCATCAGAATCATTGGAAATTAAGTGATTTAATTCTAATTTTCCAAACGATCAGGCGATGTTGACACTTAGCCTCATTTTGAGTCTGAAGTAGCAAAAATCCATAAACCATCGCATACGGCGCCGTATGTCATGGCTAAAAAACCGTATGGTATGGTTAAGTGAAAATTTGTCAAAAATATCATATTTTACCACTGATTACAAAAATACCGTTTTTATTTTCACATGTTATCCTATGAATATCATGCTACTATTTTTTTCAAGGCCTGTCTGCGTCGCTAACATGCTAAATATAAGAGTTAGCTGACGTTTGGGAGTCTGTCTTACCTTCTAAAGGTTAGAACCCGAATCTTAATGAAACTATATCACCTTTGTTGCGTCGATGATGATGCATAAACATAGCATTTGATAGAAATTAGCGTAAATGCTTTTCCGACTTTTTCATTTTTCATCAATGTTGACTTCCGGGAAGGCGTTGTAGTTATCACGAAATAACGCATTGACCCTTGAACTTTACTTTGTTGACGTGTCAACCAAGCATGTCTGGTGTGAAAATTAAAAGAATATTAAGCAATGTTCTACATCCGCCAAGCTAAGTGAAGTAGTCAATATTAAAAATTACCAATTTCAAGTGAAGTACGCAACGAACGAAACTGCGTGATCTACACTCCCACTATTGGTCTGAATGAAATGCTACGTAGAAATATGAGCCGTCTGCTGTATTAGTCGATTAATAGAGAAAGACCTGTTGGTGATGCTTTATAATTTAGACCAAAACATTGAAGAACAAACGAACCTGTAAATCGTGAAAACAACGAACAAATATTCGGTTTTCACATATGTTCGGTAATTTTTCGTATTGAAACTTCCGGAACTTACAAGGAAATCATTCATTTTCTCGATCCATGATTTACCTCTTGGATGTTGTGGCAAATGCTCCATGGTTGACGGAACAAAGGTGATATTGTTTCATTAAGATTCGGGTTCTTACCTTTAGAAGGTAAGTCAGACTCCCAAACGTCAGCTAACTCTTATATTTAGCTAGTTCAACAAGTTAAACCCAATACCACGGCTTTCATTTTTTAATCTGAATGTTCGTGTTGCCGTGGTTGGGTTTAACTTCCGTGCTATGCTTTCGTTTGTTGCAAATTCCCACCATCAGTTATTAATTAAACGCGCATCGAATTCTATGCGGAACCATAGGCCACCATTAAATTTTTTTGCATCAAGGGCTGAATAGGCTCGGAAGTTAAACCTAGGGCGGGCCACAAGATATGTCAGATAAGAAATAAGGCCCAGACTAGGTTTAACTTGTTGAACTAATATTTAGCATGTTAGCGACGCAGACAGGCCTTGAAAAAAATAGTAACTATGGAATAATTACAGGTAAAAAGTATGCTTTGGTTTGATAAAGAAGACAGATTTAGTTAGAAAAATGTCACTTAAATTAGAAGAAATTCAATTATTACACCAACAAAAAAAATATCCAGTGTTCTCCACAGAATTTTTTGAGGGTGCAAAATTCTAGTTTTTACAATTCAGACCAAAACAAAATTCGCCAGTTGGTTTATATTTGGCAAAACTCTTTCCATTGCCATAGAGTTTTGAACTTCGAGGATGCAACCAGATCTTCAATTCAGTGCAAAGATTTTGTATTTCAAAGTTTGTTTTTCTGAACACCTGAACTGTACTATGAGAATCCAATTCAAAGTGTTATAATGTTATAACTAATCCAGAATGATGATATGAACGTTAGATTCAAGATTCTCTATTTTCAGGAAGTAAAGCTTGATGATTCAAAATGCAACCATTTTTGAAAAAAATATTCAGGTAAATTTATACTCACAATTGTGAAGAACGCAGCAGCTGTGCTTCCTTTCTCAAGGTCCCAACCCCAGCAACAGCAGGTCGTTAGTATAGGCCTACTCACCATCTTGTTATTCAATGATTTATCTTGACATTAAAGCATAATTCGTACACTTTAGCGCTCAACTTTGAAACTACCTGTAATTAAAATGTAGGTCAAATATGGCGGATGTTGTGACTCAACAGGGAAAACAAATCCCGATTACGAATATCAATTTTATTAGTATCCAATTAATTCATATAAGGAATTAAGGTCACATCAATGTCTAAGAGGAACTTTATCGTTTCGTTTAACATCTACACATTTTTTGGACATTTTGCTTTTAAAAATTTGGCACTCGGAACTGAATATAAATTTATACTTTATAGACCTGTTGATGCAATGCCATCTATCATTCAGGTATTTAGCCATTTCAGATATTGAACGCTGCCATCTATTTATTGTTGTAAAACTTTATATTCGAAATAGAATTATAGAATGTGAAGGAAGTACAATCTTTTGAAAGCCCATGATCTCACTGAATCTAAAAGTAACCATTCATCTGTTGTGAAATAAAGAATGCATATTATCTGAGACTAACATAAATATGTTAGTCTCAGATATTGTTTAGGTCTACTGTATTTTCATTGCCTTGAATGTCTAATATCATACCTATAGATATATATGAATTTGAAACTCAGCATACAGTGTATGTATGCTCGGGTATTACTCTTTTATTTGGGGTAGAGTGAACATCGGGGGAGGGGGGTTGAACATCTTATTAAACATAGGAAGTGGTAACAAAGATTAGAATACAAAATATACAAAAAAGGAAGTGAAAAAACAAGACAAAACATCACAAACAGAAAGAAAAAGCCAAGTAACTATAGACCAATTAGCCTAACCTCAATAGTAGTGAAAATGCTGGAAAAAATCGTGAGAGATGAAATTGTAGAACACTTAATTAAAAATGAGATACTGACAGATGACCAATTTGGCTTTGTACCCAAAAGATCCACAGTTCTTAATCTTTTGATTTACCTTGAGGATATAACCAAAGACATCGATGACGGGAACCCTGTGGATACAATCTACACAGATTTTAGCAAAGCGTTCGACAGTGTCCCGCATGAACGTCTGCTCATAAAATTGAAATCTTATGGAATAACGGGCTCTGTACTTGTCTGGATCAGATCTTTTCTAACTAATAGACTCCAGAGAGTATCAGTGAATGGAACGACATCTGAGTGGTCCCCTGTTCTCTCAGGTATCCCTCAAGGGACCTGCCTTGGACCATCCCTATTTGCAATCTTTATAAATGACCTCCCAGATGCCACACGGAACAAGCTTCTTATGTATGCAGATGACGCCAAACTGTATGGAAAAGTCAAAGACCAAGAAGATAAAGAACAGTTACAAACAGATCTGGACAGTTTAACAAATTGGTCAAAAGAATGGCAACTCCCTTTCAATACAGATAAATGTAAGGTGATGCATCTAGGTACCAACAATGAGAAACAAAACTACACCATGAACAACAAAACTTTGGAGCAAACAACATTGGAAAAGGACCTTGGAATCAATATTGACTGCAAACTCAAGTTCCACCAACATGTAGATAAACAAGTATCCAAAGCCAACAGTATTCTTGGGACAATAAAAAGAACTTTCTCCCATCTTGATAGAACCACCTTACCACTCCTATATAAATTCATGGTCCGGCCTCACCTTGAATATGGAAACAGCGTGTCTGGAACCCCCACACCTATATGGATATTGACAAAATTGAAAGAGTACAAAGAAGAGCAACAAAACTAGTACCACCATTGAAAGATTTAAGCTATGAAGAAAGAATGAGACAACTAAAACTCCCCTCTTTACTGTATAGAAGAATAAGGGGTGATCTTATCCAAATCTTCAAGATTCTAAAAGGTTACGACCGAATACAAATCAGTGACATCGCCCAGAAATCAGATAATACCAGGACAAGAGGAAACACAGAAAAACTAGATCACAGATATAGCAGACTTGATGTGAGAAAAAATGTCCTTGGCAACAGAATTGTGAATACCTGGAACAGTCTACCCCAGTCTGCCATTGATGTGGAAAGTATTAACCAGTTCAAGAATGAAATAGACAGACATCTAGCAAGCCAGATGTACCACTACCATAGCTGATTCTCTAAACCCATGTCCAGTGAGCACTATAACAACTCCCCCCCCCCAATTAATTAGTAAGACACAACAACACAAAAAGATCTGGATCATATAGGAAACATCCTTCTTCCAGAACTATTGGTATAAAGGTATAAAATGTTTAATGCAATCTTTTTTAAAAAGTGCATGTAAAATGCATGTTCCATTTACAATCTATGATCTCAAAAAAGAATAGATATTGGCTTTGATGGTCTTGGTTGGCTAACATATCATTGTGTAATATGGATACTACCAAAAGTAACTTAATTTGTTGAACAAATACATGTATATCCAATAGGATTAAATAATGTAAACTTCATTGATGTTACAAGATAATATTGTTGGAATGCTGATTGTGATTAAACTAAACATTGTGATCTTTTACAGAGTGGATTTTTTAACATTGTGTCAATAGGGATTTAGCTAATTTGGGGAAATTCATGCTGTCAATAAAACAGTGAGAATGTTTTAGAAAGTTTCAACTTGTCTCTTTGTTACCCTTCAATGCCTTAATATTGTTTTTAGGCATTTTTGCATTTTTATCATGCATGGACAAAACATATTTATCAACAAAAAATACCCAACACTACAATTTTTATACATTTCTGAAAATAAATATAGAGTTAACGGGTTAAGTGTGGCACATTGACAAGTTGTAGATGAAGTTATTTTTAACAAAAGTCTATTTTTCATTATTGCATTGATCAATATTAAAATTTCTACAAAATTAATCAATCTACTGTCTGATAAATCATGATGCGTTTACATTTCAGACACACTTTTTTGAATTGTTTTTTCAATACAGATGCTCTATTATTGTAAAAGGAAATAAATTTATTTCCCCCTCCCCCTAAAATTAAAAAAGTTCTCAGTACAAAAATTTTGATAAAATACTCTGCCAATTTAAGGATATACATGTATATATTATCTTGCAAAAAGTCCAACATCCGCATGTGATACATGTCTGTTAGATTAACTAAATACACTTTTTACAATTGAATCATATTCAGTTCAATTACTCTTTATAGGCCTCACACAGTCACATAATATAACATAAAAGTAAATAAAACAAATAAATTGCCAAAATATTTATTGTTTGAGAAAATTACTTTTATATCACACTTTAATGCACAATATAATTTCAGGAAACTTTGATCAATCCAATAAGCTTATTGAACATTGTGCTTATGATTTTACTAACTTTTTCAGAACAAAAACTCAAAAGTGATTCCTTGTACAGTTGTACAGTAACTACTGAACAGGCCCAGTCACTTGGTAAATAGTGAAATAACCCTCCTTCGTATTTGATTACATAAGAGACAATACTGAATGGGTAATCATATTCCTATCAGCAAAATGTTAATCTGATCAATCTAATCCGAGTCATCATCATCGTCCAGAGATTTTTGTTTATTGAATTTATCTATTTCGTTCATAGTAAATTCAGGACTGTCTTCAAAATCATTATCCTCAATTTCAATAGCCATGGGAAATGTCTCTTTCTTTGTAATTCCTTTGTGAGTTGAAATAGTCTCTTTCTGAAATAGAAAATGTTGTAGGTTGATGCTTCATTTGACAAAAAGTTTCATTAAGAAAATATCTGAAACATTACTCATCATTCTAATTCCAATACATATAGAGTCCATAGGCTATACATTCTTTGCTACATGTAGTTGCGTTATTTGATTTATAGTTATCAATACCTATTGAGAATGCCATTTTATATCTGCATTGGCCATTTAGGTTAATGTTAACTGTCCATTAAGAGGAATTTGAACTGTTTACATAATACTAAATAAATACTATATATTACATGTTCCAAGCTTAAACAGATGACCCAATGAAAGAGAAGAGATCCGGTTAAATACTCACAGCAATTCTTTCTGTTTTCCGTTTACCCAGCATTGTCAATGTGTCTTCCCTAAACTGTGACAACCTTTGTATTTTCTCCAATTCTTCAGTTTGTTCCATAGAGTGTGCAGTTTCTAAAAATTCTGTTAGTTCTGGAAATGGAAGAAGTGTAAAGAATTTTAATTGAATTCATAAAAACATACAAATGCACATATATCACAAAACTAGCATCATAATAGTTGTGGTGAAAAGGTATTTACACAATAATCTAATATAAACAAACCTGATAATAATTTTAAAAAATTACTTACGAGGTGGGTATTCAATTCGTTTGTATGAGTGGTTCACACCTAAAATAAAATAAAATAACATGATATGGTAGATGGTTACATAACACTTACAGTAGTCTATTCATTTAGTTTATGTTTCTGTTGACCTTCCTTTTTGAATTTTTAAAATGTACAATGAATGATAAATGTACAATGAATAATAAGGTTGATCCAAAACATATATATATAACTAAGTCAAGCAGAGACATATAAAAAACTGATCGATAGGCCTAATGAGTGATGCTGATTACTGATACTATGATAGGACGAAGGCAGTGAAGTGATACTCTATTATACTGAGTCAGTGACAGTGACTGAGTGAGGCTAAAAGTTTGAACCTTGTCCCGCTTGAGGTGCCACTTTTAGACGTTGTTTTACATCACTTGATACCAATCTTGATTCAATAGTTGGATTGAGCTGTACTGATTGCCAAAATCCCTTAGCACATGCTATATCTTCTTCGGATGAGCCGGTAAACAATGTTTTCTCTTTACTTTCACCAAAATCAACAACGGTGGTCGCCATCTTGGTTGATAACAACAATACCGCTTGAGCATTGACAAATATCTCTCATTTTGGATCGAATTAGTACTTTCCATTATTCAATATCAATCTTAATTGATAATACAATACTTCACATGTTTTTTTCTAAAGAATAATACCCAGATTGCATAGTACCAAGATAATCATATTCATCATTGCCAGTGGCGGTATTTCTGTCAAAGAGGGAGACATGTTGATCGCTGTGTTATATTCTTCTATAATATGTTCAAATGAGCCAACGCTCAACTAGATGTAGAACAAGAGAGGTAAGTTTAAGTAATGAACTCTTCATATCTGTTGTCTACATGGAAGATAATTGCAGCATGAATCAGGAGAACTGAACAACAAAAAATAAAATAATTTTTTTTCTAGCATCAAGTGACAAGTCTGAAATTTTTCATCCACCACCTCATTATAAAGTATATTCATCCGAAAATACTGTCATTTCCCATCTGATCATGCCTAGCTAAGAATACTGAGGGGGCACTGAGGTCAGTCATGCATACTAGTGTTGTCGCGATGTGCCATAATCGTACATCGATGCATCGGCAATTTTCAGTAGTAAACATCGATGCACATCGCGATGTACATCGAGAAAAAGTTCGAGAAAAGTGCACTGAAATACCGAACGCTAATGCACTAAAATATTGAACAGAACAAATTAATAAGAGTACGCTGGCCATGGTACATCCGGGAACATATAACGGTGAAATGAAAGTAAAGTAAATTTTTTAGATTAATGGTTCATTTCGACTAGCTAAAACAGTTTTAAAGCGAAAGAATATCTGAAAACATTTGAAAATGAAATAAGACATGAAAAAAGGTAAGCAATTTGCGTCAAAATAAAATAAGAAAGGGCGGTTTTTAGCAAATTAAATATTTTTAAAAACATCGATGTTTTGTTTCAGACATCGATGCATCGCAAGAACCAGCTTTGGCGATGTATATCGCGATGTATCGATTAATCGCGACAACACTAATATCAACTCAGTTATTGTGTTACTGTACAGTAGTGGGAGTAATCTGAAAAGATGATCTTCTTGGTCAATTACCATGAGCAGAGAACACTTCATAATATTGTTGTCATATGTGCGTAAATCACCCTGGGGCATGGCTGTGCAACATCACAAAGGTTTAGTGTAACTTGCCATAGGTAAAAGGGAGTTTGCTAAATGCAATGTACCATGTGGGAATTCAACCCAGGACCTTCTACTCCAAAGACCGATGCTTTACCACTGAGCCATAAGGGCTAGCCACCACACCTTAGGTGTAGTAGCAACCTATTATTGAGGGTCATACTACAGCTTTCATACCCTCCACAGGCTCTACAGGTTCAGCAAATTGTAATGATTTGTTAAAGAGGGGCAACAAGGACAAGGAAATTTATAGATTTTTAAGATTCACCATGTTTCATGAGGAATATCAGCTGAAATAATGTCCATCCAGGGGGTTTCTTTGTAGATAATAAAAATATATGTTAGTCTTGACACTGGTTGATGATCGTTGAATGCCCCCCCCCCCCCCCCCTACACTAATTGTTGCACCTTTAATGCTGTTGTTGCACTGCAGCTTCATTTAATTGAACGGTGTTAATTCTGACTACTAACTACTCAGAGGTACTGTATAGAAATGCTATCAAACAATGAATCTTTGGGATTGCTCTAGTAATACTGTATAGATATCATTACAATCCCCTCCCCTTTATCTGGGAAATAAGTTTACAAGACACTCCTCACAAGAACTTAGTGTTAAATGATTCAAATATGCTGTCAAAAATAATGAATATTAATTATGTTCATAATTTCAATCAATCTGAAGTATGTTTTCTGTAAGGGTAGAATATTGAGACAACCTTGTAAGAAGGAACTTTTGCCTGTGGTGGTCAAAATGGTATATGATTTTTGATTTTCTTCAGTGTCCACGGGTGTTAAGCCAAGATGATACCATGAGCACATGCTTTGAGGATCCGCGTTGTTTGAACCTACCGACGAGCCTACTTATACATCAAGACCCGTTACACAGTCATGATACCGCCAAGCAAGCTCATTGTATCATCGGGTCTGCTTTATCCCCATGAGTGTCAGTCTAAGGTGTGGCACTTTTCCACCTCATTATTTAGGCCACAATTTATGTGGCAAATGTGCCTGACCTCAAGTGACCTCTGAAGCAACCAGTTGCTCTAATGCTCTAATGATCAATGTTTTTGGAGGTCAGAATAATTTGAATACCTATTTATTACTTTACCTTTGAGTTATCAGTTCAATTAGCAAGTTGAAAGTTCAAATGTTATATTGTTTTTTTTTTGAAAAAGCAAAGTCTTCTTGTTTTCATTGAAATATTTGATGCTTGGATCTGAGCTGGGTGGTCAATGATAGCTGCCGTTCTCATTCTAAATAACCTTAAAATATTTTTAATTTATAATGATATGTGACCTATGCAATAGACTTGGACATAAACTATATTTTTCTGAAAATGTCAAAGATTAAAAGAAATTCCTCTCGCTGTAAGCAAGTAAGTTCAAAAAATAATTATATTTCTGCATGAACTATTTTTTCAAGTTTCAATAATGGCAGAAATGGTTTTTGTCCAAGTCTAGTCTATTGATTGTGTAATTTACATCATAATGAATTAAAAGTATTGTACGGTAAGTTGGAATGAGAATTATACTATTACAGCTATATACTAGCAAATTGAGAATTATGAGAGTTCTGAGAATTTACTGAATTCAGGAGATGGCAAGTCTGATACATTCATTTCTTGTTAGTTTCTCCTCTTCCACTTTTAGACTCGATGCTCCTTTTAAGCTCTTTTATACATACATTCTCAATTACTATTCACCAAACTTCAGTCGTGCTAGATGTATACCATTATACGTAAGTAAATATTATCAGTCTCTGGCTTAAGCAAAAAAACAGTAATTATTTTACTCTTTGGATCGATATAAATGGTATATTGTGTTAAAACTGCAGGCATATTGTAGCCTAGCATATTGGCACCGAGAGCCCATAGAAGTCTGGTTACCATGGAAACTGCCTACATTAATGATTTGAAGCCTCTAGATTGTTGAATTATGAAACAGTTGTGTCAAGTTTAAAAAAAACAAATGCTCATAGGGTTATCTAACGGTGGACTTAAAAGCCCTTTAATAAAAAATGCACCATGATATAGTTGTCAAAAGAGCTAATATAGAATATAAAATGGCTCTTAGGCTGCATAATCGTTGTTATAGAATAGCTTGACATCTGAGCAGTTTGTTTTTCCAATTAATTGATGGATTCGGATTAAATCCAGATTAAATTAATCAAGATTTAGATTTAATTTACTAAGTGAAATATATGGGATCAAAGAGAATAAATTGATCGAAGCATTTGTTATGGTCATGTAGATATTATTCTTGCCTTGAATTCATGTGGCTTGCTCTAATTGAAGTCTAAATGGGTCATTCTGGCCAATTAAAAGGCATTTTTTTAATAAATATATCTAGGTTTGTGTAGGTGATATCTGGAGGTGTCATATCTTTATTTGATAGAATTGTACTATCAATTTGATAAGTCTTACTTGAAGCCCTAATAGTGATCAATCCCTTGCCAAGAGACATATATAAAATATTATGGTTCATTAAACCAGTCACATACATATCTCAATATGTGAAATAGACAAGGGGGGGTCTAGAGGTTTGATGCGAAACTACAATTTGATTTTTCCGATGATTTTTTTTAATTTGTATTCTATCCATCTATTCTACTCGAGTCATAGTGTCTTTTTAGAGTTGTCGCTTGTTGACAGAGTTGCTAAGGAAACTGACCTTAAGAAGTAAGGACACGATGTGTCATGCATTAATCATAGTTGAGGAAGGCAATAATGTTACATTTATCATAGATGAAGTTGAACAAATGAAGTTGGATAGGGATGGAGTGAAGCCCTCCATCTATTTGTTTCTCAGTCCCTCTGTCCCTCCATCTGTCTGGACCATAACTCAAATACTAGACCAATTTTCTTAATATTTGGTGAAGATCAATATATGTATATATAATAGTATGTAGAAAAATCAAAGTTGTTTAAATTAAAGTTAATTAAGTATTACTGTGTGTATATATTAGATCATGGGCATCTAGTTGAATGTCCATGATTAGATGTAACTATTTTAGATTTATTCCAAGTTTTTGGCCTGACCCCCAGGGTCCGAGTAAGAGCCATCAAGAAAATGGGACTTTCTTTTAATTTTGAGAACTCTCTGAATTATACTCAAAGAAAGTATTTTAGAGTAGATTTCAAATATTGTATTGTTTTTTATTCATGCCTTGTAATATAAAATAGCTGCCTAAAAACAGGAATTTCCATTTATTTTGAGAACTCCAAAGTATTACTTCATAATTTTCAAATCAATTGAGTGGTTGACCTGATCACAAATTTAGAAAAATATCTCAATATTCTGTATCAAAAAGCAAAAACAGCAATATTTGAAAACTAAAAGAACACAACCCTTTTTATAGATATCATCTTGGGAATGATTTTGAGTAAATATGCCATTATTATTTAGAAATAATTTATTGTTCCACTGGATTTGCTACTCGGAGGAGTTCCTGTTTTTAGTTATCTTGGCAGGCCCCAGAAAAAAGTTCATCATTACCGTTTCTATTTATCTCATCTTTAATCGACTAATTATTTCCCTACAATTCATATTTTTCTACAAATAGAACTTTAAATTTCTTTTCTGCTCATTGCTATTTCATCTCTTCCATTCTCAATTAATATACTTTTTATGTCCAGTGATATAAATGACTGCTATGAAATTTTGTTCAAGGGTCAGCTTCATAATTTATGACAATCAATATATCTCTTGTCTCTGGTATCCCATTTATCAGATCTCTCTAATTTCATATTTTATCCACAAATACAGGAGGAAAGAGAGAAATCAATAGTTGATTATATAAAAACTCAAGAAAGCCATACTTCAAAATGTGATAAAATTTATATATTTTATTCAATTCAAAAGAGAAATCATAGAAAAGCTGTGTTCATATTTTGAATTGTTTGAGGGTTGCTTACTCTAAACATGAAGAGTTTTATTTAAAATTTGTGTTTTATCTTGATTTTTCACACATGAAGGCGGCATGAGATCAGAGATCACATCTAGCCATTTAAAAGGCTGCTAATTTCTCTAGTACTATTTCATTACTGTCTCATGAAAGATGTAATTTTTATGTGACATTAATGATGTTTTTCAAGGGATGATCATTTACATACAAGACTAAGAGTAGTAACCCTGGGCTTGGCCTATTATCCTCTGAGAGAGAGCTACCACTTTACAATTTGCCATCCATCTAACCTATCAAAGAGCCCCATAGACCTATTGTAATATGTTTACATACACTGTAAATATGTAGTCAAATCTTCTTTATTTATGACAGGTTCATATTGGTCCACTGCATTCATAGGCTCATCTGTTTTCTTTAGAGTATAAGCAATCAATGACTTTTTGAAAGGGTGGACAATAGTAGATATTCAGATTAGCACTGATCCAGCATAACAAATATGAGTTAATTTAGTGAGGAATAAGAAAATCATAATAAGGTCACCATCTAGGCCTCTATACATACTTAAGATTATTGAGAATTACGAAAATAATGTGTCTAATCTATCTCATGAATTGATTAGATTAAAAAATTTTGCGTAGGCTAGATGACATATGGATTATCACTAGAGCTCCAGGTAAGATGTATTGCTTTCTCTTAACACATTAAGGTAAAAACATAAAGGAGAATATGAATGGTTGATTTGAAATTTATTGGTTGATTACTTACTTCCAGTTTAATATTTTCCAAAACAGGGTTGTTAAAATTTCAATTTGTATCTAAATCTACAAGTTTCATGCTATATTAAAGATGTAGAGTGAGGCAAATTTTAGCATCTGATTGAGGCAAAATTTGAATACAGTTTTTTTCACTTCATGGACTATTTTTACTGCGAGTTATGATTAAGTATTAAGACGCCACATTTTCTTATGTTAGCTTCATAGCCAGGAGTCTATGAAATAGATGATCTATTGCGGAATAGATTCATAATTGGCCATTATTCAAGATTATAGGTGAACAGTAGATGATTATTAGAAGCCAACATGACTTTAACGCAAAAATCAATGTGAGAAACTAGTGATCTATACAGATTAAAGCCAGCCAGAGCTTACAGATATCCCATTATGTAATATAACCTTATTATCTCAGCTTCAAAGCACATCATTCTTTGTATGGATGATGCATAATAAGATCAAGTCACATATTCGCAGTCTAGTATGTACACCATTTTTATGACAAGGGGGATGAATAAATATCATTTTCATTAATTTTGCTTCTTTTAAAGAGAGGTTTATCTACCTTAAATCTACAGTAATACCCCTGTAAATAGAACTACATTTGGTACCTCTTAGAAATGTTTTATTTGGGAGGTGTTCCATTTATGGAGGTTCATTTAAAATTAGATCAACTTAAATCATTGGAAACATGAAAAGTGTTCTACTTATGGTGATCTTCTACTTACAGAGATGTTCCACTTTACAGGTTTTACTGCAGTAGGATTTGACACTGAGGGTATTGGCAGGCCCGTAGCCAGGGGGGGGGGGGGGTTCGCAGGGTTCGGGCGAACCCCCCCCCCTGGCCAAAAATTCTTTCAAAATCATGCAGTTTTTCACCATTTTGAGCACTTCTCAAGCGATTTTAGCCACATTTGACCAAAAATTGTCAAATGTGAACCCCCCTTGAAATTTTTGAAAAATGAACCCTGATTGGAATAATGAAAAATGGAAGCTCTGTATTTATACTGCCTGATTCCACTCATGCCCTCATAGAGGCCAGGCAGTAGGCTGTGTCCAAAGAATATCTAATTTGGAATCTGAATGTGAGTCTTGCATAGGGCCCTGTATTCTCAAGAGTCATTTGGGGATTAGATTATGTAGCAGATCCATTAATCTGAATTGGAATTGTCTTATTAAATATTTATGTTTTTGTATTTGCAGATCATCCGACCACTAATGGAGTGCACTATTAAAAACAGGATGATGCATCGGGGCAAGGCGTTCAATAGAGACAGACTAGCCAAGCAATCGACTGGGAGAATGATAGGTTAATTTGACAGCACTTTGAATGAGATAAATCATGTATACTTGTTTTCAAGCTGTTTCAGCCAATAACTGCAGAGCAAGAGGATTACATAGAATAACTATGGATTAAACAACTGTAGCATATTATGCTGGATTAGGAAAATGGCAGCGAATAACTTTGGATTAAAAAACGGGAGCAGCAAAAATATTAAGATTTAGGAAAAACCAGACCTATTATAAGTGTACGTTCTATATCAGAAACACAATTGGATTATACTGTGCTGGTTGATAAGAACATGGCAGCTGATAACTTCATATCCATCAGTTTAGATGACAATGAATGTGAAATATGTCACCATGTGACACAGGAAGATCTTGTCACGTGTGACATATGTGTGATGTCACATGAGAGAGCTAAAGTTCATACAGATATGAGAGCACATAAGGTGAGTCTACACAATGCTCATGATGAATTGCTGTAACTGTATACAATGAATGTTTTTATTATTGTTTGTACAAATATTTTTTGTTTATAATTGATTTCTTTCCATGCCTCTGTTGGGACTGATATGCTTTAGGCCTGTTAGACACTTTTTCCGAAGGTGTGGTTTCACAATCACTGGAAGTAGTCGACTAGTCTTATCACATCAGAGATATACATGTACTGATTTCAGGTCCATTATGATCGCTCAATTTCCATTTTTCATCTGAATATCTAGATAATATGCAGTAAGCCCCCCCCCCCCCATCTGACAGACATGTGCTTGAAACTTAATGATAAAGAAATAGAAAAACTGCTGCATTGATTTTTATTGTTATTTCAAACGAGAAAAACACGACTTTGTTTTCTTGTGCTAATGATTTCCTAATTTAGAAACAGTGAACTTCAACTGCATAACTATGTTCTGTTTAGTTATTCAAGACTATCGATCAGAAATATTGTGAGAGAAAACTGGTGATTAATCCAACCAGGAAGCCATGTAGAGGTTCAATAACTCTCCACATTATTGAAACGTGACATTATTTGTGAAGACTGCAGACATAATAATTACACAACTAATCTGCAATGTTACAGTATGGTACCACATCAGCTATGTAGTACCATATAGCAGAGTCAGTGTATGGTTGTGGTACTCAGTACTGTAGTAATAGATAGTACAGTATGTTTCCACATCAGCTATAGTATCATGTAGCACAGTATGGTACTTGGTTGGTAATGTAGTGAAAATGGAACAGTGTGGTACTGCATCAGCTATTTACCATAAAGCACAGTGAAATACAATAGTGTATGGTATTCAGTACTGTAGTAATAAATGGTATAGCATGGTACCACATCAGCTATAGTACCATATAATACAGTGCATGATACTCAGTACTATAGAATTGGACATGGTAAAAGTATGGTACCATATCTGCTACAGTACCATATAACACAGTATTTAATGGTACAGTATGGTACTGCATCAGTTAGACTACCATAAAGGACAGTGAAATATAGTAGTGTATGGTTTTCAGTACTGTTGTAATAAATGGTACAGTGAGGTACCACGTGGACTACAGTACCATAGTGTATGATACTGAAGGACTATTATTAAATGGTACAATATTTTAACACATCAGTTACAGTATCATGTAGCACAGTATATGATACTCAGTACGTAATAAATGGGTATGGTACTGCATCAGTTAGAAAAAGCAACAAGCAAATGTGTGACATATACGCAATTTGCATGAAAATTCTGAACGAACTATGTTCATTTTTTGATCTGACCAATTACATAACAGCATTCTTGATTGATATATAATAATGCATAGTATTACGTACATGTAGTATTGTTTTTGATCTGACCAATTATATTACTTGATTCTGTGTGCAATAATGCATAATATCACAAGACCAATTCCTGTAAAGCGTAACAAGTAATTATGCCATTTGTCCTTGCCCCTACTCTTACTAATCTTGTCAATCTATTTAATCATAGTCTTTCATCAGAAGTCTATTGATGTATATATGAGTCATATTTATTTTGAATAACACCAGTTGATTTATGATTGATCCAAAACAATACATACAATCTGTTGATTAATTTCAGGTTTGTTTCCAAAAGTCTCACGAGATTCTTCTGCATAAGTTACCAAGCAGCCCGAAGAAGTCACCACCACCGATGGCTTCCGTTCACTCGCCGAAACATGAGGTTTACCAAAATATTAAGGGATATGTCGGGGAGAAACTTAGTTGGATAATGAAGTACGCCCAGGATCCCCATTTTGAAGAATCACGTCAAAACATATACGCGTCACAAAATTATAAGACATCGAGTTCAAATGCTCCAAATTATTTTACACTTTCTCCGTTTGAAAGAAGAAAAAAGTTTACAGATAAGGGGAAAAAGAAACCTGTGTCTAGTTTAGCGCAAAGTCGACGCCAGAGTAATTCGCACACAGACCTCACCAATCTAGATAACAATGACAATGAAAATGGAAACTCTAAAGAGAAACAAATTACTGACAATCCATCAGCCTATAGTCGTACAAAATCAGATGGAAATGAAGGCCTTGCAAAATATACTAGACATAATAATAGTGATAAAAACAAGAACACTAGAATCAGCCAAGTGAGAAACATTAATTTAGGAAATGATTTTCTGAGCAGTGACCGTGATGATGATATTAACATTGGAAGACATGCCTTTCTCGGGAAGCCACGTCAAAAAACAAAACATAAAGATTTGTACTCAAAGCCTGACCCTCCAACTCCTAAGCCTACACGCAGAGTCCCCATAGACCTGTGTACTTGTGAGTATAAAGTCTAAATTAACATGTGCCCTTTCACCCTTACTTCTAGCAAATGAGACCACTTGTCAAGCAAAGCCTGCTTCCTGTTTTTACAAATTAATTATTGTATGCATGTTTTCAATGTAAATCATATGGTTTCTACCTGCTGTTATAGAGTTCTTGCCATCTATGCCTAACAGCTGTGGAAGGGCTGATTCATATTTATTTTTTCAAATGAATGTTTGAACAGTTGAGGCCTGCTGTAGAATGAGTGTAAATGTAATTGTTATACCTCTCTACCTTTAAAGGAGAGCACTATCTCCTAAAAGATAACCTGGTATTTGTATCCCTAAGGAGAAGCCAGTCTCTTATATGATAAGCTGGTCTCCTAAAGGAGAAGCCATTCTCTTATATGATAAGCTTTTCCTAAAGGAGAGCCCTGTCTGCTAAAGGATAAGCTGGTTTCTTAGGGAAGCTTCACTTCTAAAGAGTAAGCTAGCCTCCTAAAAGAAAAGCCTGCCTCTTATAAGATAGGTTAGTCTCCTAAAGGAGAAACCTGACTTGAAAGATATGATCTTTAAAGGTGAAGCTTGTCTGCTAAAAGGTAAGCTAGTGTCCTAAAGGAGAACCCTGTCTCTAACATGATAAACTTGTCTCCCAAAGGAGATGTCTCTAATAGGATAAGCTGGTCTTCTAAAGGAGATGTCTGTCTCTAATAGGATAAGCTAGTCTTCTTAAGGAGAACCCTGTCTCTAACATGATAAACTTGTCTCCCAAAGGAGATGTCTCAAATAGGATAAGCTGGTCTTCTAAAGGAGAACCCTGTCTCTAACATGATAAACTTGTCTCCCAAAGGAGATGTCTGTCTCTAATAGGATAAGCTGGTCTTCTAAAGGAGAACCCTGTCTCTAACATGATAAACTTGTCTCTCAAAGGAGATGTCTGTCTCTAATAGGATAAGCTGGTCTTCTAAAGGAGAACCCTGTCTCTAACATGATAAACTTGTCTCCCAAAGGAGATGTCTGTCTCTAATAGGATAAACTGGTCTTCTAAAGGAGAACCCTGTCTCTAATAGGATAAGCTGATCTCGTAGAGAAGCCTGACTCCAATAGGCCATAATAAGAAGCCTGTCTTCTGTATGATAAGCTGGTCTCCTAAAGGATAAGCTTAACTTTTATATAAGCTGATCTCCTTAAGGAGAAGCCTTTCTACTTGAGGATTTGCTGCTCTAATTGAGGAAAATATATGTTTAGTCTCAAGCCTAACTGTCTCCACAGAGAAAACCATTGAAGATCAATTTTGCAGTAATTCCATGAAGCTAGTATGATTAATAGATATAGATAAAAAAGTGTCCAGTTTGCATAAATAATTCATCTATTATCACAGCCACATCTTGTGCAATCAGAGATAATGTCAAATATGGTGCCCCATCTATCCCTCGGGTCCCCTTATATTAAATGACTTTGTCTAGTAAATCATTAGTCTTCCTTCTCAGTATTATAGATGGCTGGTGAATCTCCTTGATTTTTGTTTTTTGTTGCCAAAAGTGGTAACATATTGTTATAGTCTCCAGCTTTTTTGTGGATGGTGTTTGGCATTTGGTGTTCATTGGATGGTGCTCATCATCTGTAACAAATGGCAGGTGGCAATATTTTGCATATTAATGCCTTGTGTACAATTATAGAAGTCCTTAGAGGTCAGTGTTTTACCTAGTTCAAATCAAAAACCAATTTACAAGCCAGAAAAGCATCATAGGATTTTGTTGTGCTTTTGTCTGAGGTGCCTTATTAAATAAGCTCACATCTGAGGAATCGTCCCATTTAATTTGTATAGCAAATAGATTCGCTTTGAGATTTCAAATACGTCAACTGGGGAGATTAAAAGACACAAGTAAATTGGAAATTGATAATACAATACATGCCACCCTTCACAATCTGGTTTGCTGCTAAGGAAAGAATTGAAAAACCCTTGGACCAAAGATGAATACATGCTAAATTGAGGTCTATGCTTTCATCATATTCATTATTCCAATTTGGTATTTAATAAAAATGATAATCCTTTGAGGTTTGGCTTTCCAAACCCTTGGGGTGAAATATGTGAATATAAGGTCTTAATTTTAAAATTCATGAATCAGTTTCTATGAATAAGAAGAAAGGAAATAAGTTTAAACATACCATATCCTCATGAGCATTAAGTCAAGTCAATATTATGAGATGCATCACAGTTCTCTTAATTCTATCTATTAGTGTCATTGGATTACCAGTTGCTTTGAGTAATATTGAATAAGGCCAAATGTTAGATGCAAGATTTTCATTGATAATGTTTCACTAAATAGCTTAAATCATTAAAGGTATGTAGTGTACACTTTGCATGGACATCAGAAATTCCCTTTACCTGTAATTCCCTTTACCTGTAATTCCCTTTACCTGTAATTCCCTTCTGAAAAGTATTATTTTCATTGCAACATATAGATTTCTTTGAATTGAATATTTATAGGCCCCTTTATAGCTGAATATCTTTGAATAAAGTGTATTGAATGAAAAGACTTTTTGTGCCATTTTGGATTTGTGTTAATCCTTGAATTCTAGTTAAATTCTTCATTTGTTCCTGAGCAATGTAATCGCAATAACCCAACCCTTTTGTCTTGATCTTTCGGAACGACAGATAAGAGAGGGTCTTGTAAACCAGAATGGAGCAATGTTTTCATATGTTATTACAAGATAAACCAATTCATGTGATTTATAAACTAAATCAACAAACAAGTGCAAAAACAGGTCGGCTATATCAAGGAAATCGATTGTCTTTATTGAATTGCCATATTAGAAAATTCAATTACAAATGGAACCTTCATTTGTGAGTATAAGGGAAAGGATAAGAAAACAATTCAATTTTGAGCACTTAAACTTATATTGGCCTCTGTTGGTGGTTTACATCTAGAAAACCCAATATTCTGATTTATCAAATGATAAGAGACCACTTGGACTTATGGGATTCAAGTAAAAAATTACAAGTATCTCCCAGGGGAATATTTGGATAAAGTAGATTTAACCTCTGCTTAGATTCCCATCGAACGAATTTTGAAGGGATATAGGGAACGCCTCCATCCATCCGTCTGTCTGTCCTTATATCCATCCTGTCTCAAATACCGTTGGCCTGATTTTGTTCATATTTAGTACACATATGCCTTATGGATGTAGAAGTTCTGCTCAAAAGCCAATCTTCACTCCTCAATTTTTTTTATGTGTGTTATTTTATGTTGTTAACGATAACTCAAAAAGTAAAGGAGTGATTTTGTTCATATTTGACATGTGAATACTCATAAGCACTTTGGCTAGGAGGTGGTCATTTTGAAAAATGGTGGCCATTTTTATGTTTGTTATTTTTCGATTTTTGCTATTCTGAAAAAGTAGTAGAAGGATTTTGTAAAAATGTCAGCCATGGCTATTCAATGGGATTTGCTACGCTTTGGTGTTGCTGTTATCTCATTACATTTCCCTAACACAAATTGTTTTCCATCTTCTAACATACAGACATAATATACCTTTAATATAGCAAGTACCAGATCCTAAAAAGTTAATGAGAAGATTGCTTTACATGTTTGTATCCACCATTTTAATTGTTCATTAGCACGTCTTTTACATGCAGTGGGTTCACGATTTATATTGGCATCTTTTCTCATTTCATTTCCATAGAAGAGACTTCATTTAAGAATTCTTTTTTTCCAAACAATGTAAGGGTATTACCCTTTGAATTATAATTATATTTTTCTTTATTTTCAGTGCGAAAAAAGTCTGTAGTGGACCTTAGAGTAACAGTGAGCTGTCTGAAACAACATGTACATGGTAAGTAGCACATAACTGATAGGTAGCACATATACTGTAAGTGGCACATAATTGATAGGTAGCACATATACTGTAAGTAGCACATAATTGATAGGTAGCACATATACTGTAAGTAGCACATAATTGATAGGTAGCACATATAAGTTGTAAGTGGCACATAATTGATAGGTAGTACACATACTGTAAGTAGCACATAATTGATAGGTAGCACATATACTGTAAGTAGCACATATACTGTAAGTAGCACATAATTGATAGGTAGCACATATACTGTAAGTAGCCCATAATTGATAGGTAGCACATATACTGTAACTAGCACATAATTGATAGGTAGCACATATACTGTAACTAGCACATAATTGATAGGTAGCACATATACTGTAACTAGCACATAATTGATAGGTAGCACATATACTGTAACTAGCACTAACATGTAAATGGCTCTTACATGAAGAGTAGCACATACATTGTAAGTAGCATTTTACTGCAAATACAGTTGTGTAGCACATAAATGATAGATAGCACATACAAAATAAGAAGCTCATGCAAGGTAGCACCTACATGAAAAATGAGACATACACATACATGGTAAGTAGCACATAATGGTAGATAGCATATACATAGCACATATACTGTAAGTAGCACACATATGAATATCATATACATAGAAATAGCACATATGTCATATAAAAGGTAGCACATACATGGTATTAGTAGCACATCCACAAGGATGATAGGATGACATGTCCCATCCAACTTAAATACCTTAAATACCCTCAACCAGACATTTTCACTTATTCAATACTTCATGTAAGCCTTCTGATTATCAGACCGTCTTTGCTCAATAATGTTAATACAGCACGGCATGAATCATACTGGTAATTGTATTTTCTTCCTGGAATGATTACAGTTTTATCCCATGGGATGGAAACTATTGTTTCTGTTATAAGCTATATCAAGAGATACTGTAATGGTGTGACAATTCTTTTCCCATGATTCCAAAACTACAAAGCCAATATAATTCGGCGCCGTTTCGGCATCAAAAAATTTGGCGCTGTTCCGGCACCGTTCCAGCACCGAAACCTTTCTATACCAAAATTTGGCACCGGGTTCGGCACCGAAATTTGGCACCAAAACGGTGTCGAAAATCATTTTGGGGGTGTAGTTGGGTAACCATTAATTTATGAACTGTAGAAAAATATGGAAATCCCCCACCTGGTGATTTTTATTAAAAATAACATCCTCAATTATAAATGTTTAAAAGCATTTTACTTTTATTTCCAGATGTCTCCTCACAACTTGTTGAACTCCTTCAGGAGCGTCAGTGTGCAAGGGAGCACCTTGACATGCGAAAAGTTGCCATTGAACAACTAGTGAAGATGCAGAGTAAATCTTTGCTGGATGTACCGCCATTCCCTGATCCTAACATCCCACTAGGAGACTCTTAAATGCACATGTGTATGGTATTATCGGTACCAATTAACACATGATAGAAGATTCATAAATTGTACATGTATGTGGTATATTGTACCAATCAACACAATGCCTGATAGGAGATTCATAATTGTACATGTGTATGTGGTATATGGTACCAATCAACACAATGCCTGATAGATGATTCATAAATTGTACATGTATGCGGTATATGGTACCAATCAACACAGGAAAGAATAATCATTAAGTGTACATGTCTATGATACATGTTGGTACTAATCAACACAGAAGATTCATAAATTGTACAATGTACATGTGTATGGTATATATTGGTACCTATCAACAAATGATAGAAGATTGATACAAGTCAACACAAAGACTCATAAATTGTACATGGGTATGGTACATATTGGTAACAGGAAACTCATGATAGAAAAATCACAAAGTGTTCATGTTAACTACACCTTTTGGTACCAATCAACACAGTATAGAAGAATCATAAATTGTACATGTTTATGGTACATATTGGTACCAATTAACACTTGCATCGTCTACATGCATATTAGAAGATGTACATGACACATATTGGTGGTACTAATCAACACTTGATAGAAGAATCATATGATACATATTGGTACTAATCAACACTTGATAGAAGATCCATACACATGAATATGATTCATATTGGTGGTACTAATCAACACTTGATAGAAGAATCATCACGTGTATATGATACATATTGGTACTAATCAACACTTTATTGAAGAATCATACACATGTATATGATACATATTGGTACTAATCAACACTTGATAGAAGAATCATACACATGTTTATGATACATATTGGTGGTACTGATCAACACTTGATAATAGAATCATACACATGTATATGATACATATTGGTACTAATCAACACTCGATAGAAGAATCATACACATGTATATTATACATATTGGTACTAATCAACACTTGATAGAAGAATCATATGATACATATTGGCACTGATCAACACTTGATAGAAGAATCATACACATGTATTTGATACATATTAGTGGTACTAATCAACACTTGATAGAAGAATCATCATGTGTATGATGATACATATTGGTACTTATCAACACTTGATAGAAGAATCATACACATGTATATGATACATATTGGTGGTACTAATCAACACTTGATAGAAGAATCATACACATGTATATGATACATATTGGTACTAATCAACACTTGATAGAAGAATCATACACGTGTATTTGATACATATTAGTGGTACTAATCAACACTTAAAAGAAGAATCATCACTTGTATATGATACTTATTGGTACTAATCAACACTTGATAGAAGAATCATACACAATGTATGTGACACATTTATTTATACTAGTCAACACAGGATATTAAACCTACAGTGTATATGGGTTAAATGTAGGTTTTATGAGTAACACAGTGAGCCTGTTGGATCACCTAGGTGTCCATTCTTCCTTTGGTTCATCTTCATTGGTCCTGTTAACATTGATGGTCACAAACAGGAGGACCTGGCATTAGGCAACTGTCATTCCAAAGAATATTACAGAAAATTGAACATTTATATTGGAAGAGAGAAAGGTGTTCACTAAACACATGTTTTGCGACAAAGCTTTATCTTGCTGAGTATCTAGTCATATTGTGTGTGCAGTATATTTAAAAATGTGAAGTTTGTATTGATATTGCCTCAAGTTTGTATTGATATTGCCTCAAGTATTGCCTCAAGTTAGTATCGATATTGCCTCAAGTTTGTATTGATATTGCCTCCAGTTTCATCTTAATCTATATCTTATTCTAATATGTTTTACTTTCATGGATGTGACATGTACAGCTTTTCATTCAGAAAAGATCAGTGCCATAAAAATGGTTTTACATCATGTTCCTTCGAGTTATTTAAGACAGCCACTTAGCACATATAACATGATTCATAATGATTGTCCAGGCAACTACTATATGACATTTATTTCTCATATTGTTTGATTTTAAAATTGAAGGATCATTATGAATTTTCAATTGAGAATCTCATCACAAAAGTTAAGAAAAATTTATGAAAAGTAATGACATTCATCTCATAAAATTTTGCAGTATAGTAAATTATGAGCTAACTTTAAATCATGAAAAAAAACAATCATCACCATGCAGGCATGTAGCCAGGATTTGCCAAGGGGGATTCACTTTTGGAAAAATTCCAGGGGGGATTCGTTTACTTACGACAATTTTGGTCCAGAAATGGCCAAAACCACTTAAAAGTGCTCAGAATGGTGAAAAACTGCATGATTTTGAAAGATTTTTTGTCAGGCTCGAACTCATTGAACCCCCCCCCCCCCCCCGGCTACAGGCCTGCCATGCATGGCTGACTTTGATTTGCCAAAAGTGATATTGCTTTCCTATACATAAATATGGGCTTTCAATTTGAAGGGTATGCAACTCTGTGTAATAAGCATTAGCACTAGTTGAAAGCCCATGATTTAAAGTACTAAAATGTGAACATTTGCAGCAACGATTCTGGGCTTAACATATTCTTGAATAGGTTGAATTGTATTTTGATGTACAATATACTAAGGTGAGATCTTAACAATATATTTCTTCCATTTACAAAACAAATATTATTTACATTCCAAAAAGTTTTGCAAAGACATTACCAGGAGTATACTTTTCTTCATTCTAGGTAGTATTAAAGGTGATATTAAGGTTTATATTTTATTTATTTCATTTTTATTTATACATTATTATCGCACTATGAAAAAGTGCTATATTGTCGTTGTCTTGTGCTGTTGGGTGGGTGGGCGTGCGGGTGGCACATAAACCAAATCTTGTCATCAAATTTCCAGGATAACTGCTTACCTGTTCAACTTGAAATTTTTACAGATGTAAGAGCAGACTAGTACCAAGATCTGATTAGGTTAAGGGCATGCTGGGTAAACTACGTGGCGGCCATTTTGAATTTTCAACAAATCTTGTCATCAAAATTCCAGGAAAACCACTTATCCGTTCAACTTGAAATTTTTACAGATGCAAGAGCAGACTATTGCCAAGATCTGATTAGGTTTTGGGTATGCTGGCTCAATTACATGGTGGCCATTTTGAATTTTTCAATTTGGTGGCCATTTTGAATTTTTCAACTTGCTCCAAATTGACCAATTTTTAAAAAAAAAACATCTACAAGTTCTCAGAAGTTCAAATCTGACCTTAGATTTCAGATTTGACCTTTCATTCACCTTCAGTGACCTTGAAAAGGTCAAAAAAGTTGATTTTCTAAATTGATATTTTGGATTTAAATTTAGGTCAGCTTAATTACAAAAGACCTACTGAGGTCTGAAAAAGTGAAATTTTCAAGGTCGAAGGTCAAGGTCATTAAACTAGGTCACAGATTTGACCTTTCATTCACCTTCAGTGACCTTGAAAAGGTCAAAAAAGTTGATTTTCTAAATTGATATTTTGGATTTAAATTTAGGTCAGCTTAATTACAAAAGACCTACTGAGGTCTGAAAAAGTGAAATTTTCAAGGTCGAAGGTCATCAAATTAGGTCACAAACAATGTTAGCTAAATTTTCCCAAAGTTCAAGACTACAAATAAATTCTTGTCATCAAAATTGCAGGAAAACCGCTAACCTTGTCAACTTGAAATGTTTACAGATGCAAGAGCAGACTAGTGCCAAGGTCTGATTAGGTTTTGGCCATGCTGGGTAAATTGCATGGTTGCCAGTTTGCTCTTCAAACTGCGATATTTATCACTGTGTGTCTTGTTATAAATTATGCATATTCAGTTTGTGGTTTGTCAATACCTGATCACTTGACAACTTCTTTTATGTGTGTGATATTGTCAAAAATATATGTAAAGTGTTTTATTTAATTGAGAGAAAAAATGATTGAATATCGAGTAGGATAACTTTTGAATGCAGAGGCTATTGAATAACTTTACTAAATGCATAGGCACTAGGTCGACAGAAAGATTGTAAAGTCTAATTCAAAGCATTAGAAATGAGCATTTTTTGCTATTTGCAATAAAAAAATGTTATCCACAAAACAGCAATATGTTGCAAATGGAATGCCTCTATCTCAAATTAATTTGTGATTCAATAATTTTTTCTTTTTTAAAGCTAGAAAATATTTCTAATGCGTTGACTTAGACTTAAGTAGTAGCCACTATCCTAGTGACATCTTTTTGTCAAGCTATCCTTTAATTCTTTATGAACTGTTAACATGATGTATTGAACTCACTTAGATCAAATGTATTTAATACATGTACTGTATTGTAGTGATATTCATATTGTGAACTATCATAGCAATTTATCAGACCATGTGCAATTTATATATACATGTACTAGTATGTGCATACTATAAAGGTATATTGATATAAATTTATTTTTATGTGCAAGTGTTTTCATTGTGCTAGTCAAATATAAAACTGAAAATATAACTGATCTTTTCTGTGATTTTTAAAAATTAGTCCCAAAAAATGAAAAAAAGCCATTCCTCCCACAACTCCCAGATATAGAATAATAGGCAACTGTATATTACACCAATACATTCAGGCCCGTAGCCAGGATATGCCAAGGGGGGTTAACTTTTTGAAAAATTCCAGGGGGGATTCACTTGTGACAATTTTGGTCCAAAAATGGCCAAAATCACTTCAAAAGTACTCAGAACGGTGAAAAACTGCATGATTTTGAAAGATTTTTTGGCCAGGGGGGTTCACTCAAACCCATTGACTCCCCCCACCTGGCTACGGGCCTGACATTACATAGGACAATTTATGATCTACTTTCCAAATGTCACTGGAATCTCTTAAATACAATATAAACTTTCATCTGAACTCCGAGAATCAAAACCAAGATATAAATGTTTCTTATGGTTTAGGGGTGAAACACATAAGTCCATAGCTGGCAAAAAATGATCAGCTGGGCAAATATTCAGTTTGAAACTTCAATTCTTTTTAGGAGTCAGGTCAATAATCCAAAAAACAAAAATTGTTTTTATTTAATTCCCCCATCCATCCATTATCCTATTTAATGGGAACAAAAAGTTTACCTTTACTGTTAATGTCACCTTTATTATCAGATGCAATTTAGATGACAATCTTCTTCATATTTTAATAGACCTGACACTGACTCTATTGGATCAAGAGTAAACTGAATGAAAGTCCCATGAATACAACAAGAGTGATGCTGTCACAAAAGGAAATGGGATTCAACCTCCCACCCACCTCACAATTATGTCTCTTGACAGAACTAATTGGCGAAAGAGATAACACATCATTCCAACCATTTTCCATTTTTCTTGCATTTCTCTATTGAAAAAACTTGAAATATGAACATCTCCCATTTTGAACAATAAACAGTTGACATATTTAAAGAATTAACTCAAACAGCTTTCATAAAATATCTATTATACAAGATCACTAAAATATTTTTAAATCTAATTTAATTATTCTAAGGATTCATCAAAATGTCACATAAAAGCATGTTTCAAATAATTATTTAAATTAGCAAGGGATATTTATCTAGCATTGCCTAATTATCATCCTAATCAAAGGAGATCAGGATGCTTTACAGTTAAAAATAAACAAATGTACAAAGGACCAAATGATTAAAGGGTGTATGTATCTAAAATGTATTGGATGTGGATGTTGTGATAGAGATCAAAGTCCAGACAAATGCATTTTACCTTGGACATCAAAGAGATGGAGATTCACAAGGAAATTATATTAATTTATTGGCTTCTTTACTTATATTATATGTCAGATGAAAAAAAAGAATAAATTGAAATCATAATCTGCCTTTCACTAATTTGATTAGTTAACACAATGATTCCAACTACAATTTAAAATTTGCATTCACACTTTTAATGCTTTAAGAACTTATTTCATGTCGATGATTTGATTTCATTTTCAAGCTTTTTTTGGAATAAAGGATACAAACCAAACATGTTTGGAACCCTGCTTGCCTTGCTACCTCAACATGCCCCCAGTAAAAACACACCCCAATACTTTTGCAAGATATTTTTTAATCACAAACCAGAGACTTATATGTCTCTGTCCAAACTAATAATAAATTAATATGGTGTGAGTTCAAGTTCATATCATCTGGATATTAAACATACTAGTATAGTTAAAATGTACATCTGAAATCACTATGCAAGAACTATATACAAGTAAATTATTGTAGAACTGAACAAGATTAGTAAAAATAAATATTCAAATAAGTTCAAAACTTTCAAGCATTTGTTCAGTTTGTTTATATTTACTATTTTTCCCGCGAAAACGTCACTTCCGTCTATGTTAGCAACCTAATTTAGCAGGTGTTAGTCATTCTCGATTCTGATTGGTTGGACTAGGAAATAGCCCTCTCTGATTGGTCGGTCAATATGACATCCTGCATAATTTACATGTCGGGCTGACAGGTGCATCAAACAAAGCGGGAAGTGGCGCAAATGTAAAGGAATTTCAACCCAAAAGCAGCTGATATTTCGCTAAGGTAAGACTTATTTTTGCCTCTCTTATTAGTTAAGACAGTACAGAACGCATATAATACTTATTACAAACATTTTGTATTCTTATTTGAGCCACAAACTGGATTATAGTTTGGAAATTTCTTGACCTACATTTCAAAACAAAAGATCGAACGAAAATCATCAGATAAATTTTCTGAGTCATTTTACTTGGTATTTCCTCATACTTTTAAAGACATATTTCGTGGTGAAATTGATTTCTACTTATTTTATATAACCTGGATATAATTAATGTATGATTAAACGCTCTATTTTCAGAGAAAAACGAAAAGAATATTTTTGTGTTGTGTTTGAAACTTGTGTTGCTGTGGATATAGCAGAGGCTTTGTTTACAAAAGATCTGAATCTGAACCTATTGACCCTTTGGATGCTGTCACATCCTCCACGTTGGAAGAAAAACAAACTGTATCATGAAAGATGAAATCGCTTCGGCTGTCGTTTTTCTGACAGCTTTCATAAAGAAAAACGAAAACCTATCTAAAGAGCAAGTCAAAGAATTTTCCGCCAAATTGTCGCAACTGTTTGTTGACAAATTCAAGAATCATTGGTACGACGACTGTCCCACCAAAGGTCAGGGTTATCGCTGTATTCGTATTAACGAGAGTAGACCATTTGACCCTGTGCTGGAGAAGGCAGCCAATGATGTTGGCGTGAAGTATGAAGATTTGAAACTTCCGACAGAATTAACACTATGGGTAGATCCGATGGAAGTCTGTTGCAGGTATTGAATTAATATGTACTTTATCTCACCTAACAATTGGTTTTAGATCTCTTTAAAGGCCTTTAAATTACAAGAGGGCATAGACTTTTTGCACAAAAAACTAAATAATCTGAAATATACAAATGTCATTCATGTACAATATCAGAATATACTTTTCCATAAAATGGTCTCTTGATTTCTTATTTTGGGGTTCTACTGATGAAATAAAACAGTGAAATGGACTGTACTTAGAAGTAATCCGAACAGCTCATTCTTGACTCACTTCTTAGTTTCAAACTCTTGCTTGGATGTAAACTAATAATAAAATATGATTTATAGACTTTATGGGACCTCTCGTTAGACTCCCCCTCCTCTGATCTTGCAACATATGGGTGGTCTTTACTTAGAACAGATGTAAATTTGCCATATGCCACAATATTCTTATTGGGACCTAATCTGAACTGGCTCTATATTATAAACTTGAAGTTTTTGACACATTGCCCAATAATGTATAAATAAGGATCATGTGGTGACAAGATAACCTGATCAATGTTTGTAAAAGTTAGCACACATAACAGATGGTTTTCTATTTTCAGCATTCATATATCATGCAACTACTCAGCATGTTGCGAAATTAGAAAATTACTGTGCTTAATCAAAAACCTTATAAGGCAGCATGAAATCAAATTAATTAATAATTCTTCATTTATATTGCTAAGCCAAGGTCAATGTTAATTTGAATAAAAATACATTATCGATCTGAGAAGATTCGAATTGAGCTCAAAAGTTTGTTTCGTGTCAAGACATGAAAGCCTGCTGTTTGTGTATATTTACGTGCCAAATTTTTGTGGTCCTATATGCTTTGTACCTAAATGTACTTGAAAGGAGACACTCCCTCCTTGAGTGCATTAATGTTTTCTTCTAGAAATTAGTATTAAATTTGGTCGTACACAAAAGTTGAGCTTAAATGGTATATGTCATATATGTAATTTCTAGCTCTTGCCATAATTTTATTTTTTTCATTTCCTAAATATATTTATGTTCAGTGCAGCTGTTTCAATGATATTTAAAAGATTTTATCCATGGGGCTAATGGGCTTGTGATTTGATCACACATTATCCAGTTCACTTATCTAAAGTATTAAATTATGAGAGATTTGGAAATGTTGTGACGATGGTTTATATAATCATAGAAATGAAGCCAAAAATTGTGCGATTTAAATTATTGCAAATGTTGTTCTTTGCATGTTTCATACATTTTCAAAAACTTAATCACAAGCCACCGTTGAAGGGTTTGGTCCTATTGTCTTCTTGGAAGATTCAAGAGATAGTCAAACAATAGTTCAACATTTCAAGGTTTTTTACTTCAGGCTGTTAATAACTTTCCCACCCTCTACTTTGAAGTGAGGTTAACGACTAGGTAAGGCCATGTAATAAATGTCATCTAGTAATAAATGATAAGTTTAAGGACAATTATAAACCACTGCTATGGTAATGGTATGATGTCATTCAAGGCACTCCTTGACGTCCTAACATTATACATGCCTATTGCTAAATGTAACTGTGAAATATGTTAATAATATTGAAGTAATATCTAAAATACCTGCATTGTATTACTAAAAGCCTTTCAATCCATAATGATATTGATGTTTGGGTAATGTACCTTGCGGGGAAAACGCATTTGATCTCTTAAAACTCATCAGGTCTCAATTTTTCTTTGATAAAAACAAAACAAAAAAAACATAAACACATCTGTCTCATTCATGAATTATTCATAGGGATAAAAGCCTGAGCAAAAAAATGGAAAAATCGATGTGTAATGTACAGACCTAGGTTACAAATTATTTGTTAAGTGAACTATTTGGACTAGATACATACTGGCAGATGGTCTTAACTACACATAACAGGTGGCTTTTGACCTTTAATATAATTTGTTATCATTTTTTGAATGCATTCTATCTATTGTTTCTCTGAGTTTTTGCATACTAACTTTATGCAAAAATGGATTATATACGACGATTCATACTTTTGTTAAATATTCACATATGTAGTATTCTTTGAAGCCTACCTGGGTTTCCGTCAAGACAAAAAAAGTGGGCCTACAGAATAAACAAAAATTGGGATATGACCTGACGATTAAGTCACTGAAAACAATAACAATAGAAGGCATCTTCAGATAGTAGTTTATCATTTAACAACACTTGGCACGGAGATGACAACAAGAATCATATTTGCAAAAGGACTTTTCAACACACTTTGATAACAAATCAAATAAATCAATCAGCAACTTCCTGATCTACAATTCTACTTAAATCTATGTTAATTATATACTCACTGCCATGTGTTAAATTCATAGAAATCAGACCATGGCCTCCTGCAAAAACATAGTTAACCAGCAAAATATCTGAATATGAACTTTTGAACCTGGTTCATTTTTGGAGACAAGAACATCTCATTTTAGTGTCTAGAATTTCTGAATGACCTCATGATAGACAGACATATGCACAATAAAATGTAATGAAATCTTGTCTACTTTTTCTGACAATCTAATGATAATATGTACCTACACTATATACTTTACAACATGAGTTTTTTATTTTATTCTAAAATGTTATTTTTTAGAGCCAGTGTCATCCATAAGTGTTTGTTCACGAGGATACCAAAATGTATGATGATATGTCACATGATATTTCATTACATAGAACCAAACATATTATCAGGTTATGACTTATGTACCAGGATATGTTTGTATTTGCTAATAGTCATTGTACTTAGAATTTATCTTCATTTGTGACAATCCCACATATTGCTTTCAGTTTTTGTTTTCATGGCCTCCGTTCATAAAGGAAATTGTGGCTTTGTTCAAGTTTCTACATATTATAATTATTTCTAGTATACTATGCCTGACATGCAAAAGATAAATGACTATTTGACTGTCATTGAGATAAGTGAATTTTCTCGTGTATAGGAAGGCTTAAGGCTCTGATAAAGATAATATACTGTTTGAAAGATAATTATAGTTTGAATATCTTGGTTTAAGGCAATAATAATGCGATGTGTTTCATCACAATGTTTAAGGTGGTTCTGCACTTCAAGAAAAATTAAAAAATAGCTTGGGAAATGGAAATGTCATTTTACCATGATTTTGACAAAATAATTTGATTTGAATTAAGGTGATGCAAGACTGCAGTTATGTGAATTATCCTCATCAATCTTGAAGAATATTGCTTATTTCATTAAATAAATTGTAAATTGTAATCATGAAAAATTCATGAAGATAATTGTCATGCGGATGTACCTTAACATTGATCAATATGTACCCCTTGCCTCTAACTAAAATTATTGAACTATGCAGTCATGTATCATGTTTTCTTGGGGATACTTGGTACAAATAATACAATGTGAAAATGGTCTTCTATTCATCATCCTTTAAATACATGCTGAACAATTGATTAATTCTTGATATAGATTTCATTTAATTACTTATTTTGATTCATTGCAGTTCAACATACATGCCAATTATGTAGCACATAATAACATTGCAATTCAACAACCTTCAGCATATCTATATATTATTGTAATAGAACAATGGGTATCAATAGAATACAACCTTCAGCATATCTATATATTATCGCAATAGAACAATGGGTATCAATATAATACATCTTATTTTTAAATAATTGTGATAGGATGAATTGTAATCACTGTAATCAATAAACTTCACATCTTTATGAAACCTTTGAGAGACTAGCTTACGAGGCATAGAGGATTACTTTTTCTTAAATACTCTTTTTCTCTACATACTTGTGTATGTTTACATCCTGGTAAGCGACTCATGCTAATCCTGGATCATAACATTTCAGCACATCTTCTTCCTGTTATTAAGTTAATTATATTGTATAGAGTCAAAGGATTTGAAGCAAAACAAAATTGTTGATTTAATCAGTGTGATTTATAAACTGGTTATCACACATTCTTTATTTGTTTGTTTACATATAATTCACTATTATGGTGAAATACTTTTTGTCCAGTTAGTAGGTTAATATAGTGAATATTACTTCAAAGATGTATGGATGATAGAAACTTTGTTGTGAAGTTTTATAAAGGCGAATACTCAAGGTCAATGATGTAGAGGGGGGGTGTCATCTGCCTGAGAGCCTAAGGTGATATGATCTTACTTTAGGAGATACTGTATGGGATGTAGTTGATGTTGTTAATTCTCAGATCAAAGTGAAACCTCTTCACTATCAACTATAAAGATGCCTATATGTAAAAAATATGTTCTTCATTGGAATTAATGTATTTCTTTAATGTTTTCCAGATTTGGTGAGAACCACGGAGCATGTTCCACTGTGGCATCTTTTGATAAATTGGACTCTGCCGGGGAATCTAATGGTGAATCAACCGGGGAATCTTCTGAAGGCTCAGGAGATGAGACCACACCCGTCACACCATTAATGAAAATCGATGAAATCTTGAAGCAGCATGAATTATCATCTGGGACCAAATCGCAGGAGCGGTTCTTATCAATGCGGTTGAACAAAAATGGAACTCCGAAACGTGCGAACGGTTACACCACACCAGGAAATAATCAAAACCACCAGCGGATTAATAGCAAAGCTAGAAATAACTATAACAACTACCAAAACAAAGCCAAACAGCAGTTCATGCATGGACCTAAGAAAACCTTCCCGCAGTATCATCCACATCATCTACCAACAGGGTTCAATCCTTATGCAACAGGTCCTCTTTCTCATCCTCACCCGCAACCTCCTACAAGCAGGAATGATAAATTCCATTGGGTTAGAGGGCACGACCTTATTAAGGCATCTCCCATGAGAGGTCATGACCTCATTAAATCGTAATCGTGAGACACCACTTATGAGGTGTGTCATGACACGCCACAGTGAGATTTTGAGTATTATGCCAAGAAGTTGAAAAAGAGAAATGAGACTTTTTCAAATTGAAATTATTTATAAATCTTGCACCTGGTGTATGCAGGAGTTGTTCTGAGTAGTGGAATTATCCAATGATGATCACCTCTTGTACCGCTAAGCCTAGATTCTAGTAAATTATAAACTTACAACTGATCTCAAATGAATACTATTTAAGGGTCAATATTTGACATAATACTAATCCCTTTATCATATCCACATATCCATAATATAACATATTTGCTTGCAATTGTATCTTTCAACACTAACTCAACTTGGACCTGATAGGAGAGAAAACATTTTGAAACAAATTAAATTGAATAACCTTGGATAGAATGTTAAAAGTTCCATGTACTTGCATTTACGACCATGGTGCCAAATGAGTGTTTGGTTAATACCCACCTAATTTAAAAATACCTCTATCTTACAGATGAAATCCAAGTATTGATTTAAAGTACTAACCATTGAATATATAGATATAAAAGTTAAGAAAATAAATTTAAGGGCATTAGAACATATCTTAGCATTTTTGACAATTCATAATCAAGTTTGCCCAGTAAGTCAGCCCCCCCCCCCAAAAAAAAATAATCAAAACAGAGCAGAGCCGAATATTTATTAGCAATGTTAGGGAAATAAATTAATACACTTATCCAGTCCTTGCTTACAGCTTTACTGAATTTAATTGAAAAACTTGGTAACATGGTCTTTATTGAATGCTATATGGGTTTATGCCCTCCAACCAATGGCTCGCTTGAATGAAAAGTAATTATGCAATGACCTTATATTTCAATATAATTACCACCAATTTATGCATTATTAATGTCAACTTTTATGTATTCAAACCATATGTCGTACTAATGGACAGTAGTTATCACAGTGTTATTCATGACATACTTTTTACATGTCACATGGTTTGCACCAGTAGCTGGGAGAACACCAAAGGCTAGGCTAGCATCTAATGTTGAATTATCAGTGGAACAACATGTAAAATTGCCCATTGCATTGCTTTATGTATATGGCCCTTAAATCTTCAGGATGGTCAATATGAAAAAAATTGAGTGGGTTGATCTCGATATATGGACGATGCTGACTCAACTTCGGATACTAGACTAGGCCTTAATGATTATAACTAGTGTTTTTATTTAATACATTGTGAACAAGCATTAACATGTAAATTATGGGCTTACAAGAACCATAATATGTACCATATAAACCATAATATGTATGGGTCCAGTCTCTATTTTCTATGTTTTTTTTATAAAATGTGTTGTTGTGAACAGATAGGATTTCTTATGCCTGTTCAGGGGCCAACAAAACAGTGGATTTCTAATGTTATATTTATCAGTTATTTAAATGTTGTAGTGATAGGAGTTGTGCCATAGTACCATTGTTCATTAAGTTATCCATATTAAGTTAATCATTTGACTTAAATGTGCTAACTCCTCTTCCAGGCATTTTATACAGTGTGTAGGATATGCATTAAAAGGGAATTCATCAAAATCATACATTTCATTTTACTAATATAGTTTTGTAATATATTTTGGGCAATTTGAGCAATTTTACTGTGGCACAATCTCTATATTATAAATTATAATCACAAAGACCAGAATTGTCTCAGGTTGCTTATATGGGCTTATGATCAATTCCCAACTCTGGATGATTCTGCGTTATTAATGTATCCACCTTATATGCCAATATTGGTTTGTTTGCATGATTTGTATAACACATAGATGTACAGGGTGACCCAAAAAAAATGCAACCCTCCATTTCGTCAATATTTTTCTTAAATGGAGGTAAATTGCTCTGAGATTTGGCACACAAGGACTTCATTCTATGTGGGATCCTTTGGCAAAGTTTTAATAGTCATAGTCTTATATTGATAGAGTTATAGTTGTTTCAAAATATGCTCCAGATATCGTAAATTTCGCTGAAACCAACTTGCAATGTTCAAGGAAAACTGTTCATAACACGTATGCATTCTTCCCCATGGGTATGGCTCAAATTTTTGCAGCCATTGCTTATTGGAGTTCTGCAATTGCAGTAGGGTTATTTTCATACACATTAACCTTTAAATAACCCCGTATATTGAAGTCAGATGCATTGAGAACAAGTCTGTGGGATGACCATGGGTCCTCCGTCCTAGGAGAGATAATCTTCTCACAGAAATGACTAGTGAGCCAGGCTATGCTATCATTAGAAGTGTGAAGAGTAGCTCCATCCTTCTAGAACCACTGTTCTTGTCTATTGAAGCCTCTGTGTCACTCTAAAACTGCCTGGGAACGCCAATATTGCGCTGTGTGTTAACAGTAACAGTGTTGCCATTATCAACCTCAAACCAAAAGGGGCTGATGAGTTCATGTTTGGAAATTGGCAGACCAAGCTGTGCATTTAACAGAATGTAGGGGCCTGTGAAGCACTTTATTTGGAATTTGTGATCCCAGAACACATTATTCCTTGAGTTTACATGTTTAGAAAGAAGGGAATGTGACTCATCCGAAAACCTTACATTTGAAATGGACGACATTTGGAGCATATTTTGGAACGACCATAACTCTATCAATATAAGACTATGATTATTGAAACTTTGCGAGAGGATCCTACATTGAATGAAGTCCTTGTGTGCCAAATTTCAGAGCAATTTACCTCCATTTAAGAAAAATATTCGAGAAATGGAGGGTTGCATTTTTTTTGGGTCACCCTGTATTATTTTGCATTGTCACTCTATATTAATTAATAATTTAGTATGCATTTATTATTGTTATTACTCAAATCACATATATATTCAGCTACATACCTCAATGTGGTGGTTAGAGAACAAACCATAGGGCTGGACCATTTGATCTGGGGGAATGGGGACGGACTGTTTTCCCTTACCCATATTTTTCTTAAAAGTTAGACCCAGGATATACATTTACAGGGTGTCCATGAAGTCTCTTTACAAGGGGTAGAATTTGTATTGTAATTGTAAAGACACTTTATGGGCACCCTGTATTAGTGATCTCCCTTTTGATGTTAGTGCATGCTACACCCACCTGTGATTTTGGAAATGTTCCTGGCTTATGCCCCTAAGATGTGATGGCCCACCCTTAGAATAATTTTATAATCTAAATGTTGCTTTCATTGATATCAATAAGAATGGTGATTTTAGTATACGAAAGGAGACCCCTTATGTTTAAGATCAAATGAAAAAATTGTAAATAAGAGATTTATTTATGTGTTTGATGGTTAACCTAAGGGGTCAAGGTGTGGAATAGCAGGATTTAATGAGAGAAGATGGATTGTAAAAATGTTATTTTATTCATATATTTATAATCTAGGCACACAGATTGTTCAATAGATGCAGTAATGTTCAACACAAAGTAATGATGTTGTCATGTTCACAAAAATGATGCTAGGCATAGAGTCAAATGATGCTAGGCATAGTGTCAAATGATGCTAGGCATAGAGTCAAATGATTCTAGGCATAGAGTCAAATGATGCTAGGCATAGTGTCAAATGATTCTAGGCATAGAGTCAAATGATGCTAGGCATAGTGTCAAATGATTCTAGGCATAGAGTCAAATGATGCTAGGCATAGTGTCAAATGATGCTAGGCATAGAGTCAAATGATGCTAGGCATAGAGTCAAATGATACTAGGCATAGAGTCAAATGATGCTAGGCATAGAGTCAAATGATGCTAGGCATAGTGTCAAATGATTCTAGGCATAGGTTCAAATGATGCTAGGCATAGTGTCAAATGATTCTAGGCATAGAGTCAAATGATGCTAGGCATAGTGTCAAATGATTCTAGGCATAGAGTCAAATGATGCTAGGCATAGTGTCAAATGATTCTAGGCATAGAGTCAAATGATGCTAGGCATAGAGTCAAATGATACTAGGCATAGAGTCAAATGATGCTAGGCATAGTGTCAAATGATTCTAGGCATAGATTCAAATGATGCTAGGCATAGTGTCAAATGATTCTAGGGATAGTGTCAAATGATCCTAGGCATAGAGTCAAATGATGCTAGCTTAGGATGAAATGATGCAAGTTATATTGTGAGTCATTATGTCAATAAGTAATATGTATTACAATGCCACGAATATGTCATACAATGACCATACAAAGCATACTGCATAGAAAGTATTTAAAATTTTATATTTTTCATAATGTTTATTGTTTTTAGGTGTTTTATAGAAATTAAAAGTTCTGCATGGGACCTGGATATGATATATAGTATGTTCAACCCTACTCTTAAAAGAAAAACTGTAAAATATATTTCATTCAATATGCATTATAATTTGTAAACGAATAAAATGGCCATATGATATTATTTCCATGAATTTGGTTTTACACAGTGAGTATATTCATGATTAGTTAAATAATCAATCGAATCAGTTTGAGTTTAAAAACAATTATTGAGTGAAATTATATTTTATAGAACATCTCAATGAGTATGTGTTCCAGTAAACAATTCATAGTTGTCACGGTATGTCATCAGATTGTTGCCTTGGAGATTAAAGGCTCTTGTGTCCAATATGATACAAGACCCTTTAAGACCAATAGCTTAGAGAAGACTAGTATTGATTGCATTTAATACAAGTATGGCAATGGTTGCAAATGATACACTGAAACCAGACGATTTTTATTGGACCAATGTATGAATATTTTGAATCTAATATCCATATGATAGATATATAGCTTATATTCAATGTTTATCTTAATATGTTTGTCTGTTATGACATATGTTCAGAAAATTATGAAATATATCTGAACAATTTTAATATAAACTATACGTTTGTTGATTTGTTTGATTTTGCAAAGGCCTTTGATATCCTTTTGAACAATGATTTTCAATACTAGAAATCAGCAACTCCACGGAGAAGCAAATCCCAACAAACACTATAATAGATCATGAATCTGTACAGTCACAATGTAATATTTACCATCTACTCTTCCCTTCAATAAATATTTGAGATCATTGTAGTATCATGTAACCATACTTTAAAGATATCTCTAACTAATGGTGAATTCCTGCTCTAGGCAGCCATTTTGAATTTTCTGAGACACAAATCAGAAAAACAATACCATAATTGTGATCTACTCTAAAATTCCTTCGATTTGAGTATAATATTATATAGCCATTCTTCTAAGAGATCAGAAAATTATTCCAAAATCCCACATTTTGAATTTTACGAGGCCCGAATCAGAGAAACGACACAATATTTTCAATCTACTCTAAATTGCCTTTAATTGAGTATAATAAAGTTATACTTCAAAAATATCTCAAAATTAACACAAATTTCTGTTTTCATAACCCCCCATTCACGGCCCCTGGGGGTCAAGGTGAAAAAGATGGACTATATGCGAAACAGATAGATGTTGTGAATATACTATTAAAACAAATAATAATATTCATTACTTTGGTTTAAAATGAAAAACATTTTTTTGCTTAAAACTTCACCAATATACATCTTTCCACCAAAGATGAAGAATATCCATCAACTAGTATTCGAGTTATCTTCCGGACAGACAAACTGACTGGCGGAGGGCTTCACTATATCCCTACTTAACTTCCTTCGTTGGGATAAGCATCTTGGGAAGGAACTGGAGTTGGTATAGACCCGGAGCGACATTCCCACGGTGGGAATCCCACCCAATTGGTATTATTTCAGTTAGTTTTATGACTCTCAATTAGGGCGAGTTGAAACATGAATTTAGAGATATTCATAGACTTTGAAGCAATCAGTTGATCTCGGAAGTGTTAAGTGTTGGTCCTTGACATTTTCTGAATGAAGCAGTGAATATCAAAGTAATAGCTGGTAATTTTACAACACAAATGTCAACTGGGAACTGGTAGCATCATCTGGTGTCAATGTGGTAAATGGTGACATCATTTGGTGTCAATGTGGTAACTGGTGACAACATGGTAACTGGTGACAACATTTGGTGTCAATGTGGTAACTGGTAACAACATTTGGTGTCAATGTGGTAACTGGTAACAACATTTGATTTGACAAAACATGTTTAAATATATAGTTAATTGCAAAGCCTAGGTGCCATATTTCTATTAAATATCTATTTTAACAAACATCAATATCAATTTAAGATAGATATGGGTTGTATTTCTTACTCATCAATACATGTCCACATTTAAAGTACATAATGTTGTCAAAATCTGCAGATGTTATGGCCTTGTCCTATCAATACCATAGCACACTTGTGAATATGTTGGTACATGGTGTTGCAAGGAACTGCAAAATAGCTTCTAAAAGAAATGTATTTTAAATAAAGTAAAACCTACGTTGAACCCTGGACAAAGATGACAGTTTTAGAAGAAAAAGAAATGAGTCACAAAATTTAATTGAAATATGTGTTCACATTTGAAGTGTTCACATATGTAGGTTTTACTTTTGATTTAATCAGTCTCATAAAAAACATCCTCATATTGTAAATATAATGTTTCTACAGGATCAAATGTCTTGATGCAAGCCCTTGCACTTGCAAATTTAGGTCTGTTTGTGTGTAACATCCCTATTCATTCTACTATGCCAATCTGAGATGGGTATTGTAAGAAGAAAGGCCCATATACAGCATTACAGTTGGAGTAAGTCATGCAGCTATTTTAAAAAAAATAGTTAAATTGAAACAACCAAGGATGTAAAACACTCAATGTTCAAATAAATGTTTTTCCATGCAAAACATGTAACATCTAGACATGTACAATTCATGTATAATCCACCAAATCATGGCGCCAACTATTCTAATAGTTTGCAGCTAAAAACAATAAAATGGAATAATACTTTCCAAGACCCCCAAATTCTTCCACAATGACTGTTGGAATTGGCATAAAAAATAAACTTTTGCTCAGTAAAAACATTAACAATGAGGATATAAACAAAAGCACACCGACCAATAAACCAATGAGAAAAAATGCAATTATTTACAAGTACAAGCATATTTTCTTATACACTGTAGAAATACTTTGTATTCTGACATTTCTGTAACAGTTTTCTTTTCCTGTCTATTGAGTTCTTCAGTAATTGTTCAAACAACTTAATTTTCACTATTTTCAGGGTTGCCAAGCCATTAAGTGACTGAAGACTGTTTCTAGGCACCAGTGAAAACTACAGACAAAACTCACAGCAACCATAACCACTTTCACAGTAAACTAAAACACTGAGAACAAATTAAACATGCTACAATTGATAATAAGCATCCATAACAGATGATTGAGTGTCAATAGCATTACAATAAAATCATGTAAAGTAATTCAGAAAATACATTATTCCAAAAATTGCAATGTTATTAAATTATTGCACATCTATATGCTGAGGGGATTTATTTTTCTATCCATCAAATTTTTATTTTCAAATTTCAAAGTACCTATGCAACTCTATATGTAATATTAAAATATATTATACATAATGTCGCTAACAAAAGAATCATCGAACGACAATACTGAAATCAATACAATGCTGTAAGATATAAGAAGTTGAAGAAATCCTTTTTGGAATTCCAAATCTGCCACCTACTTAACCACCAACTGGGATTATTGACATATTGCAATATTTGACATATTAGTACATTCTATAAATCAACACCGGTAATACATCATGGGGCTTGGAGAGCACAATGCTCTAGTAATGCTATCAAATTGTACCTATTAGAAATTGCTTTACTGAGTGCAACAAAGGAGATATCACGTATCAAAGCATAGGCTTTACAAATTACATATTTATTAAGAACCTCCATTGTTTTAAGTCTGAGTCATTCAAGCTGATATAAATGAGTCAATGTTTTGACTATATTAAAGATCAGATCAATCCCTTATGGCTTTGGTATTGCTACATGCAGAGTGCAAAATAAATGCCAGTCCAGAGACAGGTGATTTTGGTCTGAGTCAGATTATTTTTTAAGCCCTTATTAAAAAATAACATGGCACCTGGCCTGAATTTGAAATCTGACCAGTAGGTGTGAAATCTTTGTGCATTCCACATTGGCAATTTTCACTCAGTCGATTTGAAATCTTGGTGTTTTTTCAGATTGATAACTATATAACAAACACTTTAATGTTGTATGATATTGGTAATGCAGATGCTGCGTCTATAGCCAGAAAAACTTCTACGATCTGGCAAAATCAGAATTTAAAACAAATGAAGCAAAATAATATATTTCATCCTTTTTACAAGGATGTTCAAAAAGTTTCCATCAAGGCAATAAGCAGTCAAGGCAGTCTACATGCTTTGCACCTAGCAAGTCTTTAATATATTAATATAATATACCCCTCATCAAGTGCTTCAATCCATCCCCATTGATATTAAGTTTAAAAAAATTCACAATTCATTGAGTAACTTGGGCTTTTTGACATTTTCTTCATGACAATCTTTGTCTACACTTTATCTCAACATTCGGACAAAAGTCAACTTGCTCAGTTCATTAATGGCAAAAAATTAGGCCACCTGTTTTGGCAAATGAATCAGTGTCTGCGTATTACATGTACATCAATTAACATTATACCATCCCATTCCATGAATACTTCAACATTGCCATTTATATATTTGAAGTACTAATAAATTCTATGTACAGTATACATAAGTTAAGTATTTCATGACTAGCTACGAGTGACTACTTACAATATATGCAAAAATAATCGTAATCAAAAATAAAATTGCCTTTACTTTTCATATATGCAACTGGTGGATAAAAATAGCAGTTGCATATCAGCTTCTCAAACCTTCACATTCAATCAACTCTCTATAGATGTAAAAAAATATTAAAATTTTTCTCTTATGCACAGTTGTCCTGGGTTAAAGATAGGGGGCGCTTTCACCCGATGTTTGACTACAACGCCCCTTCTTTTGCATTCTGTATAGACACGACTTAAGTACTCAAATTGTTACCAAACTTCAAGTGAAATGACCATAGTATCAAGGATATATTAGGTGCCTCTAAAAATATGTTACATGTGTTTCACAATATGACACATTATAGTAAATATAACACTAAGGTAGGCACAGTGCAATGACATTGTTATATATTTGTATATGAAGTTAGCTTGCAAGCTAAATTGCTCACACTGCTATGCCAACCTTAATTTGGCATTGTTTCATGTGACATTCAAATTGTTGATTGAATAAAATAATTCTGCAACAGTATTTTCACAATTCCTTCTTCGATCAAATTGTATCAGTCATTACAAATATTCCGCATCAGTATCTTCATGATCCTTATAACTACTCTGTATGTTGCGTTATAAATCTCGCCTGACATCTATATCAGTCACTATATTTCACTGCACAGTATTTCATCCAAAATAAGCATAATATTGGACTCTAAGCATGCCTATATAAGGAGATGATATTCATATATAGGTAAAGCTGATATATATTTCCTGTAATATTGCATCATTCATTTCACAGTGACAGTTTGTAGATGACTGATGTCACGCGTAAATCCAAGCTCCTCATTCCTGAAAAAACAATTTCACTCATTTGAGAGATTTTTATTTTGAAGACCAACCCACTAGAAGAACATGAGGTATAAATAGTATGTAGGATGCCTCCTGGTATGAGACCAGGGTGTTATAAGTAGTTACCATGGATTCAATGGGTGGTTTTATGAATTTTTAAAAATTATGCATTTACATGGAGTACTGAAATATTAGATGAAGTGTCAAGGGGATTTTTCAAAAAAGGCCAAAAAAAGCTTGGAATATGGATTGCAAACATCACTCTTTATAACTGTATCATGTCTCTAATACTTGATCACTAATTATTTGGATTGTACCCACCTTAAGACAGTTGACTCTGAGGCCAGTTCAGGCAGGGACCCTGAGAGAGTATTTTTCTGGGTTGGCAAGCCATTCAAGGACTGGAGACTATTTATTGAGGTTTTAGCTGAAAAATTGACCAAATGGCCCATGAAAGATATAAAATATATACCATAAATACAATAAATTGAACAGAAGTCAACTATATGGGTATTAAAATAGTTGTAGCCATCATAAGTTCCATTGCCAGGATCTAATCATCTTTAAATAGCCAAGATATTCCACTGAACTTATTTCCATACTTATATTTAAAATTGCTAGCTGTAAAATGTCTGTACCCTTGGCTGCCTATACCCCTGCCTGGCTATACCTATGGATATTTTCAAAATATCTTAGGGTCTTCTTGTTGTTACCACTTTTGAAAGGAAATATTTGTACCTTTAATGTCTTCAATAGATTTGACAGGCACCATGTGAGTGATAGATGACTTCCTTGCTTTCCTCTTCTTACTGCCTACGAGTGGCTTGTCAGCGGAATTTTCCATCCTACACCCATGTGCTGATGGAAATTTCCATGACATAAGTTTCAGTTCCCCTATTGACTGAAGGGTCACTGTAAAAAAGGAATTGAATGAGATATATGATATTATGATTTTGATGAAAAAAGATGCAATTATAAACATAACATAATCTTTAATAACTTTATACTTCCAGTAATTGTTCACAGTGTTATGGACTCAGAATATCAGTAGGTATTGGAATCAACAAAGTACAAATCATTTAAATGAGTCTTAAAATCAGCAGGGATACGAGAGAAATATACCTGGGTCTTTCTGCTGGATCTTACTTCCTTCACTATGGTGTCTGCGTCTTTGTTTCTTTGTTTTCTTCTTATCCATCAGCTCCATGTTGCACATAGGAATCGTTGCAAGATGCTCTTCCAGGTCAAAGTCTCTGTAATATAAGGCAGCAGCACATTATGGGACTTGTGTAAGATTTGTCATATGCCATAATATTAACCAACAACTTAGGGTTACTGGTCATCTCAATCCTTCAAGTCAAATTATTCCAAGTCATCTTATCAAGCTGAGCTGTATTTCTGTAAGCATTCTTAAACTTATGAATTCGTAAGTTGGTCGTTCTTTAACTATGACAACGATAACAACAATGAATTTCTGAATATACATTGCTAAAAATGTTACAAGAATGCTTCCTTGGTAGAATAAGGTGATTAGACAATTAAATAGAACCTTACACATTATTTGGAAATGCATTTAAATCTTACAATAACAGGAACAAAGGGTTGTGCATATTCCTTGAATGAATCTATGAACTCCTACAAAGGTCATAAAGTTGACCGAAACAGAAACAGAATGACCTGAAAAAAGCAGAACCCTAATCTTTTATGCAAAGCTTTGTGAGTTCCTCTTTTGGCTCACCCTGTATTATCTTACCCTGTTTTATATTTCTTCTCAGCAGGGTCTGTGTTAACGTGCACCTTGTCAGACTCTGAAGTTGCTCTTTTACGCTGGCGTCTAAATGACAACAGACTGGAGAGTGGTTCGACAAAGCTATCATCCTTGCTACGTTGAATGGGTTCTTCTTTCAAGCTGAAACAAGGAAAAGAACCATTGAATGAACATGAAGATTGAATAACAAAAACATGTGTCACTGTTATTTATTCAAAATCAATCCATTATATATTTTGAATGTACACATTTTCAGGGTTTTCAATGGTTTTCACATTTCATTCATGGTATATGTAAAATTCTAATATTTAATTCTTTAATAATATCAAGAGATTTATAGAGTAAACTGTATATGTTATTGTAAACTTACTTAAACTCTACAGTTGGTGTGGGCCCAGATCTGTGCTTCTGTCTGTGAATAATCCCCTTGTTAATCATCTCCTTGTAGCGCTGGCCTCGATTTGAACGTTGCGACTTACGTACACGATCCCCAACAGAATCCTCATCTTCATCATCATCAAAGTCGTAAAAGTCCTCAGCATGATCAGTCTCCATATCCCCACCAGAGGGCAGTGTATTGTCTAATTCACCACCAGAGGGCATGGTAGTAAACTGAGAATTTGGATTTATATCAAATTGCGGTGAATTATGGCACAAGGACATCGGTTCATGTCTAAATTCTGAATTTCTGTCAGCTGATTTGGATTCAGAATCTCCAGATAATTCTAATTCTTTAGAGTGTTCTTTTTGGGTTGAAGCCATCATTTTTGAGATCTGATAATCATTAGCTATCTGAAGAGCTGAGGAAGTTTGTATAATCGATGTGCCTAAACCAATGGCTTCTAAGTTGGGGAGGACTTTTGAAGTATCGCATTTTGGTTCCCATGTCCTTTTCTCTTCTATTGAGTTGCAATTGGTATCAAAGTGGCGATTAGAAACATCAGTAGCCTGATTGGACAGATTGGTGATTTGTCCAGCCTGAATATTTCCATTCCCATCAAGAATTTGTGCCTCTTGTTCTATGGTTAACTTCGAGAAAGCTTCATGATCAGGGGATGACTTGTACTTAAAATTTTGACCTTTGTGTACCTTATGGTTTCCAGAAGCATTATGGTTTTGTGCAGTTGGTACATTCTCAGTCATTGGCAGTCCATTATTATGCACTGATTGAATGCCATGGTTTTGTGAATTCGATACATTATCTGTTAATTGGTTGCCATGGTTCTGAGTTGTTTGACCACCAGGAATATTTGATGCGTAGTCCATATGAATTTGCTTACCCGTCAAGAGGCTCTGTAGTCGTGTTCCCTGGTTGACATCCTGGGTCACCATGACATTCTGAACTGGTGTTACCATGGCAACAACTGCAGACTGAGTTGGCTGATTTGTAGGAGTTGATTTAGCTTTAGAATAAAGTGCCTCAATGACACTTTCGACGACCATTTGTCCATTTATGGAATCTTTCTCTGGTGGTGAGGCAGGAGCGGCTCTGGGCTTAGTCATTAAATGTCCAATAGTGCCAGGGCTATACTGTGCTTTAGAGGTAGTTTGGGTAGTATTCACATTTAATGGGACACCCCCTTGTTTTCCCTCCTTCAAAAGTGTCACAACTTTTCTGCTATCTGTGCTATTCAAATTATGGCTTTGAGATGCAAAAGTCTTGTTGTTTGAAATGTTTTCAATCATTGTCGTCTGATTTTCAGTCCCAGCTGTTTGGATTCCTCTCCCTGTTATTTGGTTACCATGACTACCACCACCACCAATTGTTTCCAATTGATTCCAACTAACGTTTTTTGTATGGTGTTCATTCCCATTAGTCTGGTTCCCAGTCCCTGTTGCTTGACCCCCACTCCCAGTTTGAGGCCTGTGAAGTAGACTAGTTGATACATAATGTGTGCTCTCCTTTTCCTCTAACTTTTTTACAAACTTTTCAAGACGTGAATAAACTGGTTCTGTGTTATTGTCACCTTGTTCAACATCAGGGTGGTTGTATGGGTAGTTAACATGCTGAACTGGGGCAGACTGTTGGTTAGAACTCACTGAACTTTGTGTCCTACCATTTGATTGGAAGTTGTAATAGTAGTTTTGATTGGTCACTTGGTTTGACTGAGTTGAAGGTTGTATTTGAGAGGGGCGATTTTGATTGATGGCATTGCTGAAGCAAAGCTCATTTTCTGCCATCGAATGATCCTAAAATGGAAAAATAAACAAAAGTTATTATGTTATAAATGCAATGTCTCAAATAAAACTATATATTGTATCTAAACGGATGCATTAATTTTATGTGCCAATGTTAAAAAAGCGTATTTTCCAAATAAATAAATGAAAAATTAAAGAATATGACCATCTCCGCTTGAAAAAGTCATGAGAACCCCGATCATCAGTTTCATTAGCATAATCATGAACCTGTAAGGAACAAAAGATACCTTCGACTGAGGACCAGGATTTGTCATTTTTAATGGATCGCAGCTCTTGGCCTCTGAATTGGGAAGAGGAGCATTCATTGTTTGCGGTTCCATCGTTGAGGGAGCATCAAGTGTTTGCTGACCTGCCATTAATAGCAAACTGAGGCCTCCCATGTTAGTGGGATCTGAAAATAATTAATAATTAAATTTTTTTCAGTTTTGGACATTTGCGGTATCGTGACAACTCCTACTATGTGAGATCAGAGATATCGTATTAGTATACTTTCCAAAATTCTACTTAAGCTTATTTTCACATTTCTAAAATATTTTTGACTTTGTATACCTGCCAATTTTCCAGCTTCAATTTTCTTACTGGAGTCTTGATCATTATGACCTGTTATCTTCTGGGCCTGTTTCTGTGTGGCCTTAGATGCCCCTTGGCTGTGAACTGCCTTCTCCGGGTTGAACCATTTGTAGTCAGGATTAGCTTTCATAAATGCATCTTTATACTGTAACAAAAAATATAATAAACATGCAATATTGACTGGTTTATTTCGAGTACGGTTTATATATGGAGTACTCTACGCTGATTGTTAGCTGTCCCAACTGCAACATGCAAACAAGGCATTAACATGCAAAATATCACCACCTGCCATTTGTTACAAATGATGACTGCTGAACGTAACTTGGAGACAACTATAATACATCACCACTTCTGATGGTGACTTAAAAAATCTAATGGAGTTAAAGATGTTAAATGTGCTTTGGGGAGCAGTGAGTATAAGACCTGCTGAATGGTCAATGAGCTTACATAAAGCTTAATACAAGAATAAAGCCTCTTAAATATTACATGTTCAGCAAGATATTGATCAGTGGCCACTGTACTTACAAACTCACTTTGCGACACAAATTGACAAAGTTGGATTCTCCAACTCAATTAGAATCAGAATAGAATGTCCAAAGTGTCTTTCAAAATGGCACACTGGAGATTGCGTATAGAATTTTTGAAGGGTTTATCTTAAAAATTTAGTTACAGTTCCTCAGTTTACTCGTACTGTGGTATCTTTAGGTTTTGACTTCACTCCCTCAGTTTACTTTGCCTTTTTTATTCTTTTTGTCTTATCTCTTACATAACAATGATCTATCTTTATGACAACAATACAATATTCGGCAAAAATAATGTTGATAGAAATAATTGTACATTTTTTCGGTTTAGTCACATTTGAGAGTTGTTTTAGAATGGTTCCAAACAACCCTGGCATGCAATGACAACCATCACATCAACATAAATCACTGAAACATTTAGAGATAGTAAGACTGTCATGAAAGTTAGGGGCTATATTTTCATGTCATACAACAATCTTTAGTCACCTCATCTTCACACGATGGAGTTTCTTATAAATAAGGCATTTGTATCTTTCCTTCCGGGACACCCTGTATATGAACTACAAATGAGGTTCTTTGTGAAATCCTTAAAAATAACTAAGTTAGAATCATACTTTCATTCCATTATAAATGATAAAAAATCAAATGAAGCAAAGAAAACCATTTGGCAAATCTCCAAGCCACATTTCCATCTGAGTGGGATGTCCTCAGATGGCCCGATTGTCTATTATAGGACCTTCTAGGTACTAGTAGGTAGGCACATTTAAGGTCAAGGCCAAATAATATACAGCTGTAAATTCATTAAGTACACACAAAGAAAGTTTGAGTATTTCCAAAATGTTTTGATTCCGAGTTAGGCCTATGTATTCTTTCATACTGTATCTAAGTAAAATATGGAAAATATTAACTTTTTCGATTATTAATCAATTAAGGTGCGGTGGTAGTTAACAGGACAAAACCATGCTGGATTTTCAAAACTATTGAACCAAGATAACAGAGTTCTGTTTTAACCTCCAGTCAGTTTAACTAGTTCCACATATCATTTACATGACTGGGAACACAATGGAAATGGTCAGAATGACCCTTAACATGATGAAATAACCTTTTCAGCCCTCTGAAAATGTGACTGAAAAATAGCTAAAAGTAGGTGCTCAGGAAAGGTCACTGAACAGAATCTTTTGATTCTTTCAGAAAGTGTATCTAATATATTGCACCACTGCTTTCTTGGTTCAAAAATTTTTGAAAATCCAGCATGGTTTTGTCATTTTTCATTTTTGCCATTTCCTGTTAACTACCACCACACCTTAAAACAGAAATTTAAATAAAAATTCTCTTGCTCGCATATTGCATATAGTAATATGATGCAAAAACTGGTCCAATATTTGTATTATATTTGTAGATTATACGTTGTATAAGTTACCTGCACACATAAAGAAAGTGTAAAAAAGTGAATCATCTGGTTTCAAATGACATCATTCTACATCAACAAGTTTTTAATGTAAAAATTGAATGACAATGTTTACAAGAATAAGGATTCATACCCCTGGCCTGTGCCCATGCAGTAAACTGTTAAAACTGACATTTTTGTACAAATTCAAAGAGTAAACACCAAAAACAAAATTCATGTGATTCTCAGAAATTCATTCTACTAAATGTGCTTTTTTCAAATTGATAAAAACCAAGCAAATGCAATAACAATACAATCATATAAAATTACTTAAAAAGAGATCTTACTTGCTTAGCCAAATCAGTGTAGACCCCTTTCTCCTCATTGCCAAGTTTTGCCCACCACTCTCCAAGGATGCGTGTCACGGTTCGGTTGTCAAGGTGTGGATGTTTCTGTCGCACCACACTACGATGACGTTTGCAGAAGATAAGGAAGGCGTTCATTGGCCTTCGTACTGTGGTATCTTTAGGTTTTGACTTCACTCCCTCCATCTGAAAATGTGTTAACAGGTTATAAGGTTGTTTTAAATGAGTAGAAATTCTAATTGTTTCCTAATTGTTATTTTCAGGAGAACATTCCATAGGCCTACATAGTTTACATCTTTAATTTAGCACAAGGAATATTAAATTAATAGGTTTTTAGTTGAGGGCGAATTATTTTCTAAAATGAATGAAAATTTTAAAAATTCAAAAATTTTCTCTACTTCATACACCTAAAATATGTATTTATAACCTCAACTAATGACCTAGGTATATTTATGCACCTTTTGTGCACAAGTGAAAGATGTAGACAATGTTTGGAATGAGTTATATATACCTGAAATACATTGAATCATTTCATTGAAGGTTTTCATTTCAAATCTTTGCATGACCCCACAGCCGGAATGCAAAGATGAAGAAACAACAAATGAGTGGAATGAAACTGCCACAATGCATTGAGTCTTGAGCTAAATACTTTTCACAAGCTGCAATATTTTGCAAACATTTTTTACAAAATCACCTAAAAGAAACATAATCACTAAAAGAAGATGAAACTTTTTGTAACGTTCAAGTTGGCAAAGTATTAATTTTAATCTGGAGAGTCAAGTTGTCACCATGACAACTGTTTCACAAGTGACCTTGAATGCGGTGATTGGTGATATAATACCCTGTAGACTGTAGTTCTAAGAAATACTGTGTTTGGGTTGGCTGGAATCAGACACACCTTGCCTAGCTATGTATGGATGCACAATTAGTTACTTGAACTAGGAGAGCTCGATCTTTGTCAATGAGTAGAAGGGCACATGTCCAAATGCCTTGTTATACGAGGGTTGATCAATAAGTAATGGACGCTTTTTTACATAGATGCTTTTTATAGACCAATCTCTTTAATTTTTTCAACAGTGATACATCATTCAATTTTCTATCAACTCTGAAGATTTGGAGACAAAGCATGTAATATATTTTGATATATCTTTATTTCTGTGAAGGAGGTATAGGTACCCCGGGACCGACATAACGTCACACATTCTGAAGCTATTTAGCTCATTTAACGTGCAGTGCAGTTTAATGCAAGTTGAACAAAACGAACCATGATGGTTATGAATTACACCATTTCGATATGCCATAATTGATTTTGAATATTTTGTCATCACTTTGTGGCATCCATGCCTCCTTCATTCTACAGAGCCCTCTACATAGGTTCCATCAAGAACTACACATTCCTCATTATCCTCTTAACCCAAGATTGAAAGACAAGGCCGAATCCATTCTCTGACATGGTAGCATGGCTGCAGTTACACAGCTGGTTTTATTTCATCAATGTCATTAAACCTGCATCCTTTCTCTACAGAAATAAGTAGTATAGAAATAAATAAGTCGTCATGTGTGGCCAGATCTGGACTAAAGGCTGTATGGGCCAAGGGCTTCATGTTCAGGTCCAGGGATATTGTATCCTGCACAGTTTGAGATATTTGGGCAGGGGCATTATCCACATGGAGTACAGTGTTACCTTCTCTTATGAGCCCCTTCTTCCACAGTGCATTCTCAAATCAACCTGCAAACCCTGACCATACAACACTTTGACATCACAATACTATAATATTTTATGTGTTACCAGAGACAGCATGATTGATATTCAAACAACACAACTCTTTTGGCATATCAAAAAGTTCAAATCTAACTGATATGCTAAATTGGCATTACTTCAGAATATGTGACGTAAATGTCGGTCCCGGGGTACCTGTACCCCCTTCACGAAAATAAAGATATATCAACACGCATTACATATCTTGTCTTCAAATCTTCAGAGTTGATAAATAAGTGAATGATGTATCACTGGTGAAAAAATCAAAGAGATTGGTTTACAAAAAGCATCCGTGTAAAAAAGTGTCCATTACTTATTGATCACCCCTCGTACAGAATACAGAATCGATTTTCTTTCACAACCTTCATCAAATGACTTCAAATGCCACTGGTATTCCCTACATCCATGAGGTGATGTGGAAATTTTATGTCAGCCTGACCTCGTGGTATACAATGTACCTGGTTTATACTGTATTTTGTTACTCCTGGTGAACTTCCTTCGTTTCACTTAGTCTGATATGAATTCTCTATGGTAACAAGTCTAATTCTTCACAGGACCAATGTAGTTTGGTTTCTTATAAAAAATGGCAAAATCTTGGTGCAGTAGCATCCTAGACTAGACCAGTAAATATCAATACTGTATGTTTAAATACAGCTTTTCCAATTCCAATATGTCAAATGTCATTATGTTCTCATACCAAAACTGTAGATGATGACTTACCTAATTAAATTTCATACCAAAAGTTGGACAATTCTGAGATAATTGGCATTTCAAAACGCAAAACTTAGAGTCCATTACCACAATAATTGAAAAAGGGTTTCAACGGAGAAGGTACAGTGTATCATGGTCCCATGAGTGTATTAATGTATATCATGGTCCCATGAGTGTATTAATGTATATCATGGGCCCATGAGTGTATTAATGAATATCATGGTCCCATGAGTGTATTAATGTATATCATGGTCCCATGAGTGTATTAATATATATCATGGTCCCATGAGTGTATTAATGTATATCATGGTCCCATGAGTGTATTAATGTATATCATGGTCCCATGAGTGTGGTCCCATGAGTGTATTAATATATATCATGGGCCCATGAGTGTATTAATGTATATCATGGTCCCATGAGTGTATTAATGTATATCATGGTCCCATGGGTGTATCAATGTATATCATGGTCCCATGAGTGTATTAATGTATATCATGGTCCCATGAGTGTGGTCCCATGAGTGTATTAATATATATCATGGGCCCATGAGTGTATTAATGTATTATATCATGGTCCCATGAGTGTATCAATGTATATCATGGTCCCATGAGTGTATTAATGTATATCATGGGCCCATGAGTGTATTAATATATATCATGGTCCCATGAGTGTATTAATATATATCATGGGCCCGCGAGTCTATTAATGTATATCATGGGCCCACGAGTGTATTAATGTATATCATGGTCCCATGAGTGTATTAATGTATATCATGGTCCCATGAGTGTGGTCCCATGAGTGTATTAATGTATATCATGGTCCCATGGGTGTATTAATGTATATCATGGTCCCATGAGTGTATTAATGTATATCATGGTCCCATGGGTGTATCAATGTATATCATGGTCCCATGAGTGTATTAATGTATATCATGGTCCCATGAGTGTGGTCCCATGAGTGTATTAATATATATCATGGGCCCATGAGTGTATTAATGTATTATATCATGGTCCCATGAGTGTATCAATGTATATCATGGTCCCATGAGTGTATTAATGTATATCATGGGCCCATGAGTGTATTAATAATATATATCATGGTCCCATGAGTGTATTAATATATATCATGGGCCCGCGAGTCTATTAATGTATATCATGGGCCCACGAGTGTATTAATGTATATCATGGTCCCATGAGTGTATTAATGTATATCATGGTCCCATGAGTGTGGTCCCATGAGTGTATTAATATATATCATGGGCCCATGAGTGTATTAATGTATATCATGGTCCCATGGGTGTATTAATGTATATCATGGGCCCATGAGTGTATTAATGTATATCATGGTCCCATGAGTGTATTAATGTATATCATGGGCCCATGAGTGTATTAATGTATATCATGGTCCCATGAGTGTATTAATGTATGTTATGGTCCCATGAGTGTATTAATGTATACCATGGTCCCATGAGTGTATTAATGTATATCATGGTCCCATGAGTATATCAATGTATATCATGGTCCCATGAGTGTATTAATATATATCATGGGCCCATGAGTGTATTTATGTATATCATGGTCCCATGAGTGTATTAATGTATATCATGGTCCCATGAGTATGTTAATGTTTATCATGGGCCCATGAGTGTATTAATGTATATCATGGTCCCATGAGTGTATTAATGTATATCATGGTCCCATGAGTGTATTAATATATATGAACCCCCAGAGTTTCAGACTTTACTGAGCCGGGCCTGGGAGTATGAGTATAAAGTGTTGTAATAGTTTTTCATCCTAGATTGTATGATTTTGTAAGTGTGAATGCCTATACATCTACATTTACATCAATAATCTGCAAGAGGCTAATAACCCAATTGAAGCAGATATACAAGAATTTAAATAGATATACTAACATTTAAAAAATACAACTCATTTTAAAATTGAAAGGAAACTCCCTGGGTTATAAGTTACTAAGGTCCAAAGCCTTCTCATCCGTATTCTTCATATGATTTTGTATGTGCGAAACTGCGAATGCCTATAAGGTTTTTATAGGTGGTGTGTCATCTTCTTTACATGAGCAGTTGTTATACAAACAGTCAATGACATTCAATAAAACAACTATAGACTCAGCCTTGAATGATGCTTACATAAAGCCTGCACAAAAAAAGTTTCTAATTCTACAAGCCAAGGTTTCTAAAGCTATCTAATTCGAGATTTAAAGGTAAGGGCATAAAGGCATATATCAAAGACGTTTGTCGATCATTCGAAAAAGTCATATGGCATTTACAAATTGGTTATTCATTATTTCTCAGTCTGTCAACAACTGCTGAACAATCCAAATCATAAACACAAACAGTACTTGAACTACTAGCGCCATCTTTCTAATAGGTCACGAATTATTTATCCCCAATGCTCGGGTCATAATGACCGGCAAGGTCACTTATTAGAACATCAAATAATGGAATTATCAATGAGAAACATCTTGTATACATAGCACATTCTTATAGCCTATGTATTGAGGTGTATTTTGGTATATTACTCATTGATATTCGTACTTTCAAAGCATAGAAATTTATAATTCTATGCGAGTGATTTTCATCCGGGATTGAACCAAAACAACATGGTCGTTTTTCATGCGGTTTTCATAGGCAAGTTGTCAACAAGTTGAATGAAAATGCTACTAGAGTAGATCAAAAACTTCAAATTATATCAACATTAATTAAGTCATATTACCTTAGATATGCTATGAAACACTGGTCAGCAGATCTCCCATAGAATTACTGTAGATCGGCAAAATATCGTAGAAATTGAACAAAACAACTTCTTTTGCAGCTGTATAGATCTTATTTACATATTCATATGAGTGAGCATACCGTACTTAATTTTCATATTTAATATGAATTGGCCGTGTTTTCGTGTTTTATTCTTAATTCAGAAAATTAGTATATCTCAAATGATTTAGATCATTGCTTTGTACAATTCAAAATGCTTTTTGCATGGCTGAATGTGTTTATATTAGATATATTTCAAGGTCGACTGTTTTTTGAAAATGAGATAAGGGATGCTAATTGATTTGACCCCTATGTCAAGGACCATGCATGATTCAGTGGCATAAAAAGCAATTGCTCAATGTCAACAACAGAGCACAATCCTATAAATTACATTTCAGAACAATCATTGGTTCACAAATCAAAACTAAAGAACCAAGGTGACTGAGGTTGAGACAGTGTGTTTAATAGTGTGTTGCAAGTCGTATGCCTGTCATATGTCTCATTGCGCAATGTTCCCCGATCAGCTGGTTGCACCCACAATCACGGTTAGTGTGAAGACCATCTATCTGTATTCGTTTCGTTTCATAGAATATAGTTCAATAATTTCAATATAATACATATACTATATATAAATACAACTCGTGAAGACGTAATGCATATTGATTCACCAGGCCAAAGATGCAAAACCATGCGTTTGCACATGGGCATTCAACTAGTTGAATGCCCTCGAATGCTCCTGGTTTGCACAACCATTTCCTTCTTAAAAGCCCATGGCAACTTATTTTCCGACTCAGTGACTACTTCATTCCTCTTTGGGGAATAGTGTAATTGAGATAACAACCCTGTAGAAAAAGTAAATGTAAAGTTTTATAAAAATATATTGCTTCTAAAATAAACTATTGGATTAATTTTTCATAAATGAGATAGGACTGAAGAACTTTTATCTTTTCTTTTTTCTGAATATGTACCATCCAGAAAAATGTTCAAGAGTGAAATATCAAAGGATAGGTATCGATATGGTGAACTGAAGTCAAAAATGTTTTTCTCTTCAACCAATTATTGAAAACCTTCTGTAAGAAATACGGCCCTTTGTGTAATGTTGACAGCTTGACAACAATTTAATGCAAATTATTCATATACATTTTATACAACTGTTTTTGTTAACATTTTTCGTTTTTAGTTCCTTTCTACCAATTCTTGAGAATAAAATAAAATGTCATTCCGAACCTTGTTGTTGGAACAAAATAGCATAGCAATATTTTCTTGGACCTCTCAATAATATAGTTATACAAAGGAAATTTGGGTTGATTTAACTAAAAGTATTCAAAAAATTAAAACAAAACCGGCCCCCAAAAATAGACTAAAAAATTAAGATAAACCTGTTATTTTATTAACAAAATACTTTTTTAAAATCAACCAAATTTTCCATTGAACAATTAAAATATTACGAGACACGTTCTCTTTATATCGTTTCGTTCAAGTAAGGTTCGGATAGATGTTTCATTTCATTCCGAACATATGATACCAAGAACAAAAGAAGTGTCTGATGTGTTTCCTAAAACAATATACACAGTGAATATAGAGAAAAGTATATATTTTTTCAAATTATAATATATTGTTACCATTCAAAACATGAAGATGACGATGTGTAAAATTTTCAGACTTTTTTGCAGACTGATTTAAGAGAAACGTGTGTTCAAAAAGTTCACAATATCGATACCAATCCTTTAGCTGATTCATTTTTATAAACAAAGTCGAAATTTTTCTCCATGAGGCCCGGAAATGCTCGGAGGGCATTGTATCTTTCAACAAATATTGAATATTATTTATTGACCCTGAAAACATGGATTGTTGCACAACAATTGTGCTGCTATCATTCTTACTTTTTAAGATGTGGAAGATATCCAATATTTCAATAATTGCCACCAAAATTAGCATATTTAATTTTCTCCTAAAGTTATTTTCGGCAACCAAATTAAGATACAAGAATAATTTAAATTTTGAATTAATGCGATATTTCAATCATGAAATATGCTAAGTTGCAATTATGTACAATATCTACTCGATAATGGCCCCGCTAATTAGCTTATTTATTTTTTCCCAAAACTAACTTTTTGTCCAACCCAGCATGGGTTATCAACTAACTGAAAGCCCATGAACCCAGTTAAATCTCTTCAGGAAACGCTTATCATTATATATTAACCAAAAAACATTGTATTTCAACAATTCATATTCAATTCATGCATAGGGATGACAGTTGGACCATAGCGTATAATTTACTAGTATTGCACGGTAGCAAAACAAATGATAAGCAAATGACTGATTGATCAGATTTCAAAATTCGCGGACTTTTATCACGCATGCTCATGATAATAAAACTGCTTCCGTGTTCCGGTTTGATGACAAATTTTAGATCGGATGAGTATATTGACCTAAAACATGATTAAAATAGACACTTGATCCGTCTTATTTGAAACAGAAGTGTGTAAGCTATAGGTGGATCATCACGACTTACTTTTAACCATATTGGTCGTGACATATAGACAAAAATGGTAAGAAAAAAAGTTTTGATTTTCTAAAAAGTTCATGAATTTCTTTTGAATTTTGTTTTCCTTTTGATTTCAACTGTTGATCATTATTGTGCTTTGAATTTTTAGAGGAAGAAGAGAAATGATCATTTCAGTTTACATTCGTCATGCTCAGTCATCTGAAATTGAATTTGTTGTTGTTGGAATTTATGATATTATGCTACAGCATGACAACAGTCTTTCAAGAAATCACACAAATAAATATCTAATTGTAGTCTAGACAATAAGATATTTTACAACAAATAAACCAAGTGTAGTGTCAAGAGGGAAATTGTTGACGTTTATACTTGAACTTGAACATGCACCATTCATTATCTTCCTCTTCCACAAATACCTCTTCCATGGGCTCTATCTTTGAAAGTTTGGGGAAGGTTGAGGTTATTGTCATGTGCTTTTAGAAGTTCTGTCATACAACTTGTGGGTCAGTAATTTTCTGTCATTTGAATAAATCTGCTATCTAGAAATGAACATGACTTGATGAAGTCAAGCCTTTACACTCTGGATATGTGAGATTTTGTTAATTCTGAGCAACACAATAACCTGTTGGTGTCATGACCTATTTACCACATTTTCATTAGTTATATCCAAGTTTTATAAACTAATCTAAATATTCTGAATGTTTTCAGCCGTACCATTGGCAGAGTCACAATGTGAAGGTTAGTGGGGTGGATGACATGGTCCTGCTTCAGAAGATAACAGAAGCTGCAATCGTCGATAACCTCAAGAAGAGATTAGTGGATGACTGCATTTATGTATCCTTTTGGACTAAAAGATTGACAAAGTATGACCTGGACAGTATTGCATCAAGTCTCTAGAACAGTATCTCTGTTTGAGGGGGGGGGGGGGGGGGGGGTGAGGGGGAAGTGAGCCTGTGGTTTGGATAAAATTGATTATCGGAGTATTTTTAGTAAATAAGAGGATATGATGAGAACATTGGAGTCAACATTGGGCATGAAAACTGAGCAAGAAGTTGTGTTTTTTATGTCTTTATTTCTTGTGAAGAAAATTGCATGAATCCACTATTTATTGAAGCTTTAATTACACAAAGATCTTTGACGGATCATGTTGTTTCTATATTCTTTAAATGAACAGCCCCATTTCTCCTTATTCATCATCACACTTATGTAATGTTTTATATTTCCTTCTGCGAACTAACAGCAGCTTAAAACAGACTTTAGCAAATTGTAGGTATAGACACTGTAGTCCACACAATTATCCGAGGCCCTCATTGCATCAAAAATTTGACTCCATGACTATTAACTGCACCACTAGTACTTTTGGAAAATAATGTAGGGACTAACTAGAGATTTGATGTTTACTAATGTGACTGTTGATCATACACTATTCTTGAATGTTGGTCTTTTTGGAGAAATACTATTTTAGATCATGCATTCAGGAGTTTTACACCATGACCAAAATGAAAATGTTAAATTATATTCTTATTCTTTTGCAAGAAATAAGATGCATGTATTATGTTTAATCGCCTTAACTCAGCGCAGACCTACATAGGCCCAGTGCTTATCTCAGTTAACCCTTTCAAGGCCATGAATATATTTACAGAGAAAGAAGTTGAGATGTACCAAGGAGCGGTAAGTAGATGGTTAAGAAGAGAGAAAGTGGTAAATAGCTTGAGGGGGGTAATATTTTTATTGTTTTACCACCATTCCAAACATGAGGATGAATTCCGACTGTTGACGTTAGAGTCAAGCTAACAAAAATATCTTTATACAGAGAACTTAAGTTTTGAAGCCATAAAATAATATGTAGAAATATATCACCCAAAATATGAAGTTTAAATGTTAAGTAATAAGAAGAGATACTTCCTGCATTCATATAATTTGCATTTTCTATATTACTTCCTTAATCTCCAATATGTTTGTAGTGAAAATACTTCATTTAAAATATAACGCTAGTTAGAACTGAAGCAATCCAGCTTTTGGTATTTGGTTGCATCGACAACTAACTGCTGCTTCATATTTTTGCAACGTATTTCGTAATGAGATCAATTTATAATTAAACAAATGCATCAATGCAAAATGCAGTAGTTATTGTGCAATTAACTCATATCTTAAATAAACGTATGCTTTAAAATTCTGAAGTGAAACAGATCAAGTTTCTTGGATTTTCAATTAATTGATTTAGTATAAGATGAAGAAAAAACTGTTTGTTTGTAGTTGCTATAAACAAAGAGGATGTCAGAAATTCGTTGCCCAATTACAGGCCAGCGCACTAAGTACATGTAGTGTCAGATTTAATCATTGAGTTTGTAAATGTGATATAACTCCAGATTACTGTAAAAAGTAGTGTGCCATTCCAATTTTAGTGGAAAAGCAAAACTTCAAAAAAGATTGAATCATGATGTGCCCCTTGCTTCGTGCTTCTTTAACCACTGTACATAATGCATTGTCATATCAATTTACAGATCATTGTTCAGTAATGTTCACGTATCATATGTTGCCGCCAATATTTCTTTAGTTACTTTCAGGAAAAAATTGTTTTTCAAATTGGATTGTCATTACTTTTTATGATTATCACACTTTTCAAAGTGCTTTATTTTGATCATCTTGCGTCTTCTTTACTGTCACTTCCCTACCTGTCTACTTTACTTCCTAACATGAGGCAAGATGTGTTGAGAAGGGGGGGGGGGGTCAAAAGGGACTAAACAGGGATTAGTTGGCAAAATATTCTGGATGCGAATTAACTTTGTCTGAGCTCTATACTCAACTACAAATAGTATACAGTAAAACCTGTCTAACAGAATGCCTCTGGGACTGGTAGAAAGTGTCCAGATTGGCAGGTGTTCACATTTCAAGGTTTTCTAGTTGTCACTGATTGGAAGATTGGAACTGAGAAAAAGTGTCTAGATTGAGAGCCATACAAATTTGAGAAGTGCTCAGATATACAGGTTTTACTGTACATGTAATATGTAAAATGCATTTATTTTTTCTGATATTCTCAATCTCCCATATTACATAAAAGTTTAAGTGTTATAACATAAATAAGCCGCAGGCAAGTTTTTGCAGTACAACAAACACCATATTATGACCTATCATAATTATTGAATTGATCCGAAATTGTTCATTTTAACCCATGTGGCCTTTAATTAGATTGATTCTATGTAGTAATAGTGAGTACCCAATCAATTTAAGTTTAGAGTACATGTTATTTGAACATTTTAAATCAATGTATTTTTATTCTATATTTTTTAGATAGATCACACTTAACAAAACAATGTGAAAAATTGAGAAAATGTCACTTTAGTTCCATTTCACAATGAGTGGCTTTGATTTTGAATTATAAACAAGTATTCTATTATAATACATATTAATGACAATTACAGAAAAAATTAACATCATGCATGTTGATCTATCTTAATATGATTATTTTATGACACATGTGTATGGACAATGACGTATTTTAACCCCCTCCTGATAAGGCTAGCATCACCAGTAGATTTTGATACAGACCTTATATACTGAAAATATCGAAGCTTGGAACTTTTATTTCAATTTTAAAGGTAGAATTTAATTGAGAGGTAATATATATTTCTCAGTATTTATTCAGTTGTATTTACCATGTTAACCAAATAATACTGTATCTTCCTTGTCATTACAAACATGAAAGATGTATATTGAAATTTCTCCATGTAGGTCATGGCCTTATTATTTGATTTAATTAATCTTATCTTTTGCTTGCAGGCCTCTTATGAAAATCCTCCCCACGTATATGCACTTACAGACAATATGTATCGCAACATGCTCATAGATATGGAAAACCAATGCGTCATTATCAGGTAAAGGGACCTTCCATAAAAATTTTGGAGATGATAAAAAATAAATTGAAGCGTTCATTAAAAACAAGCAATGTTTTTGTGAAAAAACTAACATGAAGTGATCTGGTGCATTATTATTTAAACAACTAAAATCTGATATTTACTTTGGTTAATTTATGGAAGGGAAAAAGTGAGATCCGGTTAATATTTGACTGCCACGAGATTAAGTTGATCTTGACTGGCAGTGAAATGAATGACATGTTTTATTGTTGTTTATCTGCATCATTTATATCATTTGTACAAACAAGTCCGATATTATCATATTTATTTACTTCTGTTGTGGTCTTTCCTAATTATCCCAGTTCTGCCAAAGTTTGGGTGTAATAAAGCCAAGTCCACAATCCATTAGTCATCTAATAGTCAGTGAAGTGTGTCTAAGCCAAACACCACTGGGATGTATAAATTCAACCATTGGTATATTTTCAGTGGCGAAAGTGGTGCCGGAAAAACTGTCGCTGCCAAGCTTATTATGGGATATATTTCAAGGGTGTCTGGAGGTGGAGAAAAAGTACAGGTTCGTTAAACTTTTGCTTTGAATACCTTCAACAAGGGATTCTGCTAAAGTGTATTGAGTTTCAGTGAAGAAGATTTTCCTTCTTTTGTGTTCTAGAGAAAATTGATTTTTTAGTTCTTTAATTTTGTATTTGCTTTGGTTACTTTGGTTTTATTTATTTATAAAATATGTACACGATATGTATATGAGTATAAAAAATGTTCAAATATTTTCTGTGAACAGATTTTCACGCCACTTGTTTTTTCATCAAATTACAACATTGTTTTTGCATTTTAGGCTATTTTTTACATTTTGCAGAAATTTGGTGATATTGTCCCTTACCTTGGCCTTCATCTGTGTCGATCGTATTCCCACAATATTCAAAAATTATACCATATTCCACACAAAGAGTGCACAACCCCCATGACCTATAAGCACCCCCTATACTTTATTTCTTGCAACTATTATGTGCCCAGTTGAAACTGAAGCTGTAGTCATTAAGTTAAGTTCCTATGTCCAGTTTTTGAGGATAACTTTGAGATAAAATAAATATTAGATGTTAATCATAGCTCCCTAGGTCCTCTTTGTGTAGAATATGGTAGCAAACTCTGTGGTTTATCAATTAGTCCACTTTCCCATACATGTTTGATGTTTGCAAATATGTACAGTAAAACCTTATACATGTACAGCAAAATCTCATACATGTTTATAAACATGTACAGTAAAACCTCATACATGTTTGTATACATGTACAGCAATACCTCATACATGTTTGTATACATGGACAGCAAAACCTCATACATGTTTGTATACATGGACAGCAAAACCTCATACATGTTTGTAGACATGTACATCAAAACCTCATACATGTTTGTATACATGGACAGCAAAACCTCATACATGTTTGTATACATGTACATCAAAACCTCATACATGTTTGTATACATGGACAGCAAAACCTCATACATGTTTGTATACACTATACATGTACTGCAAAACCTCATATATGTTTGTATACATGTACATCAAAACCTCATACATGTTTGTATACATATACAGCAATACCTCATACATGTTTGTATACATGTACAGCAACACCTCATACATGTTTGTATACATGTACAGCAACACCTCATACATGTTTGTATACATGTACAGCAACACCTCATACATGTTTGTATACATGTACATCAAAACCTCATACATGTTTGTATACATGTACATCAAAACCTCATACATGTTTGTATACATATACAGCAATACCTCATACATGTTTGTATACATATACAGCAACACCTCATACATGTTTGTATACATGCACATCAAAACCTCATATATGTTTGTATACATGTACATCAAAACCTCATACATGTTTGTATACATATACAGCAATACCTCATACATGTTTGTATACATGTACAGCAACACCTCATACATGTTTGTATACATGTACAGCAACACCTCATACATGTTTGTATACATGTACAGCAAAATCTTATTGATTGTAAATTGGTGGCTGGGTATATAGTAATGTTTCTTGTATACTTTATAAACAATATATTTTTAACAATTATGCAAATGAATACTCATAGTTACAGTATCGTTATACAAGTTATACTTGTAACTCAAATCATGTTTCAGACATTTTCTGTAATTTATTCTCCAAAATAAAAGTTATTTGTGGCCATCAAAAGAGAATCATTCTTCAAATCACAAAACTGAATGGGGCAAGAATGGATAGACGGTGTAAAATGTGAGATTTAATCTTTTCAAATTCTTAATGTACGAAATCAGATAACTTTAAAAATAGAAGGATTGTTCTGAAATAAACTGAACTGTCAAACTGTTTAGAAAATGGCATAACATGGAATCATGAGAGAAAATATATTGTAAAATTATGACAGTTTTTCTCTCACTCTATCTCATCTTGCCTCTGTCCCTTCTTGTCCATTTTAACGGGAATAATTCATTCAGCCAGATTTCTTGATAATATAAAAGAGAGTTTGATAATAAACCTTCATATTGCTTTATTTTTAGCATGTGAAAGACATCATCCTAGAGTCTAACCCCCTTTTAGAAGCATTTGGTAATGCTAAGACAGTACGCAACAATAACTCAAGTAGATTTGTAAGTAAATTAGTACAGTTATCTCTAAGTTTTGTAGTCTTTTTAGCTGATTACTATCTGATACTTAAAAGAGTATAAATGCAAACAAAACACAAAGACAAGTTTTCTGAATTTGAGTGATACAATATTAATATGAATCAAAAATTTCCAATTATACTATAAAACCTGTAAAGTGGAGAACCTTTATAATGATGTGGTTCCATCTGCTCTTATTTTCAGTAGTGGCAACTGGGTGATGAATATTTTGTTCAAAAGTGCATTCATTTCTAAACAAAATACTCATCGGCTCGGCACCATTGTTGAAGATCGGAGCAAATTTGAGTTGAAATACAATGTAACCTGTGAAGTGGAACACTTTTCAGAGTCCCAAGACCAATTGACTTAATGATAAATGAATCTCTATTAGTGAAACACCTCCCAAGTTGAACACTTTTTTATAGGTTCCAAAGGTGTTCAGTTTATACAGGTTTTACTGTAAGTTGAAAGTACCATATGTTTAAAGTATCTTTTGAAATGAAGCTCCCTAAGCTGCCGTGACCTATAAGGAAATCAATTTTCAATAGTTTCATTAATTTAGAAAATTTACTTGCAGGGTAAATATGTTGAGATTCAGTTCAGTCGTGGAGGAGAGCCAATTTCAGCCAAGATCTCAAACTTCCTATTGGAGAAATCAAGGGTGGTCAGCCAGAATAACATAGAGAGAAACTTCCATATCTTCTACCAGCTCATCTCTGGGGCAAATCAAGAGGCAAAAGGTAGGTTAAAAAACTTCATTTAAAGGCCCTGTGTAAAGTTTAAACCACATTGGCTTATATTGCAGTGGTACTCAGTGTTATCAAAGTTGGATATTTAAACCCATTGAACAAGATCTTACATCTAATTAATGCATGTTTTCAGAGAATCTTGGGCTGTCCACTCCAGATTACTATTTTTACTTGAACCAAAGTGGCACATATAAAGTTGATGGGACGGATGATGCTAAAGATTATAACGACACCAGAGTGAGTTACTTTACTGTTTTACAAAACACATTTGCCATGACCTCAGTTGCATATTTGATTGGTAAAATGTACAATATTTTGACAATTTAACAAGTTTATTTTTAAATGTTTGAGGGGAAATCTTGTATTTCAATTAATTTTTGACCACACAGTGATGTAACCTTAAAAATGAATATCTGAAAAAAACTCTGCAATCAGTTTGTGGTACAATTCATGGTTGTGGGGGGGGGGGGTAAATCACTTCACTCTAAGCTATGAACTTGGGGAAAATGAGATTACTATATGGCAATGTCTCTTGAAAGCTCATGATTAGATGGACCAGTATGTCAAATTGGGCAATCATGTTTTCAACCCTGAATACTTTTTGCTTCCAGAAAGCAATGAAGGTGATTGGTATAAGTGATGAGGACCAGGAAAATGCTATTTCCATAGTAGCAGGAATTCTACATCTTGGAAATATCAGCTTTGTTGAAGAGGGGAATTATGCAGCAGTGGCAAACACAGAATGTAAGAGCTATTTATTTATTTGGGGTGGCAAAAACTGAATGGAAAAGCAATTTAAATCATTAAATATATGCAGGGTGGCAAACACAGAATGTAAGAGCATTGTTGTACGTTTTTTCTCCACGCTTGGCAAAACATTCATTTTTTCCTTAGAGATTTTATTTATATCATTGATTATTATGGGGTGCAGCAAACACTGAATATATATAAAATATGTGTATAATATTGAAGACTTTGTGGGGTTGGCAAAGAATGGATATAGAAGCTATTTAAATTATTGAAGATTATGCAGGGATTTCAAACACTCATTGTAAGAGCTATTGGGGAGCTATTCAAATCATTGAAGAATATGGGGTGGCAAACACTAAATGTAAGAGCTATTTAAGTCATTGAATAAGATAATGATAGGCGGCAAACACATTATAAAATCTATATTTCTGCAGCGAATTGTGGTTATTGTATTTTGAACCTTAGTGTTGATACCTGTATTTCTATTTCAGTTCTTGGATTCCCAGCGTATCTATTGGGAATAGATGAACAGCTCTTGAAGTCAAAACTGACGAGTCGAACTATGGAATCCAAGTGGGGAAAGACCTCAGAAACCATCACCATGCAACTGAACTGTGAACAGGCCTCCTACACAAGGGATGCCCTAGCAAAGGCCTTGTACACACGCTTGTTTGATTTTCTAGTCCAGGTAAGGGAATATTTTCTGTTTTATTAAGTCACCACCACAAGTGGTGATGTATTATTGCTATGTTAAAGTCTCCAACTTTTTTGTGGATGGTGTTTAACATTCGGCTGTTTGGTGTTCGATCTTTGGCATCTGTAACAAATTGCAGGTGGTGACATTTTGCATGTTAATGCCTTGTATTGATCTATTGGTGCAACTTAAATGCATTTAATAATAAGGTGTACTCTATATAATAACATGTTAATGCAAATATAATGTAAATAATGTAAATCTTGTATTTTCAGAGTGTCAATAATGCACTGGTGAAGACGCATGATGAGATAAACATAGGAATTCTTGACATTTACGGGTTTGAAATCTTCCAAAAGAACGGATTTGAACAGTTCTGCATCAACTATGTCAATGAGAAACTACAGCAAATCTTTATAGAATTAACACTGAAGGCTGAACAGGTTCGACTAACATTTGTGATAAGAAAATATTTTTATCCATGGGCTTTCATCAATTATAAGTTTTATGTCACCACCTAGAAATGGCTTTAAGCCTGAACTAAAGTGCATGTCCATTTAATGGCAGTCCATGCTGATAATTTACACTATTTGTATTCATTTTAGAGAAATTTGATTTTTTGTTGTCAAAATATCACATTTTTCATTTTGGTTTTCCAGCCCCATCTTATCTATCGTTTGCCACTTGGAAAGATCAAGACAAGGGGGACGCAGTTATTGCGGTTTTCAATTCGACAATGAAACAAAATGAATTGACAAAATCTGGACTTTTATTTTACAGGAAGAATATGTGCAAGAAGGCATCAAATGGAAGCCAATAGAGTACTTCAATAATAAGATTGTGTGTGATCTGATAGAATCAAAGAGTCCTCCAGGGATCATGTGCGTCCTAGATGATGTCTGTGCCACCATGCATGCACAGGGGGAGGGCGCAGATGAGAAAGCGCTACTGGTAAGTTATTGTACTCTTATGCTGAATGATTGAATTTGAAAACCTGATTCATGGTTGATGTCAGGAGAGAGGCGATTTAATGTGTAAAACTGTGCTGATGGTCTTTCTACATTGCCCAAAAATGAACATTGTTGGCATCTTTGGGCTACTTAGATCAACTTATTTGATGCATTTATATCCCTGATGTCCTGTTTTTTCAAAACATCATTTAGATGAATTGGGGTTGGGGTTGGAAAGAAAATTAGTATTTAACTCCTCATGGTACTAAATCTTCAAGTTGCTAAATAAGGATTGGTTTTGAAGTAGGTGACTTTCACTTCGTGTTTTGCTTTTCAGAAATTGGCGCAGGCTGTTGGGAGCCACCAACATTATAATGGCAACAACATCGGTTTCATAATACATCATTATGCGGGCAAGGTTTGTACTTTTAACCCAACTATTGATTAACTCCATTAAATGTTGTTCAATGATAGTTTTCACATCCAAGAAAAACCATTGATGATTCATCAGTTGGAGACTACATGATTTCTATACCTTCCATTGACCAATCACACTTGAGTATTTCAACTGACAATGTTAATTTCTAGGTGAACTACAATGCTGATGGATTCTGTGAACGTAATCGTGACGTGCTATTCTCTGATTTGATTCAACTGATGCAAACAAGTCAAGATGAATTCATCACTGCACTTTTCCCCGAAGATGTAAGCGGAGCTTATCAGAAAAAACCTACAACTGCTGGAACCAAGATAAAGGTACTTTTTAAAAAACTTATTAAATTTATTTTCCAAAATTTACCTTTACTGTGTCATCATCGTAGCTGTACTTTGATGTCAACCATAATAGTCACTTTTACTTAATAGTAGCAAAAACAAGTTTTTGACGGAATTCAGATTTTATTTGTTAATGTATATTAGTGTTTTAATTTCATTCATGCTGTTTATTTTTCAAATAGAAAGTGAACAAAAAACCTGAACCATAATTTAAAGGCTTTATGCTTCTGCGTTAGATGTAATATATAATAATAAGCATAAGATGCAAAGAATATTCATTGGTATGCAGGTATTACTTCCCAAGTGATGGTATCTGAAGCTTCTTTTGGTCATACCTGATATTTTTCAATGACAGTGAAATTTTTACTTTCAGAAACAAGCCAATGAACTTGTTACTACCTTAACAAAGTGTGTACCACACTATATACGCTGTATTAAGCCTAATGAGACAAAGAAAGCCAAGGATTTTGAAGATGAAAGGTAAGGTAAAGGGGTAGAACTAAGAATGCATAATATGTCCTTTCAGCTGATCTTTATGAAACTTGATGCAAGACTAGAATAACATACAATCATAGGACATGCATGAGCAAGATTGTATTTTAAACATGTTACCGTTTCGAACTTAATTAGGGCAAGTTGGCATAGAACACTTTTCCAGTGATTTAGATTTGCCTCACAATGAAATCAAAATACATGTACAAATTTTCAGTTTTAGAGTTGCATGTCATGTTTTGGTACAATTATCAATTCAAAAAACATTTATATTGTTTTTTTCCAGGGTGAAACATCAGGTTGAATACCTTGGTCTGAAAGAAAACATCAGAGTTAGGCGAGCAGGTTTTGCCTATAGACGTCCATTTGAGAAATTCCTTAGGCGTTATGCCATTATAACGCCTGAGACTTGGCCTAAGTGGAATGGGAGCACCAGACAAGGAATTGAACATTTAATGACAAGTGTGAATATGGATAAAGACCAGTGGCAAATGGGTCAAACAAAGGTCTTTATAAAGAATCCAGAATCAGTAAGTATCCAGTATCAATAAGTGTGTCAAAATATATTAAGAATAACTTTAAATTGATCACCCCAACATTGAAGCCAACAAGTGCTTCATTCAGATGAGAATTATAATATTATTACACAGAGATTTAAGACAATACATTTACATCTACAAATTGTAACTTTGACATTAGTTGCAAGTGATTGTTGATTAATGCATATTTAGCATATTTAGTCTACAGCTTTTTTTTTGGACAGCGTTAGTGTCTGTAACAAATAGCAGGTGGTGACATTTTGCATGTTAATGCCTTGTTAGCTATTGTTTTGTACATAGAACATACATGTGCATAGAATATACATGTACATAGAACATACATGTAAACACTTTATACAACATTTTTTCAATTTCACATTTTAGCTGTTTCTATTGGAGGAGATTCGAGAACGAAAGTTTGACCACTACGCACGTTTAATACAGAAAGCATTCCGCCAGTATAATGGACGTAAATACTACCTGCGACTTCGTGAACAAGGTGACAACACTTTATTTTGAATTCATCATGTGATTGAAAAATATATCAAGAACTATATATTGAAAAACGTCAGTAAATACAATTGTGTAAAGTTTATAATCACTTTCATGACTTTCTTTACTTTCAGCATCTGATTTACTATACAACAAGAAAGAGCGTCGACGCTTCAGTTTGAATCGCAATTTTGTTGGAGATTACATTGGTTTGGATGACAATCCTGCTTTGCGGGCCCTCGTGGGCAAACGTGAGAGAGTAGAGTTTGCATATACTGTAACCAAGTATGATAGGAGATTCAAGGTTAGTGGAATATTATGAGAGTGCACTGAAATGTATTATTATCATCTTCAAAGTGTATATTATACAATCCTTATATGTATCATTGTATACTTATCCTGTTCTCTATATGTGAACTCTTGGGTTCTTGGGAACTCTCTAGATATTGGTTGGTTGCAATTGTAAATGTGCAAGTGCAACAATGTCAAAAGGTGAAATACCAAGAAGTGTTAGAACACAGAGGGAAAGGGAAACTTTCAAGATTCCAACTGGATATAAGGAAATAAACCTCCAACATCCTCAAAGATGATCTAATGTACAAAGAATAGTGTATAATATGCATGCAGTCCCAATATATGTAAAATTCAGTTGGTCCTGTAGCTCAGTAGGGGAGCACTCAACTCAGAAAACGATGGGTCATGGGTTCGATCCCCACTGGAGTGAATTGACTTTTTCACATCAGCCCTTAGTTCAGGATTTCATTCTGTGTTTAATCAACTAAACATGCACCATAGGTTTTCCCATCTATTATGGTGTTATCTAAATTGTACCATTTTGCTGTTGCATTTCAGTCAGCCAAACGTGATCTTCTACTTACAGCCAAGTTTGTCTACCTGATAGGCAGAGAACTGGTAAGCTTTGATGTGAATTTTTTAACTGTGGTTAAGCCTGCTTAATGTTGTTAGATCCATTGCTTTCATTAAAAAAACAAAATAACACCATGGTTGAGTTGGTAGTACACAAGCTTTCATGGACTGAAATTTTATTTCTCCATTTTTTCTGTGATATTTTTTCTATTGATATTGTTGTTTCTGTGATATTCTTATACTATTTTGTTTAGATGTTGGAAAATACAACAAATAGTATTTGCGTAGTTGACCTAAGGTAACATATAGATATCCAATTGTTTTTCTTTGTAGGTGAAAAAAGGTCCACAGAAAGGTCAAATGTTAGAGGTAATTAAGCGGAAGATAGAACTGGATCAGTTAGCATCTATAACATTGAGGTAAGTGCTAACTTTAGAACAACTCTTGGAGTTACTGAATCGATGAGATGGCTAAAAAATTTACTTTTTGTTTATGAAACCTCAATTCATGTCCCATAACACCGTAATATCCTCTTTATGTTTTGCCTTTCCTATGTTTTGGATCCTGTCTGTGTTCATGTCATTAGAAAATATTGTAAATTTTTGTCAAATTCAATTGTCTTCAAGAAATCAAGTTTTTACTTTATCCTTACAACGTTTCCCATTGGATTTTGGATTTGAATTGATTTACATGGTTGTGTTATATTTTCAGTACATGTCAAGATGATTTCTTTGTTGTGAATGTACAAGGAGAATACAGCACACTTCTACAATGTGTCTTCAAAACAGAATTCCTAACAACTCTCTCGAAAAGATATAAAGAAAAAACTAGGAAAGATTTACCACTTCATTTCACTGATAGGTAGGTATATAGAACTAAGCCTGTTTTATGAAAATGAATAAACTATTCGTTTGAAGATAAAACATATGTTGATATGATAAAACAACCTTTTGTTGATCCTGGATTCTCAGAGAACTTTGCCTTAGTAGCAATCACTGCATCCAATACAAGGAAATGCAGTAAATCCTGTTTAAGTAGAACAACTTTAGTACCGTTAAAGGTGATCAATAGAGGTTCATTTCACATGTTAAAAAGGTGTTCCACTTTACAGGTCTTATCGTACATTGTATAGATATGCAGTGTTGTACATAGTATTCTACTGTAGAACAATTTCTTAATTTGTATGCATGTTCAATTTGACGGTAAGCAGTGGATGGTAATTTTGTTAAAAGTATACATGCATCGTGTTTTACAGCATGGAATTCCCAGTTAAGAAGGAAGGCTGGGGTGGGGGAGGAACACGCACAGTTAAAGTCATTCGCGCTCCTGGAAATTCCAACGAAGCTATTCTGAAACCATCAAGCAAGGTGCTTACAGTCCAAATTGGCGAGGGATTACCGAAAAATTCACGGCCGGGTCTCAGGGAAACTGCCTCAAATCCCGCCCATCTTTACAAAAGTGTCAATAAAGATAAAAAGCAACAACGCCCACAACATGCGGCTCCAGGTAGACCCTCGCATGTTGCACCCTCCCGTCCTGCTCCTGGACCCCCTGGTATGCACGTCCAATCCTAGTTAATTAAGATGCGTGATCATTTGAAGATTTTTTAAGAGAAAAAGTTGATTTTGCCAAATGTATTTAATTAAATGATTTTAACTCAGAGAGCGATAAATGACAGTATATGTGCAATTGAATGAAAAATCTTCAAATAGTCTCGTCTAAATGGTTGACCTGGAATGAAACATGAAATTGACTGTAATTGACAGTACTGTCCAATATGCATTCAAGGTCAGCCAGTTTCAATCTCGTTTCTTCTGTAACTCACTACTATCATCTGTATAACAGTGAATATATAAATACACAAATATTTAGTCATTTGATAAATTTCTATGTGTATTTACGATATGTATGTAACCTTCTATATTATATAAATTGTCTTCTGTTCTTACCAATTGTATTTTTCTCATAATTAAGTTCTTTCTGAATCTCTTTTCCTTTTAATCATTTTTGAAAATTAAAACATCCATCCTAAAGAGTTGAATACCATTGCATGTTTCAAAGGATTTCTATACAGTAACTCTGTATCTCTGTGGGAGAATCAATCATTCGTTGATTCATGAAAAATATGCATATTTCATTTACCCTTATTCAAGATCAACCAGTTTACCCTTCCTTCATGTTTGAAAACTCCCAACCTGAATACAACATTTTTCTCAGGCTTTACAGGTACACTTTTTCTGGTGGTAGTTGGCATTGTTCGCCAGTTGGTGTTCAGCGGTGTCAATGGCGAGTTGAAATATACACCTGATCCACCTTGAAAATTACAGTTGTGCATATTAATGGACTTCTGCTGAAGTCTTAAAAAATCAAAGTCAAAATCTTAAAAAGGGTCTTCAGTTATCTCTGTCATTTCAACATGCCTATAAATGAATAATCATTATTCGTATGTTTCTGGAGTTCTGACAAGTGTCCTGAAACCGAATTTATTTCCTAAAATAAAGCCTTTTTTGGCCTGGTCAGTTCATTGTTACAGGTGTAGTTGCCAAGCTGCTTAGAAACATTGATTGTCCAAGCTCCAAAATAGTCTTCAAAAATTGTTGATATTACAGATAGGGCTGTGAATTAGCTTTTGTATATGATTTGTCAACAGGCTCTGGTGGAGGAAGTAATATGCAGCGCAAACTAACCCGTCAACGAACTAGAAGTTCTGACCAGAAAGCACCATCTTTACCCAGGGAGGGAGCTCAACACTTGGCAAAGCAGATAAACAATGGTGTCATTAATAGTGACTTCATGAAGACCCCAGATGCAGGCGTCTCAGGGTGAGTGGAAACAGTAAAAATACTCCCCCTTCTCATCATGCTGCAAGCACTATTTTTTATGTGTGATTCTGTCAAATTTGAATGTCAATGTTACTTTTACTGTCTATGAATTGGGGTTTTAGCATGACATTGAATATACTTTCATTGTATTGTTATGTAATTTTGTCTGGGAATCAGGGAGTGAAATGTCATATGTATCCTCTATAAAAATTAGCAAGCAAAAATTTGAATACAAATATGTATCTAACGATTGGTTGCCAAAATTCATGCAGTTTGTACATATCTGCAGAGAGCTTCTTTAGAATTGGTTGATTTTATACTTTGATTTGAAATGATTTGAAATCTGTACTTGAATGTGTTTGTGATGTATATTGCTATAGCAATCAGAGCTTGCTGTGCAAAATGATAACATGTAATTTATATTTGATAAATTAGGTCATCAAGAATTTTAGAAAACAGGTATAATTAGTAGTAAAGCAAGGGACGCTATAATTAATTATTATGCATGGAGTTAATATGAATTGTTGGTGTTGAAAACAGGAATGTCATACTTTAAGATATTAATAACTGCTTTATTAAACTAATTCCTGTTGCTTTTGATTTTTTTCAATTTTCAACACGGTAAGATATTTTTTAGTAAATTATTTTTATTGTTGTCTCGTAGAACTTGAATGTCGAATCTTTGTTTACCACTTTGTGTTTGTATTTGATGTTGTACCAACTAGTGTGTTTACACATAGACACCATGCTCACATAATTATTTGGTGAAAGCATGGCACATTTTTATTTTGATAATTGCATGCGTAATAGTAGCTTCAAATTATTTCTATAGTTTTGGTGGGAGTGTAGATATCGGAAATTTCAGTATTTTTTGTCTCTAACTTCAGTATCCAGAGGTCCCTTTTAGCACTGAATACATAGCCCGACCCAACTTTTTCCCTTATCATTTTTTGCTAAAATTTTTCTAAAATCTTTTTGCCATTCCTAGATCCTCCAGCCATTTTTACACAATTCTAAAAGCAATTTTGAAATCCACCGAATTGCCCTGATTGTGTCATCACTGTGTTATATACACCATTTTTTACACAATTCTAAAAGCAATTTTGAAATCCACGAATTGCCATGATTGTGTTATCACTGTGTTATGTACACATTAAAATATAAATCTGATGTTTATGATGTATGAGCTGTAAAGTAAAGGGTTCACAATGTATGTAATGAAACTCACAAAATTAATTTTCAACAATTTCCATGTATGCTGTAGTCAGTTCTGTTCTTATTTATTTTTTAAATTATGATTAATCGATCTTAACAATTCAAGCTCCCATGAGCCAGAATACTCCACATCAACTAAATTAGCTGTTTTTAGGAATAAATTATTTCTACTTTAAATATAATATGTGTATTTTATATATATTTCTAACATTTGTTTGCATTTTATCTTTGCTTACTCCTCGCAACAAACCCATTGCATTATGGGATTATTTCCAAATATGGGGTTTTAATGATGTGACTCTTGTTTGACAGAATGCAAAGGTCTGCAAGTAGGAAACATAAGCCGGCCCCAGCTCCGAATAAACCGAAGCCTAAGCCGAAGCCCAAACCTACTCTTCCAACATGTAAAACACTGTATGCTTACGACGCACAAGACACGGATGAACTTAGCTTCAATGAGGGGGATATTATTGAGATATTAAAAGAAGGTAGGTTCAATTTGTCAGGTTATTTCATTGAAAATGGAGGTAAGAGGTAGGGACCAAAGGCTTTCTGTATCTCAAAGATTAAATATTTAAAACTTCTTCTCGTTATGCCTTACTTGATCTCAGTACAGTTTTCAAAATGTGTGAGGTTCTTGTTTTGTTTTGTGGAGTAAATAGGCAAGATTTCAACATGTTGAGTTTGACAAATAAGGTCAAAGAATCTCAATGTTTAGCCCCATTTCAAATGGTTAATTATCACACTTTGAAAATAACTATGTTGTCATTGTCTTGTGCTGCTGGGTGAGTGGACTGTGGATGGGCACCACATCTTGTCATCAAAATTCAAGAATCACTTATTCATTTAACTTGAAATTTTTTACAGATACAACTGCAGCCTAGTACCAATAGTTAGCTCACATGGGTGAGATATTGTTGTCGCCCACTTGTCTGTCCGTCTGTCTGTCTATCCGTCTGTCTCTCTGTATGTCAACAGACTCAACACATTGGTAGCTTATTTGAAATCCTCCATGGCAATTGAAATGGTTTCTTTTTAAAACTGTGTCTGAAGTTTTAATTGTTCCATAAGTGGTGTGGATTCAGCTCTTTTTGGTCATAACTCAACAAATGTTCCACCAATTTCCTTGAAATTGTACAAGTACCTTAATTTATAGGTTATCAATAATGTCTACAAGTTTTGGCAAAACTTGTTGCAAAGATTCAAAATGGCCACCACTTTTTTTGTAGAAAAATCAGGTTCTCAGCTTCTTTTGGTTATAAATTCACAAGAATTACAGGTACCTTATTTTAAAGGCTATCAATAAGTCTACAATTTTCGCAATTTTCGCAAATTTCAAAATGGCAGCCACTTTTACTGCAGACAAATCATGCATAAAGCTACCTTTTAATGTGATTGTGAAATTCCTCTGTTCCAACGTCATTGTGGAAAATGGTATTTGTTCATCCAAGCTAATACTCATGTTTCAATTTTAGCTAACCAAGTACAATTTTACAATATCAACCAAAGTTCTTATGCAAAACTTGAATTAAATTATCCTTAGCTCCTTCTATTAAATGCGCTTGTGAAATTCCTCTGTTCCAACTTCATTGTTGAAAATGGTATTTATCAATCCAAGCTAATACCCATGTTTTGATTTTAGCTAACCAAGTACTTGTACAAAATTACTACTATATCAACCAATTTCATATGCAAAAACTTAATTTAGCTGCTACTGTTGAATGATAGAAATATTGAAACCTTCCCTTGTGAGTCCAGTACCCATGGTACTATTTTATTGACTAGGTTTTTGGGCATGCAGGATAGATTACTTGGTGGCCATTTTGAATTTTTTCAATTGAAAAGTGATGTTTATCACTGAGTGTCTAACTGCTAATTTTTTTTTGATAGAAATTAATTTGAAAATCTTCTGTTTTCAGACCCCGCAGGCTGGTGGTCAGGAAGGTTACGTGGGAAAGAAGGACTTTTCCCATCAAACTATACAGAAAAAATATGAACACAACCTGTAAACATAAATCACCAAGAAAACGTTGATTTTCAGATACCATGACAAAAAAACAGTTTTCGTGATCGAAACAGTTTTGGATTGACATAAACACAAGGATCAAGGATAATTGGAAAAACTGTCAAATAACCTACAGGATAAGGAAAGAAATAATCATAAGGATTGTGAAATAATCAACAGAATTATGTAATAATCAACAGGATTATGAAATAATCAACAGAATTATGTAATAATCAATTGGATTTTAAAATCATCATCTATCTAATGTCTTATCAAGACAATGAAATAATGAAAGGATTATTAAGATAACCATCTTGATCAACTAACTTTCATCTGGATTATGTTCTGCAAGACAGCAGTTGTCTGAAGGTGAAAACAAACTTTAAACTACACTAAAACTAAACTAAACATACACTTTAATCAAAATTCTATGTCACCTTAAAATTACTGTACATGTATAGTAAAACCTGCACATCTGAACACTTCTGAATGTGAAGATTTTCATATATTGGGAAATCTTGAAATGTGAACACTTCCTAATCCAAACACTTCGCCAGGATAAGTGGCATTTGGGTTAAACAGGTTTTTCACAGTATATGACTTATTTTGGAGATTCGCCCAATCTGTACAAGTATTGAAGATCACCACTCAAAAATCATCTCATATTCCACAAATATCCTCCAAATTAAATCATTGTCAAAGTACTTAAAACTAAATTCTGCCAAATTAAACCAGTTGAAAATAACCAGGTCAACACTGTCTCCTGAAGGAACACCTTCTCAGACAGGAGAATCTGTCAAGGGAGAGCTCAGGTCTCTATGGATCTCGAGGAATCCATGTAGAAATTCCATTCATAAAGCATGTGATATCATTTCCTCCATCGCGTAGCGTAGCAAAATAATAATATACATAATGTATGTTCATACATGAAAGCACATCATTCCTGTAACAAGCATATCATACATACAAAGTAAAGTTGCAGTACAAATTCTTCAAATCTTATTTCATGTGATATTTGGTTAGTAGTTAATATTTGGTTAATGCAGTCTAGATAGCATCCAATAGTTCCCATTTTGAGATATTACACTCTGTAATATCTGATATTTAAAATAGTTCACAAAATGTTATATTTAAAGCCATATTATTGGTGCAAAGCATAGTTACTACGTAGAGCTTAATCTATTTGGTCGTGCTAATCCTTTGAGACTCAATGGTCATGTAAATTCAGTTTTTAAAAACTAGTACTAATATATGGTACATGTACGTGTACATATTCATTTTTTTAATATATTTCGCTCAATTTTTCCATTTATGGCATTTCTCAAGCCTCTGTTGCATTTCATGTTTGTTGTATTAATCATTGTAATATATTTATTTCAAAAATATGCAATTGGCCAACTAAAAGATTTCCAGAAAACATTGATGGCAGTTATATAAAACAATAAAATGTACTTATCTAACCAACATGATTTCATTCAGGTTATTTACTTGGAGGGATTAAATATGTGTTTTATTCTGAAGCATGAAATGATATTTCTCGAGGCCTTGTAGGGACCAAGGAAAATATTAAATTGATTGAGTTATAAAACCCATATCAAATTCCCTACCAGGGCTTCCAGGAAATAACAATTGTATACCATGATATTGAATGATTTTAGTTGTGTCACAAATTACTTTTATTGATATAAATGATTTGATAACTAATAAAAAGAACAAAATATGGGGACAATTAGGTGAATATGATTTCAATATGGGAACAATCAGGTGAATATGATTTTAATATGGGGACAGCCAGGTGAAAGTACTTTCAATATGGGGACAACCAGGTGAATATGATTTCAATATGGGGACAACCAGTGTGAATTTGATTTCAATATGGGGAAAACCAGATGAATATGATTTCAATATGGGGACAACCATGTGAATAAGATTTCAATATGGGGACAACCAAGTGAATATGATTTCAATATGGGGAAAACCAGGTGAATATGATTTCAATATGGGGACAACCATGTGAATAAGATTTCAATATGGGGACAACCAGGTGAATATGATTTCAATATGGGGAAAACCAGGTGAATATGATTTCAATATTGGGACAACCAGTGTGAATGATTTCAATATGGGGACAACCAGTGTGAATATGATTTCAATATGGGGAAAACCAGGTGAATATGATTTCAATATTGGGACAACCAGTGTGAATATGATTTCAATATGGGGACAACCAGGTGAATATGATTTCAATATGGGGACAACCAGTGTGAATATGATTTCAATATGGGGAAAACCAGGTGAATATGATTTCAATATGGGGATGAGCAGGTTAATGCTATTTTTAATATCAATTATATAGTATTATTAATTGGGAAGTAATAATTTCATGGTATAAATATGATTACATGCTGGTCAAGGGTATGTAACTGTACCAGGTTTCACAGTTACCAAAGTTACTTAGGCAAGTATTCAAACTGTGTTCAATGACCTTCAGGACTCAAATAGATGGCAGCCCACCTCCTGTTGCATTAGATAGCATGTAAATACTGTACTAAGCTTAGAACACAGACCCATGGAGTAAAATTACCCCTAAAGGGAATTTTTGAAAATATTGACCTTCGACTAATGAAAAGCAGTAATTGGGGAAACGGATGTACTGTTTATTTAAGGTCAACACAAATAAATAAATTAACCGTATCTAATTTATCACTTTATTAATTTGTGTTGTATCATGATTGTAAACATTCCTTTTTCTGAAGAATAACATTATGTGATGCAAAGATTCACTCTACCCTACCATGTGACCACATTTAAAAAGGATACAGGCTCCAGTGAAGTCGCAAATGGAGTGCGTATTCTCTATCTTTGTAGGCTTTTCTGGTGATAATACTGTAAACTGCTCGATGAATCTACAATGTATAGTAGAACACTTGGAATACATGTAAAATCTAGCGTACCTTCAGAAATGGAAATTAACAATCGTCCTCCATTTGCAACTTCACCGTAGCCTGTATTCTTTTTCAAGGGATACAGGCTACAGTATTGGGGTAGGATAGAGTGAGATTGGTGACTGCAGGCCTATAATATTACATGTCTCCAGATTTGATTTTCACCTGCGCTTTTGTGAAACACATCCAGTTTACCTGCAGTCACAATAGACTTACCCAAGCATGTGCAATGAACTGAATCATCTCATGTAATGGTATATGGTTTAAGCAAGGAGATTGAATTTAAAAAAATACAAGGTGCCAGATTCTTTTATTAGAAGTTTTTGTAACTTTTCTTGGTACATGGTATAATTTAATAAATGTTTATATAAATTATGTACAATGTTTTTACTCTAAAAAATATTGTCTATTTTGGGGATTTGTACTAATGTATGAAATTGGTTATACATGATGTATGTATATTATTAATTGTAAATATATATCATTCTGTTATTCTATACATGTAGAGATGAAATAGAGGACTTATGTACACTGGTTTTAACTCCCCAAATCCTTATAGAAATGCACATTTACTGTGAAAGTTTTACATGTTCTTGGATGTGGCGTCAGAAGGATTTGCCAAGAGAGGGGGCGACTTTTGGGCATGGATGGCTCATGCGTGAAGCACGCTGACAGAGTATCATTTCTGTCATTATTACACTTTCACTTTAATTAGCTCCAGAGCTTTCAATCCTAGGCTCGGTTTCAAATCTAAAAAATCTGGGAAGGGGGAAGGGGGAGGGGGGCGGTATTGCCCTCCCCATCCAACGCCAATGTCTTTAATCACTTTGTGTCCTATGCTAAGGTTTTACAAAATGCCCTAAATATAATGTACAAGTAAAGATGCAATTTACAATGTTTCCATGAGAGAAGGTGTACATGTAATAAACACTCAGTGATGTTGAATGAAATTCAAAATAAAAGGGCTGCTCCTTGAAAATATGAACAACCTCTTCAGACCAATTTTGAGATTTTTCTTGTTTTATTCATGTTTTACTTCAAAAAGCAGCAATTGAGCTCAAATCAAATGCCAGCTGAAGGGAAAAGTGCATAGAAGTCCATTGGCCTTATCGATGGATATGGAAGTTAGGGCAAATGATTTGAATTTGAATGATACAAATGGTTCATATCACTAATGATTTCAAATAACTAACAAATTATAAGCTATACCAGTACACCAATGAGAGATATTCTGTCATTTTTAAGTTAAATGAAAGGTCTTTTCATGACTTTGTTGTTTTAAACAATCAAAATATTATTTAAGAGAATCTGTTGTTTTCTCTTTATGATGGGTTTTTGAAGGATCGAGAACCTCTAATAAAAAAGCTCTCAAGCCAACCTCTTTAAAATCAAAACAGTGTCGCTAACATCTTGCAACACCTGACATTGGAAACTGGAATTCTGTGATCTCAGTAGTACATGTTGAAAACACAAAACATACTCTGGCTTTGTTTATAAAATACATTAATATATTATAAAAATTCATTAATAATCATAATTGATAAAATCACTACAGTACAAAAAAAAAAGAATTTGCAGACTTATTCAAAAATAAGCACACTGTCTATTTTCAAGAGATTCAAGAAAAATTTCTCATGACATGGTTGAAGTTTCCATCGATTCTGTAGCAGTTGGTTTTGTTTTACTTCCTCCATCTGCAATCTGAATTGGAACATTGCTATCAACATTCTCCTGGTTTGATTCTATTGGAGTAGACTTTCCTTTTAGGATATCCTCTGAAACATAAGTAAATTGTATATTACCAATTTTTGAACAGACATCATTGCATTCATCGAAACATACGTAGACTATAAAGTAATCCTTGCTTACTTAAAATAGTTATAATTATTAGAGCAAGTTTCACATTTTAGATAACTGAGCTCATAATTTTGACCTTGACCATAAGTGTGTGTTTGACCTTTGAAATTGACCTGAGATGTGACCTTCAGAGCGACCTCTATGTGTGAAACTATCCAACAGTTAGTACATTAGCTATTGCAGCAGTGTGCCAACCTGTTCATACACTACACACATTCAAATAGAATATAGGTGCATTATTTGCATTCTCACCTGTTTTCACATAATAAACATCATTGAAGTACTGCCTGCATTCATTGGTTTCTTGGTTGAAATTAGCTGACCCTCCAAACATAACAAAATAATCGCCAACACGTGTCGCTGAGTGGAGACCTCGTCCAGAGGGTAAGGGACCTGTCATACTTGGCTGTAACCATTCTTTGGTTTCTGAAAAATATAATGAATCGGAAAAATATGATGAATCTGGTATACAATACTGCACTAAGAAGTTATATAAAAAAGTGATCAAGATATAATAAATGCTCATGGGGAAAAATAGGGCAGTCAGATAATATTTGCGGGTGAGACTGATTTTGGGATTACACCTAGGAATATCAATTCTTGAAATATTAACAAGAAATAAAGTATTATTTCTATATATTGATAGATACACAATATATTATTGGTTACCTGTGTCTAAAATGTGAAAATCTGCAAAATGTTGATTATCTATGCTCCGCCCACCCATGACGACCATCCGGTGATTGACAGCAGTGCAGGTATGAAATGACCTTGGTTCAGGTTGACGCCCTTTCACCTGCAATTCTGTCTCCCACTTCATCGTTTCTGAAAACATGAGTAAGCCATAAGTAAAGGCACATCCCATCGAACATCTAATAAGTGTCAGACAAGACTGCTTGAAATAATGTAGATTGTTACATGTGATAATAATCAATAGTATGAGTTACAAAATTATCAACATTTTCATTCTCAAATGTATCATTTCATCCATTCACCCAATGAGAGCTAAAAATGGAATCTCTGGCTTAGAAATGAAATATTTTTTTGCTAAGACCACATAGTAACCCATACCTGCCAACCTAAGACCAAAATTTTGCGGTAGATTTTTTTAAAATTGCTATATTTTTGCGGTAGATTTTTTCAAAATACGGTATATTTTGCGGTATTTTTCAACAAAATTGCGGTAGTTTTTACGGTAGATTTTAGAAAAAACGGTAGTTTTTGCGATTGATTTTTTAAAAACGGTAGTTTTTGCGGTAGATTTACAAAATAAACGGTAGTTTTTGCGGTAGATTTAAAAAAATACTGTAGTTTCAGAGGTTTGGGGTAGATTTTTGAAAAAAATGTAATTTTACGGTAGAAATTTGAAAAAAACTGTAGTTTTGCGGAAGATTTAGAAAAAATGCGGTAGTTTTACGGTAGATTTTAAAAAATGCAGTAGTTTTAACGGTAGTTTTTTGAAAAAACCGGTAGTTTTGCGAAAGATTTTGAAAAAATGCGGTAGTTTTACGGTAGATTTTGAAAAAATGCGGTAGTTTTCACGTTAGTTTTTTGAAAAAGCGGTAGTTTTGCGGAAGATTCGGAAAAAACGCGGTAGTTTTACGGTAGATTTTGAAAATTGCGGTAGTTTTTAGGGTAATTTTTTGAAAAACCGGTACTTTTGTGGAAGATTTGCCAAAAATGCGGTAGTTTTACGGTAGATTTTGAAAATTACGGTAGTTTTTACGGTAATTTTTTGAAAAACTGGTACTTTTGCGGAAGATTTGCCAAAAATGCGGTAGTTTTACGGTAGATTTTGAAAATTACGGTTGTTTTTACGGTAATTTTTTGAAAAACCGGTACTTTTGCGGAAGATGTGCCAAAAATGCGGTACTTTTCGGTAAATTTGGAAAAAATGCGGTAGTTTTTGCGATAGATTTTAAAATAACTAGTTTTGTGGAAGAATTTGACCTACCCCACATGATTTTATGTGCAATATGTCATTAATTATGTGGGGTAAGTCACTATATGTCCGTGCTATTTGGTAAATGTTCGGTAAATGAACATTGTTTGGTTCTAAAGTATATTTTTATTTGATGTGTGTTCTAAATATATTATGTGTCAACCGTCTTTGTTCGTGACTTAAATATGTGACATTTTACCAAACACTGAATAACATGAACCGCATATACAAGTGCATTTATCGCATATATAGTTACATAAATCAAATATAAATGTGTAAAAACAAACGAATTTATTACGTGTTTCGAACCATTTTAATAGAGTGGAATATCGAATGGTTGTAATCAAATCCAAAAGTGTGAAAATAGAATAAAGATGCAGAAAAAATTCCATAATCCTCATGCTGGTGGTATATTCGGGTTGGTGAAGGAATATTACAGGGACAGTACAGGAAGACTTCAATTTTTCAGCATTTCCCAACAATAACGGGAAATTTTACGGTAGTTTGAACAAAAATACTGTTGATTTTAGCAAAAATACGGTAGATTTTCGAAAATTTACGGTAGATTTTCAAAAATTTACGGTAGATTTTACGGCCGTTCTCATGGAAGAAACGAGTTTTAAAAAATAAATTTACGGTAGATTTCGAAAAAAATACGGTAAATTTTTTTACGGGCGTTTTTACGGGAAAAACATGGTATTTTTTTACGGAAGTTTGTCATTTTTTTACGGAAAAACGAAAAATTTACGGTAGATTCCCGTAAAAATACGGTAGGTTGGCAGGTATGGTAACCCATATTAAATAGCTATGGCCACATACCTGTATTAAATATATGAAGATCATTGCGTCTTGCTTCCGTGTCTCTACCTCCAAATATGACAATGTTCTTCCCGATTGCACACATCCCATGGGCCGCCCTTGGGGTGGGGACAGCAAGGTTCATCTGCATGGGATTGGACCATGTGTTTGATTCTGAAGAAAAACAGAATCTTCACATTCATTCATATCCATGCGTATTTACATTAGATCATTTACTCATCCTTCTATATAGAAATTCATTATATTAAACTTAATTACGCATTATGTTTGAGATGTACCTGTGTCAAAGACGAAAATGTCATTAAACCAGCCAAACTCTGCTCCCTGATCCTGTTCATCTTCAAAATCTTCATCATCCTCGTCAAAATCATCAACCTAAATGTCAAAATAATATAAGTTCTATTAAAAGATAGCAGCACTTTGAAATGTATACTGAATGGCTGACATTTGAGAGTGCTGCAGAGATAAGCCATAATACTGTTATGCCAATAAAATAGAGATCCATCTTTCCATGAAGATTGGTTCAAAGGGCCGCATTCACTGGGAGGTTATTCTTGTCTCTTAAACTGCATTTAGCATTGCATGCTTTAGTTCTATATTTTATCCAAAAAGAAAATCCTGATTATAATAACAACAACAACAACAACAACAAACATTATGATGTGTTAACATGATTCTACTTTCATTTAACTTGTTTTTCCTTTTATCCATGCCTTTTCATTTCATCACATTTTATTTTGTAACAAAATAATAAAGACACTGGATTTAAAGGGATTTAACAAACCAGGAATTTAAATCCCCAGGGTGTCATTGTGAAAAAATCAGGGTGATTTCCATTAATGTACACTAAGGACAGTACATGATTGTATTTACCTCTTCAATGTCATCTTCACCAGTTTTTGGTCCAAATCCTCCGAAAAAATAAATTTTGGTTCCTATGGCGACTGATTTTAATTTGTCTCTTGGAGATGGCTGTGCACCCTTTGTATCAGGTCTCGTCCAGATGCCAGTTTCTGAAATATAAATGAATTATCAGGTGATACATTTTTACAACTCTGATCATTAATAACAAAATTAGTATTTTTACAAGATGAGAGCCTGTAGAGGATCCCTATATCCTCTGAGCTGAGGGGTGATTCAGTTATTTTATAACAATACTTCAATAATATAAAGTGAACGTTTAACCATTATATGCATCAAACAAAAAAATGCAATTTGGTAGAGGAAAATTTCAACATTGAAAGTTAATAAGAAATAATTGCCTTGTCTTATCCTTTTTTCAGCCCAGGCCTGTAGCCAGCTTTAAGCCAGCCCAATTTTCAAAAAAAGGGGTTCACATTTTTACAACTTTGGTCCAACTTTGTTCAACTTTAAAAAACAAGTATCTGTTAATTCAAACTCTACGGCTGAGTAAAAATTTATTAAATAAAAATTTATAATACGAGTACCCTCAGATTAGTCTATATCCAATAGACTGAATTTCCTGAGAATTCAGTCTATTGATCATTATGTCCCTCCTGTGGGAAAAAACAGGAAATTTCCTGCACACAATTATCAATTTTAGGAAACTTCACTTCCAAAAAATAATCATTATAACAATTCAATAAAGTAGTAAGGTACAATTAAATGCTATAAAAAGTAACACAGCATATTGTCAAATCGAAATGAAGCTAGGGGAAGTAACAAATATGCAAATTTATTTACCCAATCGGCCATTTTGAATGGCACTTCCTATGTAAACAAATAATTTTCAATCCCAAATTTTAACATATATGGGCTATAGTCTGAATATTTTCATTCCAAATTTCAAAAAAAATTTCAGACTAGAGGATATAGTCTAATCCTCAGATCAGATATTAAAAATATGAGTAGATATAAATGATAACCCCCAGAGAATATAGTCTAGGGATATACAAATGTTGGCCAATATAACATGTCTGCCTCTAAATTATCCCAATATCCCAAACCCTCTCTAGGATAAGTACCTGTATTGAAGACATAGATATCTTGAAGCCAGCCAGATGTTTGATTGAGGCCTCCAAAGATGTAAAGGTTATTGTTGACACACGTCATTGTGGCTGCGGATCTTGCTGCAGGGACATCTCCTTTAGAGGGAATCTGGCTCCAGGTACTGGATTCTGTTGAAAAAAGTAAATAAATTAGGTGATAACTTTTCATCACTGATTAAAGCGGCTCTAAGGTCTGTGGAGAGAAAAATGGAGAAATTTTACCTTTTCTGAGCTATTGGGGTGAAGTTTGGTCCAACATCTTCTTCCTTATTCCTATTTTATAAAAATGTATGCATATGGCAATATTCATCAACCAGTAGAACTGGCAAATCGTTTAGAATCTACAATTCCATACAAGGAGTCCCACTCATAGATTTTTCAAATTCTTTCCAAGTCGACGTCGAAACACCTAGCGGGTGAAATTGAAACTAATTTTTCTGGCTGCTCGAATCGATAAAATCTCTGATAGTGTGAGTCTTTTTATGAAATCTTTCTGATAGAAAACACTTAATTAATATTAGAAAGCATTAAATGTTGAATCCGAAGCGTAATCTGAAATAAAAGTGAAAAAACATTGCGCGGACGTCAGAGAACAAACTTCCGGTTTAGTAAAAAATGGCGGACGTCGAAGGAGAAATTATGACGAAGAATTAGAGGATTTTCCTTTGCCATTATCGATCGTTATAAGGTATGTGCACAAATTCTAGTTGCATACATGGAAAATAGATACATTTTAAAGGCAACAACATATTCAAAGCTTTCATTTTACGATAGGCCCAGGATCATTGGATACGACTCGGCAATCGATATTCCCACTAATCTTAAACTTCGTAAAAACACAAAGATTCAAACATATTCAGTTTTTCTTTCTGACACTTTTTGGTGGTTAAAGCTCATAATAACATGAGAATGATAATGTAAAATGTATACAAATAACTTGAAAAATCGAGACAATAGAGTCAATACGTCCAAATCCAAACAGGGGGGTAAACACGAACGGGTTCCAAATAATGGCAAGCAGATCATTGAATTGAATAATAGTACCTCTACTACCTCTACATAATATTTATAGCCTGAAAGATACAATATAATAATGTATACCAACAATCTTACAATAAAATAATCAATTATGATGATTTAGGTGTTCCGAATTACCCCCATGCTAGTGTTTGGAATTACCCCCACAAACTCTGTGCGTTTAAATAAATAGATGTCAGTAATAAATGATTTAAATTTGGGTTTCTTGATATGCAGGGGTGACAGGATCCAGTATCATAAGTTAAGGGTATCATATAATGATATACCATCATTCTAATAATTAAAACAATTAAGTTTAAGTTAAGTGTTTGGAATTACCCCCATGCAAGTGTTCGGATTTACCCCCCAAAAAAACTCCTGTTCGGAATTACCCCCCTAAAATACCTTGTAGTAAAAATGGAATAACCCAGATATTTTTTACAATTTTTCGTAATTTTTTCTGCAAATGCATTCTACAGTGGATAATACACATAATATATATAGAATCATAGCATAGATGTGCAGTACAGCCAAGCTAACTACATTTTTTGATGGGGGTGTTTGGAAATAGACGTACTGACTCTACATGATTCGCAGCCTGCAATCGATGACAAAAATTTGAATGTGCCGACTCTTTAGTTTTAATACTTACCAATATCTAACTTCAAAAGCGATTGTGATTCAAGGTTGTCTCCATCAGCTGTTCTTTCAACCCCACCAAACACATACAATGACCCATTGACATCACATGACACATGTCCATCTCTTGGAGCAAACTGATTTTTAGATTCAAGCTGAGACCAAGTCAGTTGAACATCGTTATCGAGACGAGCTCCATACTTAATACCTTGACTTTGTTCATTACCCATTGTTTTTGAAAATAATATAACGATTTTACGGAAATAAAGAGAGTTATTGTTTACAAAATATAAAAAGTTCCCGGCAAATTTTCGCGGAATTTTTGTTGCATTCTGGGAACAGAATTAATATTTTCTATTTATGTATTATATTGTGATTTTCTACGTTCTAATTTCAATTTCAATACGCTTTTTTATTTATTTATAGAAAAGACAGAATATTAAAGCTTATATCATTCGATCTAAAAAAAATCAATTACGAAGATACCCGAACGTTACCCGAATGACGTCATTTAGTTTCGGTAAACAGCTGATCTGAGGTCGACCTTGGATGAAGACAAAAAGTGCCTCCGGTGAGTTGGATATTTCTTATTTATCTCTGGCAGTTCAGATTGATTTACTGTATAATGTACATATATTTGAAGATTAGTATATATTCTTAAAATACATACTTTATTTGAAGTCATTTGACGCTTTTAGTGGGGCGAAATTACTGTTCAAAAATCTAGCATAAATTAGCCGAATTTTGAAAACATCAGCTGAGCACTGAGCCCACATTCAATAAATCAGAATGTCCAGGCACCTTGGACCCTGGGAGTAAGGAAATTAAATGCAAACTATTGTTGCACTTTTAAAAAACCTCATAAATTTCCAGTGTCAAGCTGAATGCTGATGGGAAAGGGGGGGGGGGGGAGAAGTATCTTTTTCTTATGTGCATTTAGACAAACTCAACTTCATTCAATAAATCATGATTTGATCTTTTCGTACAGAGGCATGATCAGATGCATGTAAAGTAGTAGTCCAACAACATTAGACCTAGCCTGGGCCTCGTTTCTTATCTGACATGTCTTATGGCCCCGGCTAGGTCTAACTTCCATGATGATTTTGCCCTTGATGCGATCATTTAATCGTTCAGCAGGTTTCGACATGCGGAACTAATTAAACCGTAATAAGATGGTATCGTTACAGAAATAATGTGATCAACACATGCATACATACCTTATGAATAAATACAAATCATCACATACCCCCCTGTAACCTCATCGATGTATAATTATGAAAATGTTGGGAGAAGGCTTTTTCTTAGTTTAGAAAACTCTGTTCTGGTTCCGGTAACATCGAAATGGCAAATCCTTTCAGGAATAAACCGCCGTTAGCAACACTGAACGAAACAAGTTCATAAAACGAAACGAACCCCGGTTATCCTATATATAAGTACAAAATATTGTAATACTGTAGGAGGCTTGCGATAAACATGATTAAGTTTCCTACTTTTTTGGGTTTTCGGAAAAGACCGACCTCACCGACCACCGACCGGTCGGTGTTTTCCACTGGTAGCCTCAAAACAGGGTTTGAAGAAAATGTGTAAAAGACCGACCATATCATGTAAAAGACCGAACATATTTGTAGCCTTAGAATATTAATAATTTGATTTTGAATGTCAATCGTTGGACTAGGCAACGTTTTTTACCGATTTTGTACCTTGCAACGAATGGCAAGCAAACAAATTGGTCATGACCGTCTCCTCTCGATTAATTGCCCTGCCTTAGGTCCTAACCTATCATATTTTTTACTGAAATTTAACAATTTCTAAACAAAAATGATTTGTTATCGTCATAGCCTACTGAATACTGAACACGATATATAATGTTACATGCGTTCTCTTATCGGGATTAAAAGTGACTTACCATTTCAGTACACCATTAGAAAGCTTTTTTTGTCATATCAAATGTAGTTTTTACCAGTTGACGTTTAACAACTGAGAAATCAAACATAACGTTACGACGTCAACATCGACGATGTTTGTGTGTTTTTGTTATTGCGTTTCATATGAATGAAGAATGAACGTAATGCAATGTCACGTGCGTTTTTTTCCAAAGTGACTTACCAGGATGAAATTGGCCTTCTAACAACTGAAACATCACTTAAAAATATGACATTACACACCACGACGATGTAACGTTTTCATCGTGATTTGAAATGATAATTATACGTTTTTAAATCACGACCTAGTAAAGGTACTATAGTCATTGGATTCCCAGTTTTAGTTTTACTTCTAATTTTGCATTTTTCATCTTTATGTAAAAGACCGTCAGCCGACCACCGACCACATGTACCCAACTGTGGAGAGTGATTGGTCGGTGGTCGGCGGTCGGTGTTTTACGAAAACCCTACTTTTTCCCTGTTTTATTTTCAGAATTATGGTAAATTTCTGGCTAAAATGCTAAAGCTTTCAACATCTTTGGACAGACGCAAGCATGTGATACTGAATAATTAGATATTTTTCTTAACATGTTTAAATATATATTGTGCCAAAGTTTTCTCTCCCAGAAAGTCAGTGATTTCCCATTGTAATAACTCAGATGCGAGTAGGTAGTTACCAGTTTCACCACCAGGTGGCTCATTCAGGTCACATAGCATGACATAGTTATGCAAATTAAAATAATGTAAAAGAAAATATTATCTGTCCAATACAAGAAAACATATTTCACTTTTTGTGACTTTATATGTTGAATCTCCCCGTAGTAGCATTTACATTTTCCAAAACAAAAATTTTTCAAAATTGATCAACAATATTTGAAGCAATATTTCTTGATGTACTTTTACATGTACATTTCAAATACTAGATAGTATGACATCATTTTGACTGAATGTTTATTGTTTAATGACGATCAAGTAAGGTTTTTTAACATTAGAGTAATGAGATCGAAAAAAGCTGAAAAGTGTTGATTTGAAAAAATCAGATTTGGAGGTATCGAGATAAATCAGGTGTGAAGTATAGGTTAAAAGTACATTTACTTGCTCCAATATCGTGATAAAACACATGTGTTTAACTTTTCTCTCATTGAGTAAATGAAATATCATTGTAGAAAAATATGTTTTATAAAATAGCATAAACAAAACTTCTGTTTAATTTTATTAAGAACATCATACATTTAAGAACTAGGAATAAAACAACCATGCTTATACATCAGTGTTCTCCCCAAAAAAAAATTCCAACTGGGTGCAAGATTTCAAGTCTAAAAAAATCAGCACTCGCTACGCTCACAATATCTCAGTGTAGGTGCTTACTTCACTCATTCTTTAAATCAGAAGTTGAAGTGCAGATGCCAACTGGGTGCCAACTGGGGGGCCTTTGGTTTCAAGTAGGGGGAGCCCCCGGTAAAAGTGACATGGGGAGATCACTGTACATGTAATCTTATCACAATACATCACCACATTGAAGTTATTAAAATGTAACAATTGTTACAAAGCATGTATGCTGAGTAAAATACATGATCCCAGTTATAAACAATTGAGTGTATTCCTAGGTACGTTTTTGCAAGCAGAAAACCATGAACAATTACCATAATTTAATATTTAGGCACAATTATTCAACACAATCACAATCTAGCACAATCAATGACATCTATATTTCTTTGAGCTGAAATTACCAGTAATCAAATGCATCAATAATGTTGCGAGTATTGCTTTTTAAAGTTTTTATAAATAACAATAGAGTAAACTTGGGTGAATACACGCGCTGTTTGAATAAAGCAAAGATTCGTGTCATACTGGATGGTTATAATAAATATCAATATTGAAGAACAATTTCGTTTCGCTGACCAAGTTTACTTTGGCGACGCACAGACAGACATTGCCGGTTGAAATATTCGTCTCATAAATTGGTAAGAATAAGACTCATTTTACGATTAAAAATGAACATTTAACACAATAATATTATGTGAAATCGCCTGATGAAATGTGGTTTTATATTATTGTTAAGTATCAGTGTCATATTAGCGAGGAAAAGTGGTTTCGATAGATCCACAACTTGCATCAAAGGAAAGAATAGCATGGAGGTTAAACTCAATAATGGCCCCAAGAAAATTCCTAATAATAAAGAACGCCGTTATTGAGTTTAACGACGTTGAACTAGTAAAGTAGAAGTTACATCCTATATAAGGTTACCTGTAAGAATATGTTCTTGACTGGATCTGTTCCTGCGATCGAGCGTCATGACATAGACATGAAGAATAACACGTCCCTAATATTTCAGATGTGGTTATTGACATGAACATTTTTATGTATTGGTAGATCTACTTTCTTTTGAATTTAAGTTATATGTTGTGAAAAATCGATGAATACAAGAGGAGGGAAAGCCCCAGAGCTTTAGACATAACAGACATAATTACGTCCCTTGCTTACCACCAGTGGCGTAGCGTGGATATTTTGTGAGTGTACTCCACGAGTGAGCGAAACCCTGAATGGGGTTCTTCCCCCAGAAAATTTGAAAATGCGCTTGAAGCCTTCTGGTGTGTTTATACGAAATTTTGACTAATATTGACTAGTGTTGTCGCGATGTACCATAATCGAACATCGATGCATCGGCAATTTTCAGTAGTAAACATCGATGCACATCGTGATATACATTGAGAAAAAGTCCGCGAAAAGTGCATTGAAAAAATTAACGCTAATGCACTAAAATGCTGAACAGAACAAATTAATAAGAGTACGCTGGTACATCTGGGAACTTCTAGTAATGGTGAAATGAAAGTAAAGTAGATTTTTTTAGATTAATGGTTCATTTCGACTAGCTAAAACAGTTTTAAAGCGAACGAAAATCAGAAAACATTGGAAAATGAAATAAGACATGAGAAAGGTAAGCGATTTGCGTCAAAATAAGATAAGAAAGGTGATGTTTAGCAAATTAAATTTTTTTAAAAACATCGATGTTTTGTTTCAGACATCGATGCATCGCCAGAATCGATTAATCGCGACAACACTAATATGGACTAATAAAATATTGGGCATATTTCAGGATATCCAGTATTTTAAAGTATTCAATATAAAAATCAGCTTTTCTCTAAATTTGAGAGTACACCATTTGTTCGAATTTTCACCAGCTAGTTTCCAAATACGATTATTAATATTATTCGAAGGGTATTTTGAGGTCACCATTTTGTATGTTGATTTTGACCAATCTGAGACATATGTCATCTCAATACAGGTTTATATTATAAGCGTAGTTCATCTTTGAACTCCCTATGGGGTAATCACCCCCTGGATGAATACGAATAGTCATATAAAACTGAGAGATAAATCTCTGACATTTTCATGTCTTAAGCACAGAAAAAAGAACATGTTAGGCTGATACCTAAGTGTCATTAGTCTCATTAACTTTCATATGTTTGAGCATGGGTAATCAAATGAACTGTTTGTCATTTGTAGAAATTGTCAGAATTTGGAAATGGAAGGTTTTTTGATAAGATTCTTAAAAGTTGAGCATTCAGTGCTTCATCTACATCAATAATCTGCAAAAAGCTAATATAGAGCCCATTTAAAGCAGATATATAGTATATCAGTGAATTTA